GCGCGGATTGGCCAGAGCCACTCGTGGATGCGACATGTCTGGTTTGCCACATAACCTGTACCGGGCTGCCGATCACACGCGCCGGCCCAGGGAGAACATGGAGACGTCGTTTGATAGCTGGGAATAGAAACATGACGAGGAGCCACTAAAGAATGTGGGGAATCGACTCATGTGCTGGCGCCCACAGGCAGGACGGCTCACTGGGACCCCCGAGGGCTCGTCGGGCTTCCCATCGACACCGTGCTGCAAGTCTGGAGTCAAGTCGGTCGGTATTCCCATCAGAGCTCGTATCTGCGCCGTTTTATTAGAGAGGCCGCGTCTGGGGCACGCCTGTCAGATCCCCTGATGCAGTCGGAGTTGGAGAGTTGGAGCAGCGCGGCAGCGGAGGCGGCCATTGGACCCCTTTCTCTTGCGTCAGGTGCTTTTTTGGTGTTTTTGACAGCGCCTGCCTCTCGGGTCTCAAGTTATGTCATACTGCCAGCTCGTGTTCTAGCCATCTGGGCGTGGGAGATGACGACTGCTTTGGGCCATAGCTTGGGAAGGGTCTAGGGAGTCTCGCCAGCTTACAGTCAGCCGGCCGGCCGGCCGAGGCTCGTCTGGCTACATAACTATGGTGTGAGATTGCACCAGTCTGGCTGAGCCGCATTTCGCTGCGGGAATGAGTTGTACGGCACCCGGATGGACCCAGAGGGAAACGGTCTAGTCTTGCTAGAAAGCGTCCTAGGTCTACCTGCCGAGCGACTTGGAGTCTTGGACGTGATTGGCAGTGCATCGCACCGAGATTAGCCCATTGCACTTCTCGGAGTCGGAGTCTTCGTGCTGCAGTGTCCGAGTCCGTACTGCTGCATATTGTGTGAGGTGGCCTCAGAGGCAGAGAGCCAGCCTGGAGGAGCTGACGCTGATGCAGAGGAAATGAAGTGTCGATTTTGCAGATGGCCATTTCGACAATGTCAATCCTCCTGTGGCAAAATAGAACACCTCCTTTGATCGGTGCGGTCCCAACTTGGAAGTTCGCATATATGCCTTGCCAAGGGCATTTCCTTTCTTGTTTATGCTCCTCGTTACCTGTTTTGGTGCCCACAACACACAAGCATTCGGCACTTCCAGTAAAATCTGGGTCTGTTGATGAGTCGCGTCGTGGACAAATGAACATCGCTCGGACCGCCATGCTCTCTGCGTGCGTTGCGAGAGGACAGGCCGAAGGGCCAGGGGCTAGCCAGGCCCGGATGCAAGGCCAGGGGTCTGATCTGCAGGAACAGGGTTCAGGGCTCCTGCGACTCCCGTATCCCGAGCAGGTGTGCCTCGATTGTTGGTGTGGAGGAGCTGTGGAGGTTGCATGCGGCCTCGAACAATGATGCCGGACTGCAGCTCTCCTGCACCAACCTCCTCTTTGCAAAATGCGTGGCCGGCAGCTGGAAAAAGGGCCACGAGTCCATGACGAAAGGACGATCGCAAAGTGTGAGCTTGAGGACTTTGCAGTCCGGCAATCTCGTTTTGCACTCCGCACGGCCGTGGCTGGACAGCGTGGCCGCACTGGGTAGCATGCCTGCACCGCCAGCGCCTGGGCCGGATTGACACTGGCATATCGTATAGCAGCAACCCTCCATGGGGCTGGCAGGCTGGCGGGCTGGGTGGCAGGGCTGGAAAGGCTGGCAAGACACTCGGGTCCCACCGCTGACTTGGTCGCTGGGACGTGTCCAGACTCCAGCCGGACGCGTTTTCAGGCCATTACCCTCCTTTTTCTCGGCTGATCAAGATTCTGATTTGTTTTGGATCTAGAGCAACTGCCCATCCGGTCCACCCGCGCGGCGATCTGTATAGGGCTGGAATGCAAGTCCGGCTTCGCACTCCCAGGGCCGCGGACGTGTGACGAGGTACGTGGTCCTCCGGCCTGGCCTCAACGCCCACTGGCTGGCCGGGGAGGTTGTGTATCGCGAGACAGACTCGGGAGGAGCAGAAATGCTGTGTCTCGCCGCAACGATGCACGGGAAGGGCGCCACGGGAGCTCCCCCGCCTGGAGTGGCTGCGATGTGTCTCGATGCACAACTGCCAGCTGTTGCCATCTAGAGCCTGAACGGCCTGCGGGGTGTTCTGGTATTTTCTTCCCAGTAGTGAGCAAGACGTATAGGATGTGTCATATAGACAAGCCCATGACGGACCGAGCAGGTAAGAGGGGGCTTTCTTTGAAGCTTCTGCTGCTGCACTAAAAATGCAAATGTAGAAGCCTTGGCGTAGGTGATCTGCAGACTATTGGGAGTACCTGGGCATACCTCAGCAAGTTTCCCGTGCAGCGGAAGACTTTGTTCAAGACATCGGACAGGCGCCCATTGCTACAATGGAGTCTTGCCGGGCCACGGGCGGCGGTGAGCACCTGCACGGGTCTCTGGACCACCCGAGGTGTCCACGGGTACAGGATCTGAGTGCTTGAAAACCATGGGTCACAGGAAGGTACTGCGCGGGCATTGCTGTACTGGGCCTGTCTGCCCGAAGCTTGTCGTTTGGCATTGCCAATACATGGGAATTTTGCAACGCGCAGTCCACTTCAACTACCACCTGCTCGGGGTGCGAGCGAGGGAGAACAGGCCTTCCGCTCCGCCAATGGCCATATGGCAATAAAGCCGTCCACCATCATAAAAGGCTGGCGCCAGGCCAGTACGACCAGCGACGCCACCCGTGGTAGAGGTTGAACCGCGATGTCACCCAATTACAAAAAAGGGGGCGGCGATGTGGCTTACTGTGCCGCAACAAGCTCCGAGAGGTCTGCAAAGGCCGGGACGCGGGCGAGGCGGGAGCTCCCTTGTCTGGCTGGCCAGCGCCCGCGTCCGTGTCGGAGAAAACAAGAGAAACAAAAGAAGAAACCGGCGGGGATCTCGTGGGGCATTATTACGTCGTGAGCCGTTGCCCATTGATCAGCACAGCACAGCCGGGGCCGACAAGGCCAAAGACGAGCCCAAGCAGGGCATGTCGTGGCATAGCATGGCATAGCATGACTGTCATTTGCGCTTGCTGTGGGTTGATGATGGAACGGGAGCTCCAGGACGCTCCAATTTTAAAATAAGCTTCTGGGTACGATGCTGTGCCTACCTCAGGGAACCTGGCAGGGTGTGGCAGTACACGATCAACAAGGTTACCAGCCGCGCCCTGCGTGTGTGTGTGTGTGTGTTTGTGTGTGAGTGTGTGAGTGAGCGTGAAGGAAACCGGGGACCCGTATGTACTATGCAGTACCCTGGGCTGCGTGGGAGGGTGTAGAGCACAAGGTACCAAATCACCGATTGAATCCGGCAGGGCGGTTCATCTCTACAGTACCTATCCCAGGCCAGAAGGTTCCAAGATCTCGTCCAGAGAAATAGTTTGCCGGGATGGCGGATGTTGCTGCGAGATGCGAGATGGCCCTGGGCAGACACAGACGGGCCCAACGACAACAAGGCAGGCAGGCCATATCTACACACTTGACCGACCGACCGACCGACCGAATGAATGCCTGTGGTACCTAGGTACACGTGCTTGTGTTGTAGACAAGCCGTCCCCACCGCCCCAACCCGACGGACATGGGCAAGACCAGCCCCAGGACCACCGCCAGCCCATGCCAGTTACCCCTGGCTTGCAGTGCAGTAGGAGCGCAGTGAAGGATGCTTGACACCTCGATAGATAATTGCATTACATGGTAGCAGATGTGGCAATTCTGGTGTCCGACTGGGCTGCTCTGTCGAGTATACCCACCGGACATCCTCCACTGTGCCCAGGAGTTTAGTCTACCTACCACTACTGTGCAGTTCTGTTACCTCGCAGTAGGTGCCTGGGCATGCGAGAGGGCTTTTACCGTGGTGTATGTACAATGGCTCGGCCAGTCGACCTTGGAATGGCAGTACGGGTCTAGCATTAATCGCTTCTCCACCTGGGTGGCAGGGAAGCATGGCTGGATCGGCGTCCATGGGCCCTTGGGCCCCGTTGGGACCATGACAGGATGGCTGCAACTGTGCTGGTGCCGGTGCTGGTGCCGCTGCTGGGTGCGCTAGGTAGGTAGGTACCGTGTTGTGGAAAAGGTACTGGCGTGCTGGCGTGTCTGTCGTGCTGGAGAAATACCGTATGCACCACGGCCAGCTGGTCTAGCGCACGGGGACAATCGACGCAATAGGAACCTGAGCCCTGTCCGACCACAGAGGATCGGCTGAGCCAACCGCCAGAGCACGCCTTTCCCCCTTCTCGCCGCCGCCGCCGCCTGAACTGTGACTTTTGCCTGCCTGACTTGCCCGACTGACTTGTCTGAATGAGGCCTGCCTCTCTGTATGTTAATCTGTTAATCAATTGCTCAAGCAATCAATCGATCAATTTCGCATTTTTTTCTTTCCTTCTCTCCCTCTTTCTCTCGCAACGTTCCTCTCTGTATCCTATCCCCTTCCCCCAACGGTGTTTCTTTCTGCAGCAAAGCAACAAGCAGGCAGCATCGTTCTCCCTCTCTCTTCCAAAGCACTCCGTAATTTCTATTGGCTTTCCTTGCGCTCGGGCTGTTCAGCACCGGTCAATCGTTTTCTTCAAGTCCTTGTACTGTGCCGTACTGTGCCTACGTCCTTTCGTTCCTCTCCGACCAAACCCTCTGGCTCCGCGCCACTCGTTCGACCCGACGATATTCTGCTGCATCGCCGTGTCACTCATATCAACCACCCCGATCGCTTCGACTCGGATTTTGCTACAGCCTTCGTTCCATATTTTTCTCGTCGTCTCGCACATTTCTTTGCTCGCTCACTTCCATCCGAGGCCCTAATTTGGCGCAGTCATTGGACGCAGCCTGACCACCAACCGCTTGTTTACTTTGTGTGTGTGTGTACACGGAATTCATCGCGTAAGTAGTGCAGACAATCCCAACCCCTTCACATCTGCTGGCACAGTCAGCTTGGGCCCCAGCCCTCTCCTGCCGGTACCCAGGAACCTGAGCGAAACTCCTTTGAGCGGACGATCTGGCCGTCGGGCAACAGCAGCAGCCTGCGATCCACGCAGCCTGGATGCCCAGACGCTGCTCTAGCCGGCTGGGTCCGAAGACTGGAGCCGACGATACTGCAATCTTCTCCGGCCCTGTTCTTCAGCAACCACCATCGTCTCGTCTCGGGAGCCCTCACACGGCCCCTGTGCAGGTGGTCATCCTGGCCGCCCTCGACTTCTACAATGATGTCACGTCGTCCGTCTTCTGGAAAGCAGCGGCCAGCGGCATCAGGTCCCAAGAGCATAAAGGCTAACTTCGCATCCCCTAACATGCAGTCCACCGGCTAGTCGCGTCACAGTTGAAGCCGAAGTCAAAAGACAAGACCCCTCTCGGGCTTCTCCCGTCGCTCGACTCTGTTTGACGCTGCATATTATATCTCAGAGCCCTCGACTGCTCCAATCTGCGCCACTGCCGCCTCGTATTCCGGGCTGATCCTGCCCCAACTCCCTACACCACCCGAGACAGCGGCGCCCTACAACCTCGCTCTCCTCAAGCGTCGACAAATTAGCATCGCCCCCCGACTGGTCCATCTGCTGACGGGGAATCGAGCATTAATGGGCCGTAGTTGATCGTGTCAACTACTGCCAGCCTCTGATTGCATATGCCTAGATTCGCGTTTGGCAAGCGGAAGTCAACCGCAGAGAGCGAAAATGACATAGCAGCACCGTCGTTCCGCGTTCTAGATCGTTCCGAGGTGGCTGAAGGCAACGGCAAGTCATTTGACGGCGGCGTCAGGTTGTCAGCAAAAACCCACACACTCCCCAAAACAACAGTGTCAGACATCTCGGTCGAGGACAACATCTTTGCCGACTACAAACCCAAGAACCGGTACGTTTTTTTTATCACTTTCCACTCCACTGGGCTTGCGGCTGCTCCGGCAGGACTTGCCACAGTCACTGTCCGTTCAATTTCCCACACGGACTGCCAATTTAAGTTTACGGTGTATCAACTTGAGTCCATACCCGGTCCAGAATTTAATCGAAATGGGGCCTGGGTGGATACGGGGCTGACTCTTTCACTAGTGGCAGCGGGTCGTCCAACACTACCAAGACCAACTCGACCGACAACTCTTCTCGACACAGCGCTGCATCAACCGCTCCATCTTCTGCAGACTTGAATGGTCAAGACGATTGGAGATTGCCCAACAAGAGATCTCTGACAGACGCTCCTCAGCAACCACCTTTAACCAAACCAGGCCCATCGGGTTTCCTCAAGTCGGCCGGACGATCTTGGTCATTTGGTGCTTCCAAGAAACAACTACCCTCTGTGCCCGCTGGTGACGAAGACGTGCCGATCACTCCCGCGGTACCTGAGCAGTATAAGAGCGGTAGGGCTAGGGCGACAACCAGCTCGACAGACGCCACCATCACCCCTCCCAAAGTAGATCAGGACCTCAGTTTTGATCTCGGTGGCAGTTTCAGCAAGATGCTACTCGGGTTTGACAAGAGATCTAGCGTCATGACACTAAAGGACGAGAACGGGCGCCAGGTCTTACAGCCTCCAGCCGCAACTGGCGGCCGTCTAAATGCACCCTCGCCTATTCACATCGATCACACGTCCAAAGTCGAGGCCCCTCCGCATTCCTGGGCCAGTCACCACTCCAACGATAATCTCCTTACAGGCAGTCCCCGCATCCCATCACCGACAAAAGAGAACACGCCTCCACCAGTCCCAACACACGGGGAGCCTCAGTCAATCCGACCTAGGGGTCCCGGTCATTCCAGCTCTGAGAACCTCCTTAAGAGGACTAGCGCAATCTTTAGCGGGCGGAGAAAGTCGATCAACAATGCCCTGGAAACGGGCGAGGGAGACGACCTAAACACATCCCTCCTGGCTGTCAACCGATTTATGTCCGACGCCAACAGCAGGAGCGCGACCCCAGTCGAGGTCGTCGGTGGACGGTACAGAAGGAATGAGGATACGTCTGCACCTGGTTACCGAGTTGTATCTCCGCCAACGGTTCATTCCAAGTTGGACCCAGTAGACGACGACGATAACATGTTCGACAACGTTCCCTTGAATTCTGAAAGATTCAGCACTCCGCGTCAGCCAGCCCAGAAGCCAGCGCCGAAGCCAGTTGAGACCCCAGCCAAGAACAAGACGATGACAATCTCCGAGTTTGAGCAATATCGAAAGGACAAGGAGGTCGAGGAGAGGCGAGCGGAGGTGGACAAGGCTAGAGAAGAGGTCGATGTCGAAGAGGATGAGGACGAGATCAACTATGACGACGACGAGGATGAGGCGGAGAAGTCTAAGCAACTCGCAAAGCAACGAAGAAAGCAAGAGGCACACATGACCGTCTACCGCCAACAAATGATGAAGGTCACCGGCGAGTCTCCTGATGCGGGCCCTTCGCGGCCAAGCATGCAAATGTCTCTGAGCACGCCCAACCTTGCCGTCCCAGAGGCTTCGAGAAACTCCTCGTCTGAAGTCTCTGAGGACGACGAGGAAGTTCCCCTGGCTATCCTCGCGGCCCACGGCTTTCCCAACAAGAATCGGCCTCCTACACGGCTTACGAATATGATGTCGAACCCGAACCTGCGACAAGCAGCTCAGCCCAGCTTCCAAAGGCCAGGTTCAGCGGCAGGACATGCTCCGACGGCGAGCGGGTCCCTACCTCCTTTTGCCAGGGGGCTTCCGCAGGATCCGTACGGCTTGGTCAACGCTCCACCCCGGGAGAGCTTTGCACTGGGCGGTGGCGTTCCGGCAGGCCAGAACTCACCTGTGCCACCTGGTGGTCTCGTCGGTGTCATTGCCAACGAGGAGCGGTCGCGAGCTATGAGGCGGGGAAGCCCTCAAGTTGCTCAGATGCCGATGGACCCCTACCAGGGCATGCCGCAAGCAGGCCCTGGCGGGTTTGACCCTGTGCAGGGCATTCCTCAACAGATGATGTACCCTCAGCAACCACCCATGCCGATGCTTTCGCCAAACGAACAAGCGCAACTGCAGCTGAATCAGCAGATGTCTCAATTCATGCAGATGCAGATGCAGTTTATGCAGATGATGGCCGGCAACAACAACAATAACAACAACAATGTCGGCAACGGACCACCTCGATCCGCCGGGCACATGGGCAGCAATTCGATGGGTGCTGTTCAAGGCATGGGCGGCCCGGGTATGGGCATGGGAATGGGGATGCCCGTGGGCATGGACATGAACGCAGGGGCACGCGGTTCATACTTGGAGACGCCAATGATGGACCAGTCTATGGGTGACATGCACGGTCGGACTATGAGCCTGGTCCAGCCAAGCTCTTCTTCTTGGCTCCAGCCCCCTCAGCCTGGTTATGCAGGATCGATTCGTCACCAGGGCAACGGCTACACACCGTCCATTGCACCATCCGAGCGTAGCAATGTCGGTCTCCCAGGGCGATACCGTCCTGTCTCGCAGATGCCCCCAGGACCAGGCACGCCTGACCACACACGACAGTCCTCCATGATGGGCTCAGCTCTCAGCCCTTACAGCGACGCGCAGACGCTACGGCCCGACGACAAAAGCTCACCGAGGAAGTCGGAGGCTAGCAAACCAGCAGGCGAAGATGCCGACGACGACGATGAGGAGGGTTGGGCGGCCATGAAGGCCAAGAGAGACAAGAAGAAGTCTTCTTGGAAAATGAGAAAGACCATGGCCCCGGGCGGTCTTGACATTGGCTCTCTTATCACGTAATAGGAGCATTGGGGTTTCGAATTAAGACAAGTCATTTGGTAGTGGAAAGGGGGAGGGGAGCATGATTTGGGTAATTTCAACCGGCGAAGCATTCTGGCAGCATAACATCTCACGGCATCCAAAACATCTCCTACAGCATTTGACAGTCATTTATTCATCGTTCATCTCACCATCACTCGGGGCCAAACGCCCCAGAAAGAGGAGGGCAAATTGTGTGTGTGTGTGTGTGTGTGTGTGTGTGTGTGTGTGTGTGTGTGTGCCACGTGTGTGTATATTGCGGTACACGGGGGTTTACAATCTTCATACAAAGGCGTTGCGATTTGGGTAACTAAGATGTATTTAAGGCAGGGAGGGCGGCAACTCGGGAACGAGATTATGATAGACATCCCTTCTGTTAGGGATTAATTCTAATGTGGGCATCGACTTGGGCCTGTGCTCCGTGGTGATGATGTTTCTACTTTGCCTCTGTACCGTAGACGTGTACCATACACGCATCCCTGCGATTGGTATTGTTTGCCTTGCTACAACCCTCCCTTTCCTCCCCACTGGTACCTAGATATGTCCGGATCTGGTTTCTTACCTTGAATAGAGGGGGGGGCCTTGGTAGCGAGAGGGTTGGTTTACTGTACTCATCTAGGAGCATACAAGTACATTGTCAATGTAGCCACAATATCAAGACCTGCACGGATCCCAAGCCGAAGCTTTTTAGTCTATTTATTTTTATCAAATCATTACATCCTGGCAGGTATAGCAGACGCGTGTTGACGTCTCTCGCAGCATGACCAATGGCTTGCCAGATCCCGAGTCGGCAATGCCATTTCCAGAAAAGCATACCTCCTGCTCTCGCCAGTAGGCGGCTTCAGGGGTTTTGATGATGTTTTCGGCCGCCCTGTCTGTGGCTGAACCGCCAACATAAACAGGAGACGTAGGTACCTAGGTATGTGTAGGCGTGCAACCCCGCTCCTTCCCACCGGCCTGCCGTAGCCACCCTCTTTTAATACACTGGCTCAACCCCCCGCCCAGCTCCTACGACGACAACTTGCCGCCGGCCCAGCCCTTGCGCTTGCCGCCCATCTCGACGGCGGCGAGCCCCCAGTCCTCGCCGTGGTTGTGGCCGCCGCTGGTGACGCCCGCGCGGGCCTTGGCCTGGTCCTCGTTGAGGACGGTCAGCACGCCGAAGACGACGGGGACGCCCGTGTCGAGCTGGACGCGCATGAGACCGTGCGAGACGGCATCGGCGATGTACTCGAAGTGCATGGTGTCGCCCTTGATGAGCACGCCGATGGCGATCAGGGCGTCGAAGGCGGTGGACAGCCCGGCGCCCGCGGCCGGCTTGCCCGCCGACAGGGAGGTCAGGTCCGTCGTGGACCCGCCGAGGAGGTCGCCGGCGCTTGCGCTGGACGAGGAGGACGACTGGATCTGGGAGGCGGCGAACATACTGTTTTTGTTGGGTGGGTTCAGCAAGCAGGCACCTTAGCAAGCCGCGGAGGGATGTCGATCACGCGTGAGGCGGGGGGTCGAGGGGAGAGCTGGACGCCATTGAAGCGAGCCCGGAACCGGTAGAGGTGGTTACTTACCGCTGGACACCGATCGGAAGCTCCCAGGACCCCGGGACAGACTCCACGACGATGTTGCTCTCCTGCACGCCGCACGCGAGCAGCTTCGCCCTGGTGCCCTCCAGGAGGGGGTCGATGATCTCGGCATTCCAGCGGGCGTGGACGATGCCGATGCGCAGGCCGGAGCCGTCGTGCTGTTCCGGAGTTGGCCCCTTCATTTTGATACGGATAGCTAGAGCTGTACGTCAATTGCTTGCGGAGGGACGTTCTGAACGCTGGGAAAGGAGCTGTTGGTTTTGTTCGTCAAGCTGCTTGGTCGGCTCAGTAGACTGCACATGTAGGAAGGGTCCATGGACACCCCGCCACTGCCGCGGGGTGGGAGTCTGGAACACCCAGACTTGTTATGTAAGCGTACGTGCTGGACATAGGCTTGACTCAATTCAATCCTACTTGGGCTTTGTTATGGTAGGTGATCACATCCCCAGATAGGATCACAGTCATCACGCTTCACACGATTCTATTGCATCTGAACGAAATAAGCGTTTCGAACCGCAGGTACATATCTACACACAGCTGTGTCCGGCTCCCGCCTTCTCACAACTTTCAAAGCAGCCGTACCTCAAGTGTGTCCCCAAGTGGGAATCGAAATGGAGAGCTCCCCCGACTTGCGGTCTCCCGGCCACGGAAGCGTCTGAGCGACCTGTCATGGGGCACATGTTCTCGTTGTGCTGCTTTGTTTCTCTGGCATTGCCATGATCTAATAACACCCTAGGGAAGTCTTCGGTCTGACGGCCTTGGGCGACAGACACCGGACTCGAGTTTGGCTGGTAGTCCGTCAAGAGCTTACGATGTCCGCTTCTTCCTTGCCGTCCAGGCCGGCGTGGTTCTCAGCTTTGGCTCTTTCCTGGCCCCGTCGGGCATGGCTGCGAGATGACAGAGCTTCGAGAGCATGCGAGATGGAAGTAATACGCTTCATAGCATTACATCGTTGCGCAGACAGACGGTAGCTCGGTCTCATTTCATGGGTATCTGCTGCGCATTCTGACGAGCAGTGTCATTTTGGGAATCCGCGATGAGGCAGCGTCCAGCGCGTCAGTGCAAGTGCAGAGCAATCTCGGTATGGACCAGGCTTATACACACACTCAGCGGAACTGACTAGTACAGAATACCCAATCGTCGATGCATCTTCAGGGCTGGCCACACGGCCAGTCCAATACGGTGGTGTTTACCGAAGGGCTACCGGTCCGATTGACTAGAAGGAGCCTGCTCACTAGAGAACCAAGTGTTATGTTGCATGCGTCGAGTGGTGCGTGCTGGAGTGTCAGCGATGGGCTTTGGCCTACAGGCCGTCAGTGTCCGACGAGAGTTCGCTCAAGCTTTGTGCAAAAACCAGGACCAAACGAAGCTACCTAGGATGATGGTTGCCTCGTGTAAATGTCCGCATACCCAGGTATAAAGGTCCGTTATGTCGCACATGCACTCAGTTCTCGGGTCTTTCCCCTTGTTCAAATCACTGCACTTCAAAGTACTCTTATATTTGTTAAGACCGATCCTGGAAAGACATAGACAATGGGTGTTCACATCTCAGATAGCGATTCTGAGCTCTCCAACGAGAAGGGCCAGACTACAACCGCCCACAAGCGGTCTCGCTGCCCCTGGATCTTACTCGTCCAAATCCTCAGGAAACACCAGGAGAAGCGAGAGCAGACAAGAATCGAAGAGATTCGAATGCAAGTCAACAAGGATCGTGAAAAGATCGAGGCCGGGCGGTTCCGCTTTTGGCAGGGTACCACGTCCACGGAACAGAGGCGTTCGATGTGGGAGGGTGGGCTGGACCCCAGCTCGTTGAAATGTTGTGGCCGCACATTCAGCACAAGCCACACTTACAAGCTCACCATTTCGAGCACGAAATCTGGCTCGGTTGAGATCGTGATACATGACTTCCGCACTCCAGAGGGACGCGAGGAGGCATTCAAGTGGTGGGACGCACGGTATCGACGAGTGGAGACATACGCTGACCGGACCGTCGACTTGTGCAATTCTTGGGAGGAAACCTACCAGAAATATATCAAGGAGCACCACCTCGTTGACCGCAAAATCCTTTTGAAAGGAGGCCCCAAGATCAACTGGACCAGAACCAAGGTGGAAAAACTTCCCAACTGATTGTTACGATTTTCTTTGGAATCCGACGGATGCGGATAGGAACAGCGACAATCCGGTGTGCGGCTGGTGTGATTGCGACTTGTTGTTGAGATCGGCGAGTGGTGGGCTGCATGATGTCTCCTGGATGCAATCATATTCACTACCTTAGAGAGACTCTGCAGCAGCAGCTCACACAATTCGACAGTGCTGCAGGCATTCTCCAAAGCCTCCTCGCCTTCCTTATAGCTGGCCCCATAAAAATCACTTTGATGTGTCCAGATTTTCGATAATAACATATCTACTGTGGGAATGAAACTCGATGTGGAGCTTGTTCCTCTGCCCCCATGAGCACACCATTTCACGGAGTTCCTTCGATCCTTCCTTTTTTTTTGCCATGGGTGACTGTTGCTGACGTCCCAGGTGGGTGGAAGCCGCACCCGTGCCTTCCTCTTACGATGGCAGACCGGCCCATGTCGCAGGTAGGTCGCGCGCCTTCCTGTGCCCAGGGTACCTGTTGAACTAGGTAGGCATTGGTCTACCTTCTATGATGCCAGTGTGGCATGGCAAATCCTGCAATTTCTTCTACTTCTTGTTCCTCTTCCGTATTGATTGAATTATCTTTTCCATGCCTCATATTCTATTGCCGTGAAACCCTCTTCATGTAACATTGAAACCCTCAAGATGTCCATCACTGCCCTTCCAGAGACTACGGTCCGTCTTCTTGGTTCTGCGGCGGCCATCACCACGCCGGTTGATGTGATCAAGGAGCTTCTAGACAATGCTCTTGACGCAGAAGCCACCTCTGTGGAGATTCTTGTGTCAGCAAACCTCATCGGCAGCATCCAGGTCAGAGACAATGGGCACGGAATCCAAGCTGATGACTACGACTCACTCGGCCGCGTGGGCCACACGAGCAAGCTCACCTCCTTCGAAGAGCTGAGGACCTTTAGGGGAAGCACACTTGGTTTCCGGGGTCAGGCACTGGCCAGCGCAAACTCCCTGGGATGCGTCACCGTTGTCACCAGGTGCAGCGGAGACCCAACGGCTGTGAAACTGACTCTCTGCGCTGGTGTTGGCGGAATCGAGAGCCAACAGCGGATATCTGCCCCGGTTGGCACGACTGTAACCGTGGAAGGGCTCTTCAAGGCCATTCCTGTCCGTGAACAAGTTGCTGAGAAGGAGGCACAAAAAAACCTCGCCAAAGCCAAGCATCTATTCCAAGCCTACGCTCTGGCCAGACCCATGATCCGAATTTCTCTCAAGGTTTTGGGTGGGGATATCAAGCAGGCCTGGTCCTACTCTCCACGTCCGGACGCCAGTGTCAGAGAAGCTGTCGTTCAGGTCTTTGGGGCAGGCGTCATGTCAGAGTGTGTGCTGAAGACTGCAGCCACTGAGACAGACTCCAGGAAGTACGAAAACGTCCGTGGTGGCCCACGGATGACCATCGAGGCGGTCCTGCCCAAGCCAGATGCGGACTTATCCAAGATGTCCAAGGGCTCGTTCTTCTCCGTCGACTCTCGTCCCTTGTCAACTTCGCGCGGCATCATGAAAAAGCTGCTTTCAAATCTCAAGGTGCACTTCAAGAAGTCTCTGAAAGTGAATGATGAAGATAGAAGGTTGAGCGATCTCTTCACCTGCGTCAACGTCAAGTGCTCTGCAGGTACTTACGATCCGAATGTCGAGCCGTCGAAAAGTCAGGTCCTCTTCGCCGATGAGTCTCAGCTGGTGGAACTGTTCGAGGAGCTATGTGCAAAGACCTACCAGAGTCGACAGGCCGCGGACGCTTTCGCAACGATTGAAAAGAGGCCACTGACAAGACGGACACAAACGCGAACACCGCCACCAAGTAGCGATGGACCTCAGGGTTTCGCCGAGCCACCGGTACCCTATCTAGATGAGTCGTCGCACAGTACGTACGTTCGCCAACCTGAGATACCTGAAGTCAGTCGCCCGAACGCGATTTTGATAGACTCATCGGATACAAGTGCGGTCCCGTCTCAACGGGTGCGTAGGTGTCGAGCACCGGAGGCTCAACTGACTGGACATCTTCACCCACCCCAGTCATCAACAGACTCGTCCAGCTATGAACCAGTCGAAGAAAGGTTTCCAACAGGATCAACGCGTCTAGTTGAGCTACCAGTCACCGCAACTCAAGATCCGGAGGCCACTATGGAGCAGTTGCCGACTCCAGAGCAAAATGGTGCCGCCCAGCAGCTTTATCCTCCATTGAGAACTCGCGATTCACACGCCGCCGAATACACCGTGTCAGACCAAGCAGATCCCTATCACCGTAAAGGTCGCAAGCGGAAATTTGTCGTGAACATGTCAGCGGACCCAGACCTATCATCGGACGAGGAGGCCGAGACTCGCGAATCTGGTTCCTACGACTTGCAAGAGACAATTGCACCGCCGGGAGAGTCATTCGACACATCAAAAGAAGCCTTGAATCCTTGGGTCATCGCAAGGATGACCGCACCAGCTCGGCAGACAGTCACTGTTAATACCACCGCACACAGCGCCTGTCCAACTCTTGCCCGCACCGAAGAACCAAATGCTCCGCTCATAAACGCCGAATCTTTCGAGGAGGAATTGCCGATCTTGCGACCACAGATGGGCGCACCCAGAGATCTTGATACACCTCGTGTGATGAGGTTCGCGAATACACATATGGGCCATCTTCAGGCTACTGATGTTGGACACCGTGACCCATCGGCTTCCGTGAGCCCACAGACCACTGCTCGAGTAGCAGCTCATGATCTGCCTCAGTCACCTTTGCACACGGAACGCTCGATGGGGAGACGCAAGCTTCCCAATTTCAGGCCACATAGCAACATTCTCGAAGAGAACGCCGATCCAGATGGGCTGGTTCAGACTACTTTGTCTTTCGATAAGCCAAAAGAGCCACGCCATGACCAAGAAGCCCAGGCCCAATTTCACATCAGCGATGTCCCAACGCGGCGAAACCCAACATTCCGGAAGCCAAAGAGAGTCAAGAAACGGGACCAAGGTTTCGTCCCACAAGATGCTTGCACCAGCAGCGAGCGTGAATATTATTTGGTAGAATCTCAAAACGGCAACAGAATCGCGAAAGAGTCTTTGAGAGACTACGACTTCGAGTCATCTCAGTTACCAAGGCTTGACCTTGTGGGTTTTGAAGACAGCCATGTTGACCATCTGCCGACTGTGAAACAGCCAAGTCGTGGATACAACGAGACCAATAACTTCGATGGGGATCCGAGGAGGTACCTGATAAGAAGGCGACGTTCAGAGGCAGCGCATCGAAGGAAGGGCCGGCAGTCCATCAAAAGGACCAAAACGGACAAATTGCCCCTGGAGACAGTTCCCTCCGGCGATGGAACTAAGCACCTCGTGCTGAACGTGGATCACCAAACGGTCGAGACCTGCAATGCTTCGAGAAGAACGACCTCCTTGGCTGATTACCGCGAGGGAGTGCGCTTCGGATCTTCGATGAACTTGGAGGACGTGGATGATATCCAGTCTAGACTGCAGGCCGTCGTCACTAGCTGGACACAAAAGACCTTTGGGGAGAAGGCGGACATCGAAATTGATCTTCGGGAGGCAGTGAAGGGAACTCAAGTGGCCGCTTAGCCAATTACTGCCATGACATGTGGACATTCCTCTTGAGAGAACTCGGGTACATATGGGATCATCTGCTGGTGCTGGGAGATTATGAATCGGGCCATCGTGGACAAATTGGGAGGTCTTGCTGAGCTGGGCAAACAATTTTGACATCTCGTCGCTAGAATGCGAGGGAAGCTACGACCCTCTCCCGTAAGATCTGACGAGCTTCGGACTCCCCGCGTATTGTTGTTTGATTCCGGGTTGCTTGCGAGTGACCTACAGGGATCGGTGAATCGCCGAAAAAGAGAGGCTCACTTACACGGCCGATACGTGCCCCTAAAACTCTTACGGGATACAGGTGCGCCCAAATGGCGTCTACGACGGCACGATCTGATGATCGCCGTTTCGATCTGGATCTGCGTGCATACCGCTTCTCTACATGAGGCCACTTGACCAGCGTCACTGCCAGGTTTTGTGCATTTTGGTGTCCTTTTATGTCGTCGGGAATGTGCTATTGGACAGGAGGGACCTCGTATTGGGAGCTGTGATGGCTGACAGCACGGGAGGGACTAGGGTACGAGCCCAAATGTGCCCGAGGCGAGGGGAGGAGCGGCCACCCAGGCCAACCCAGGCCATGCGGCGCCAGCGGTGGGAATCTTTTTGTTCACGAATGAAGGGGATCGGCAGCAAGCGAGGGGAGGGTCCCTCCCCTCCCAACGACAGGAATTCCCACAGTTTTCCTGCCGCGAGTGGTGACCGGGGCCCGCCTGCCCTCCCGCCCACTGCCCACCTTACCTGCCCGCCCTGACTGACACCTTGGTTGCGAGAGCAAAGGGGATCGTCGTGCGGCGGCCGTGCAGCCGTGACCAGGAGCCGCTTGGCGCGCCCGGAGCGGTGGTGGATACCCCACGGGTAATATGGGGCCACCCACCCAGGGCGAGGGCGGACTCGTTCACGTCTGTCTGCTCAAAATAGAAAGGAAGAGGGGAGTGTATGGGCCGTGGAGATGCCTCTTCTCTTGGGAGAAAGCCGGTCGTCATTTTCGGGGCGTGCGCACAGGTAGCGCCGGGTGCTGCTCCTCGTAAGGGAGCAACCCGAGGCGCTGGATCGTCCATGTCGCTGACGCTTTTGGGGGCCGGCCCTGACGCGCACGGAGTAGCGCGGAGGATCGAAGCCATCGAAGATTCCTCTGGGCTTCCCCGTTCTCTTTCCTGTTCGGCAATTGCCTCCAGTGGCCCCCAGGTATGTGACGTGGGTGCTTTAAAAATAAGTGCAACGTGGTAGCAGCAGTGCAATGGGCGTAATTCCGAGATGGCCAGCCTATAACACCTAGGTAGTGTCAATACTGTACGCAGCAGTAGACCACTGTGGTGATGCGGTGCAGCCAGCATCCTCGGTCAACTTTGAAGTTGGCAGGGTGGGCCCCCCCCCTTGACTGCGCTGCCCTGTCGGTCGCCCTGTCAATCTTGTCACTGGCAGTGCTGGACGGCGTCATGGAACAGCCAGGGAAGCTCATTTCCCGCGCAAATAAGGTTGACGGCCGGGGCCCCTGTGAACAGTCAGGGGGGCTCCCGGGTCGGCAGGCGGCAGTGATAGTGGCAGTGACTTGAGCCTGAAGATGTATGATCACTCAGTCAGACATCGTATCGTGACGACGACCTGCCTTTGTGTGCGATGCGGTGTATCACGGGGATCGGGTCGTACTTCTGCATGAGGAGCAGCGTGTGCTGTACGGTATGTGTGTACCATAGTACAGAGTAAATGCATGCGTAGCGGAACGCAGGCTTGCTGACCCGGCGCCATGCCATTCGTCTTGTCGTTCCGCTCCTTCGGCCAGTTCCCCTCGTCGTGCAGCGAACTTGCTGCTGCTGCTGCTGCTGCTGCCGCCGCCGCCGCCGCTGCCTTGCCATGCCCTTGCGTTGCGCTGCGTCGTGTTGCGCTGCGTCGTGTTGTGCTGTGCTGCGATGGAATGGGGATGTGACTCTTCCAGTGATGCTCCCTCCTCCTCCGCTCCGGAATTGAAGAATGAGGGAAAGGTAATAGCTCAGGTCCAGCTCGTTTCATGCTGCCCGGGTGGGCCACAACACATCCACCCAGCATAGCCTAACATAGCACAAGCACAACAAAGCAGCAGGCAGCCTGCTGCTCCTGTTTCCCTTCCGGGACGCCAAGCTCGATTCAATCCATTCAGGCCATCCACAGTGGCTAGAAGCAGGCAAGCTCCTGGCAAAAGGGCCCCGCCGCCCCGTTCCCTAGACAGCGGACCCAAGATTGCAATCTGGAATCGTCCCAATTTCTCGACGGGCGCAACACCACCCACCGCACACAGGCACCCGCACCCAGGCACACACCACAGCACCGCACCGCACCGCACCGCACCGCACCACCACCCACCCCTTACCGCGGACACCATCTCCAACCAACAACCCACCTGCCAACTCACCACGTCATTGCCCAGGCAGCCCTCGACAGGAAACCGCTCCCAACTGAACACGCCGTTTCAGACAAGAAATATCCCACGCCTTACCCTCAGCCACCTACCCGACCAGCCAGCATCCATTGCCCGCCCGCCGGACCCGCCAGACAGCCAATCCATCCATCCGCACATCCCGTCGCGTCGTGTCTCGTGTGCTTGAACCCGGAACGTCGATTGCCTCCCCAGCTACACCGAGGCCGACCCCGTTCCCGTCTGCCAACTTGGTGCGCCAGTTGCCTCTATCCGTCCTGGACTCCAGCCTCAGCCCCGGGCTGCTCTCGCGCATCGGACAAGAGCCTCAGTGGACCCAGTCTCCCAAGATGTTCATTATCTGACACCGCTGCTCGCTTTCCTTTCGTCCCGTCGCGACTCCAGAACTCGGATTCTTCCACTCGTGCCGCGCCAATCATGCGAATACTCGATGCACCCTGTTTTGAGAATGATTCTGGTCGGACGTGCACTCCCTGCGACGATGACGCCACAAGGAAACCCTCCTCCCAGCCGCGGCCTGTCGCACGGCGGAGCGATGTAGACGGGGCCGTCTACCACAAGAGGAGGAAAGCAAATCCCAGCCTTGGAACCAGTCTCGAATCCACACCCACGCACTTCGACAAAGGCATCACCACGACGGCGCGCCACAGCAAGCGGCAATCGCGCCTTTCGACAAATCGCAGCTTGCGCTCCCTCGTTTGCCTGTCGCTCTTGTCGCAGCCCGCCGCCGCCGTTCTTCTCCACAAATTCGACAATTGCCTTCAGGAACCGACCAAGGATAGTGATCCTCTCGAATTACAATGGGTTCCGCTTTACGTGGGGGCGACCTTCGACACCAAGAACAAAAGCCATAACCTTAGGGTCACCGTTTGGGGGAACGTCACGGGCGCCTACAACCCGACAGCCGGGCCTGAACTGCCTCCCTGGGACAGCGACGACTGGAACAACCCCAATGTCACAGACGGCAAGATCGTGGACAACCCGTTCCCGACAACTGCGAACTTCCTCACCACACTGCACAGCAAGATCGATGTTGTGACGTACGAGCCGTACGCGGCCGATTTCGACTTTTGCAAGGACGCCCTGACGAATGCGTCATGCCCGCTGGGCCCCTACTTCAATAGGACGGAAATGTGCGTATCCGCTCTGGTGCCTGTCCCCCTTCAAGGGCCTTCAGGCGTGGAAGATGATGGCCGGTGCGGTGCTGAACGTCGTTCGCCTCTCTGCGTTCATGGTAGGGCAGCAGGTTCATGCTGGGGCTTGAGTCGCTCCCGGTCGACACATGAAGATACATGACGGTGGTGAATTCTTGTAATGGGATGCTCACTCACAACCTGTTATGCGAGCCAGATGCCTGCTGTCCGACCAGATCCAAGTTGCGAGAACCGACTTGTTGCAGTGCTGACCGTGCTTTCACCACCTCTGTTGCAATATACTGTCTTGAGTGCAAGCATAACGCTAACACCTAGTGCAGAACCTCTCTTGCTGCCCTGCCGTCCATCACGATGTCGAAGGACTTCTATTCGAGCTACGCTTTCACATCGTTCTCGCCCACGTTCTCCATAATATACGGCGATGCCGTGAAGACAACCGTTGGCTGCGTCTCCGCGACAGTGACCCCTGATCTCGGCAAGCTGACCTGGATGTTGAAGTTCCTGCCCCTCATGGTCCTCCTCTCCGTCGGATTTGCTACTGTGTTTGCCAGCATCTACAGCCCGTGGGGGACAACGGATATCTTCCACTGGAGCTCCAATTTTGGAAGACATAACGACCTCCTCCGCTTAGTGACGCCAGGCTTTGGTGACTGCCTCCAATACATCCAGTTTGTGACGTTGACTGGCGGCCTCACCCTAAATTATCCCGGCTTCTTCCAGCCCATCGTCAGTCAGGCGTCCTGGTCTGCGCTGATGTTCAATGAGAGCTTTGTGAGCAACGAGCCAGGATGGCAGAGCTTGAGGGACGGCATCTACTTCACCAACGGCAGCTACGGCCTCCAGGATCTCGGCCAGCTGGTCGGCATGGGCAATGTTGAGGATGTCTGGGCGGGCATGATGGTCTGGCTTCTAGGCATCATAGCAGCCGCGGCCGTCATCACTCAACTGGGCTTTGCGGTGCAATGGGTCTACCGCTTTGTCAAGAACGTCCAGGAGGAAGATCTCCGCAACAAGAACCTCCCTTTCACCGTGGGGAACGTCGTCAGAATTGTTTTCAACTTCTTCCTGCTACCTTTGGTTGCATTGTCCATGTTTCAGCTCGTGGTTGCCGCCAAGTCACCAGCGTACACAGTAGCCCTCGCGGCCGCGACCATCGTACTGCTTCTTATCTTTGCCGGCTGGCTTCTACGCCTTATCACGACTACCAAACCGCGGTCGGTTCTGTTCGACGACCTCCCGACGGTGCTCCTTTACGGGCCTCTCTACAACACCTATTCCGACGAAGCTGCCGCGTTCGCGTTGATTCCCGTCCTGTTAACGTTCATCAGAGGTGTCGGTATCGGCGCTGTGCAGCCTGCGGGCATTGCACAGATCATCATCTTGGCTATCTGCGAGGTTGTGCAAGTAATCACCCTGCACGCCTTCAAGCCTTTCTCCTCACCTACGTCGATGAATGCGTACCACACCCTCTTTGCGGTGCTACGATTCACAATAATACTTCTCATGACCGCATTCATTCCGCAGCTTGGCGTCACCGACGGTCCAAAGGGGTGGATAGGATACGTCATCCTCGTGATACACAGCGGCGTACTGGTTTTGTGCTTCTTACTCAACGCTCTGCAGACCATCATCGAGGTTATTGCAAGGTTACTGGGCGCAGGAGGGGACGATAACAAGGGCTTGTCGCAGGGGCCTTTGTCGAGGATCTTCGGCGCGCGGCAGCTTTCCAGGAGGACTTCGCGGCGTGGTGGTCCTTCCAGACAAAGTCAATTGTCAAGCACGGCTATGTTGAGTGCGAAAGATCCAGTTCAAGCAGGATACATTGCGCCAAGCGGCCGTCTTCGAAGTGAATCAGCAGGTAGCGTTGGGGTGATTCTCAACGGTCGGCCTCAGAGAAGCTCGTCAGCCCTTGATGCTATGAGTTTTGACAACTCGATGCCGCCGTCTCGTCTCGAAGGCGGGACGTCCTTCGCGCCATCGACCCCTGGCGAGGCCAGCACATACTCCTTCCTCCCATCTCCCGTGATAGGGCAGCAGACCCGACACTCGGTACCGCCGAACGCTTTGATAACAGACAGCCCGGGCGACACATTCTACCGGCCACCAAGGAAGCGGGGCAAGACACTTGAAAACCAGTCCTCGCACTCCAGAGCTCGCGGGTCCTGGGGGACGAGTGGTGAGTGGTCTCAAAGGCGGACGAGCCAAAGTGGCGGAGGCCCGCTCGACCTAGTCGATGCCGACCCTGTCGACCGTGACCGAGATCGTGATCGCGCAACACCTGCGACGTATGCCTTCCCCACGAGAACAGACTACGCCACTCGCGAAGTCGATTTCTATTACGGCGTGCAGCGGGGCTCGAGGCTTAATTCGGACGCGCCGCAGAGAAAGCTGGGCACAGGGCCCGCAGATCCCACCGGGACAGTTGCTACTGCAACAGGCTGGTTCAAGAACATGTTCAGCGGCAAGAGGAAGGAGAAAGGCAAAGGTTTCGAGGTCGTGCGGAGCTCTCGGATGCCTCCTGCCATGCGTTCGGATCAAGCCTACGATGACACAGATCCTCCCGAAGGAACGCCTGTGGCGATGGGTGTGCTGAGGAAAGGACCCATCGATTCGGATTCTGACGAAGGCGCCGCCAAGGGTCCGGGCCCGGCCGCGCAGGTCGACGAGCCTCCACCAACAGCGCGATTGCTCAACGACGATGGCGTCAGCATAGATGAAGACGCTGCTGACGAGCCGGGAGACCTGGGTACTTCTCGAAATGCACCAGTGCTGCCTGACGTGGATGCTGGTGGAAGCTTCCACGTACCCAGTCGCGCAGTATCGAAGACTAGTCACATCTCGCACAGGAGGGCTGACGCGGACGGATCAGTGCCTGATGTTCCTCGGAAAAGTTCTAGGCGCAAATCCGACCTAATAAGTGGACTGACTCTTAATATGGACGCGTCGCCACCTCGTGGACAAAACCAAGCAACGTCGTCGCGCCTCCCCTTCCAGCCATTGTCGCGGAACGTATCGGCGGACAAGAGAACGCCCTCGATCTCGTCGCTCGGGGATGAGTCTGACACGCACCGGCTGTCGAGTGAGAATCGGCTGGGCACCGTGGCCCATGGTAGTATCAACAGATTCCCATCGGATTCTCGGGGCAAGATCGAGGGCAGTTCGGCGGAGTTCGTGGATCGGTGATAACCACGCATGGAGATGCACACATTTTGAGAACTACAACATATCACACTCACATACATACGTATCCACCACATTGTGGTGCGAGCAGAGCCGCGCCGCGCCGAGACTCGATGTGGCACACTTACATAATTAGGCCATTGGGAATTTGGGCCAAAACACAACCTGGACTCCTTGAATTTTTTTGGGGGCAATCGGCAAAGCGGGAGTTGGGTCGATCACGTTCGGGGCGCGCTGCCAGCATGCACGGAGGGCGGCAATAGACTGATTTCTGGGTAACCTCTTCTTTTTTTTTTTTTTTTTTTTTTTTTTTTTTGACTCAACTGCTAGCGATGGCGTATCAAAAACCAACTCTCAGGTGCTTTTTTCCCCGCTGTGTTCTGTCATTCTCGGGTGTGGTATCTCGGGCAGGCTTCTCTGTAATTAGGGGAGATATCATACGTGTACACTGGAACGATGAGTGCCTTGTAGTAACAGGGAAGAAAGTCAAGAAACCTGTTTCCACATGTGCCTTTTTGGGGTTTCACTGCGTGATATTCAACTATGTAGGTCCCGCGAGTGAAACTTGCCTCGAATGGTCAGGACCTGACTGATATTGTCGGTGTATACAATAGAGGCGAGGTTTCGACGCGAGGAATGTGTGTAGTTAGTGCTGATGCTTGTACAATATTGAAAATCTACGCGCAGAAACATATCTTGGCAGTAAGAAAACTGGAAATGCCAGTCTTTTGTGATAACAAAGAAAACATGCTTTTAAATGCCGCTAAATCTTGCGTTTTGTATACTGTGGTTGTGCCAAGGTAGCGAGGATGATATTCAGTAGTCTGTGGAGCGATACACACAACCTCGGCGTGTCTCTAGCACCCGCATCAAGACCAACCCACTCGACGACGGTCACAATCTCCGGCGCCACTCGTTGACACGGTCTCAGCCGCCAACAGTCTTGTCGGCTCTGGCGGCGCCTGGCTCTGGGCTATTTCCGGGCCCGCTGTCGACGGCTCGCCGCCGGATCGACTTGGTCTGGTCCGAGATCCCACTTGTCTTGTCTATTCGACCGGTGCGGGAGAGAGCTGTCAGAAAACGCGGCCCCATCGCAAAGCCTGCGAGCTGAACATACTGGTCAGACAAATATATATCTCTTCACTTTCATCGCCTCCTCTTCGAGCGTTCCTTACGTAGAAAACGCCCTCCCCCAAAGATCCTACATTTTGAGGTGTGTCCCTGACGCCGGTGCCCACAGAGACAAAGACTGCTAGACGCTAGGCTGACCGTGGTTCAGAGCCGCCCGAGGTCTCCGTTCACTTCGACCCGGACTCCAGTATCATATCTACACTCTTTATCGAGGCCCTTGTGCCCGCGAATAGAGACTCGACTGTAATTAGCGTCACTTGGTCTTGACTGAGTCTCTTTCTGACTGCCAGGTCCCTAGGCTGGTGGCACGACGTGCGGACTGGGGGACGGAAACGTGGTCACGAGGGCAACTTTATGGGGACTTGGATGCTGGCGTACTATCTGCCTTCGAAGCCAGTCTACACTGAATTTTGTGCCTGTAAGTTGTGATTTCTGTGTTCGAGCTTCATTCTCTCTCATACACAAGTTTCCTCGACGTGTCGCCCATCTCGCTCGAACGCACATCACAACATTTACATGTTGTTCGCATCTCTATCCATCCACACATCCGCCATCTTCACCTTCACTCCGACAACAAATACCAAAAAGAAAATGAAAACACCCGTGCTCATTGTCATCATCGCCTCGGTCGTGGTCCTCTGCACCCTCCCAGCCCTCTACGTCTTCCTCGCGTACCACACGTACAGGGAGCGCCAGAGGTGGAAGGTGGACCACGACATGGCGCTCGACAAGATGGAGGCCGAGGGCCGGCGCAACCCGCGGGCCGCAAGTGCAGCATCCCACAGCATCTCCTCCTCATCGGGCCTGGGCAGGGCTCCATCCGCCCAGCACAGCCACCACCGCCAGCAGCAGTCGTCCGCCCCGGCGCGGCCGGCCCCAGCCCATAACCCCCGGTGGGCACCGCCGCGCCCGCCACGGGAACTGGATGTGTTCAAGAGCTCACGCGACCATCTGTCATCACAGGCCGACGCCGCGCCGCGCGCCGTACCTCAGGGCAGCGGGAGGAGTATCAATAGGCCCGCACCGGGCTCGACGACCACGAGGAAGAGCAGCGGAGCCGGCAAGAGCAGCAGGGCCTCCGGGAAGCAGAAGCAGCAGCAGCAGCAGCAGCAGGAGCAGCGGCCATCGTCTTCGGTCTACGGGGCGACGTCGGACGAAAACGGCCAGGGGACGCGGCCACTGCCGCCTGCCTCTCGATTGTCGCCTACTTCCTCTCGGCTGCCAACAACTTCTTCTCGGTTGCCGCCTGCCTCTCAGTTGCCGCCCGCTTCCCAGTTTTAGGCGGTAGGAGCGGGGTGTGGCAACATGGCGCCATCCGAGGAGCAGCTCAGCGCAATTGCCGTCGCGAAAGAGGAAGAAGCGGGGAAAGACGACTACCAGGGCAACGAGGAGCTGGCGCAGAAGCTGCTGAAGCCGAGGAGGCGCGCGCAGATAGATGTGTGGGTGGGCGAGACCGTGAGCCGATGGGAAGCGCAGCGCTGTGCTGCCGGGAGGAAGTTCGGCCACCGTTCTGACCCGCCCACGCCCTCTGCCATGGGACAGCCCGGCTTGGGTCCGCGCTCGGCGCCACCAGTGGACGGTGATGATTGCATCTGCCCGGTCTGCGGCCGGCCCTTCGACGACAAGAAACCCGTCGTGACCCAGCCAGAGCGAGCACACCAACAGCCGGACGGGGCAAAGCCGGGAAAGGGCAAGCACATGATCCGCGGGATCAGGGCGGCCATGGGCCACCTAAAGGCCAGGGATGGCGGCAGGGGCGGGGAGAAGGGCAGGGCCGAGGAGGGCTGGGACCGCGCGTTGTCGACGCAGATGTTCCTCGCTGACGCCAGCGAGTACGGCAGCTCCACGGACACCAATCACTCGAGCTTCCCGTTCGGCGGAGGCGACAATAAGGAGCTTGGGGAGCGCATGGCGCGCTTGAGGAGGGTGCAGAAGTTGCTAGACAGGAGTCAGCCAGGCGGTGAAAAGGCTCGGTGCACAGAGATACTGCTCTAGAGAAGAACTGACTTTTCCTGATTGGACGGCCGCGCTACTACGATCATTGCGCGGTGGCCATCTCCCAACCCCGTCCTGTCCTGGTGAATAGTGATTGTGGCCTTGCGTGTGGTAATCCTGAGCCTGAGCGCGCATCGCAGCGAGGCGAAGAGCCTTTCGAGGTTGGGTAGAGCCTTGAACTTCCGTCCCATCCCTCAGGTTTGTCGAGCTTGACGATTGCGGCTCTGCCTATGTCGAAGGTGGAATCAGAAATTCGAAGTTCGTGCATCCTTATGATGAAGGCATTGAGACGTTGCCAGCAAGGTGCAACTGTACTTCGATCTCTGTAGCCCAATCCCGTACTCTACCTTGACGTCGTCTGCTTCGCCGTCTGGCCGTAGCCTGGTCCAGTGGCAGGAAAAGCTGAATATGTCGCGTCATTCGGCACTGACTGGAGCGGCTGGGTTGACTTGATGACTGTTTTGATTTTTGGGGGGGTAATGGGGGGCTTTACATCTGTCTGTGGACCGATAAACATTGGGGGGTAATTCCGAGACGACCTCTCTCTCTCTCAGTATGAAATAAGGCAAATGACGCATACAGGCGGAGATAAGGAAATCAACATAATCCATGAAAATCCTGGGTTGTGACTCTCTGAAAAGGGATAAAACACCCAAAGGAAGAGCGAGGATCAGCCATGTTGCTAGGGCACAACGCCGAACCCACCAAGTGGCCAACTCTTTTCCCCCCACGGGAGCCAAAACCAGAGGACCCAGAGTCCATGTCCTGCGTTCTCGCTACCCATCGCAACCAACTCCCAGGAAGAGTGACCCCGATCGTGACCAATGCCATAAATCACATCCTCTCGCCACCCGGACTCCGCTCAGAGGGCGCCTTCCACCATCCTCCTGGCATGGACGCTCAGCTTCAGCGGGGAACATCACTTTTCGACTTTCAGCAGGCGCACAAGGGACTTGTGAGCGCCCCTTTAGGACTCGGGTGCGGGCTCCTCGGCCTTGGCCTCCGTCTTCTCCTCTGTGGGCTTTTCCTCCTTGGCTCCCTCGGCGGTGCCTGCGGCCTCGGCCTCGCCGTTGTCGGACGAGGTCCACAGGGTGAGGTTGTCCCGGAGAAGCTGCATGATAAGAGTGCTGTCCCGGTAGGACTCCTCGGACAGAGAGTCGAGCTCGGCAATGGCATCGTCGAATGCCTGCTTGGCGAGGTGGCAGGCACGGTCTGGGGAGTTCAGAATCTCGTAGTAGAACACAGAGAAGTTAAGGGCCAGTCCCAGGCGGATGGGGTGAGTGGGGGTCAGCTCGGTCTGGGCAACGTCGGTGGCGTTCTGCAGACAGGGGTGTCAGTAGACTGCGCACATCAGTCCGTCACGCGCAACTGAGTTTCCTCACCTTGTAGGCCTCGTGGGCAGCAGTGGCGGCGGTCTTGCGCTTCTCGCCGGAGGCGAACTCAGCAAGGTAACGGTGGTAGTCACCCTTCCTGTTTGCGGAGGCCCGAGAGTCAGATACGGTCGAAATCATTGACGGCGTCTCCAGGGAAGGGCTTACATCTTGTGGTAGAAGACCTTGGACTCGCCGGAGGCGGCGTTGGGGATGAGGGAGTCGTCCAGGACATCGAGGACATCCTGGCAGACCTTCTCGAGCTCGAGCTCGATCTTGGAACGGTACTCCTTGATGGTGGGGACGTGCTTCTCGGAGCCCTTGGACTCCTCCTTCTGCTCGATGGAGGAGATGATGCGCCAGGAGGCACGTCGGGTACCAACGACGTTCTTGTAGGCAACGGACAGCAGGTTGCGCTCGTCGACGGTCAGCTCACCGCCGAGCTTGGCAACCTCCTTCATGTAGGAGACCATCTCATCGTAACGCTCGGCCTGCTCGCACAGTCGGGCGAGGAAAGTCTTGCTGTTGGGGATCGGTCAGTTGCCTTCTGGCGCGGGTCTGGGCAGACATCAACCGGAGTTGGAAAAACACACCTCTCACGCTAGAGATTGGGAGCCATGAGTTAGCGGTTTTCATGATCTGGACGCAGCAGGACACGGAGACAGGCCCGAGAGGGTGACAGATGGCAGCAGGCGGGGGATACAGGTGATGGGAGGTTATCAGGAGCGGGAGGGCAGAGGCACAGGAGCTGGCCCAAGAGGCGATTTCGAGAGCAAAGGGGGGAGGAGTGGGGGTGGGCTTGCTGCGGTTGCAACACTACACGTACCTCGTTCGCCATCTTGTCGGATGTGTTTACGGAAAGGTGCAAGAGAGAAGGGGTGGGCAGAAAGGAAGTCTGGTGGTGGTGGGAAAGAGAGAGGGAAGGCGGCTGGGTCTGCTGGTTTGCAGGTCGAGAAGGCTGTTTACAAGTTGTCGTTGGTCGGTGATGTTGTTGTGTTGTGGGCAAAGTCGGTGTCTTGGGGTTGGGGGGCGAAAGGTGGGAAGAAAAAGCGGCAAGCCAGCAGGCCCAGGTAGGTTAGGTAGGCAGGTGAGGCAGGCAAGCAGGCACGCTTGGGTGTGCCCCCCCCCTCCCCTTCTGGTCTGGCCTGTACGGCCCGTCTGGCCTGTCTGTCCTGTAATGGGCCTGGCTCGCTGGCGTTTGGCTCTCTCCTCTGGGTCTGGGTCTGGGTCTGGGTCAGGTCGGCAGGGCTGCGCGCGGGAAGGGCCACGCCCAATGGCAGGGCTCGCCGGCCAATGTACCCAGCAAAATCAGCCTTAGCCCAGGAGGGAGGCAGCGCAAAATTGATAGCGGGGAACATCCCAAAATTGAGGCACTCCACTGCTTCCTGGTCTGGTCTGGGTACACGCGCACACACGCCCACGCCCTCACCCTCTCTGTCTGTCACTCTCTTTCAACTCAACCTGGCATCCGGCCAACTGGCAGCAAGCACGCACGCAGGTGTCGGGCTCCTTTTCCCAGCAGATGCTTGCTTGCTTTGCTGGCTGGCTGGCTGCCCAAGGTGTGCGTTGTTCCACCACATATTCTACGGTGGCCCACCACCTAGTCGACCACCTCCCTATCTCTCTGCCCAGGCATTGGCAGACAACCTGGTGTTCTGTGCTGTGGCAGAAACTTAGTTCTCGTGAGGTCGGTGAGGTGGCAGTGATGCAGAATGTCCCTCGGCAAGTATCTGTGTAGGCACGGCACAGTAGGCAAGCTTGAATAAGGCTTTCTGACTCGGCAACAAGTTGACGAGGGACGTCCGCCTTAGCCGAGCCTCGTCCTACCAACCCGTATATTATCTATATTACATTACATTAGAGGTCTGTTGTGCTGAACAGCCGTGTGCGTGCTCTCTCGGTCTGTCTCTCTCTGCTTGTACTGCTGCTGCACAGTACCATCTGGCCGGCGCCATCATTGATCACCGAGGCGTGGGAGCTATGCGCGTGGGCAAATTCGTCCCTTCGTGCTTTCGTCCCTCGTTTCCTCATCCCATCCCAAACGCCTATGTACCATATATGGTCTGGGTGCTTGTATGCACCGTAGCTTGCCGCAGTCGGTACCTACCTAGGTAGGCAATTAGTTGTAGGTGTTCTGCCCCCCAGTTTATTAGCTGGCTTTGACCGTCTCGTGATCGTCCTCATCCATCCATCCTGTGGGCTCGTCCTCCCCGATCGGATTTGTCCCCCTGAGGATGCCCCTAAATTGAAATCACGATAATTTGCCAGCACCTCGTCACATTCCGCCGGCCTAGGCTTGTTTTTATTTTCTGAGCAATCCTTTCCCGAGATAAGCTGTCCGAGACTGGCCTGCCCGCACGTGTGCGTGGGTAGTCTTATTGGACTGGACCCTGGACGCTCAAACCTTCAGCATTGCAATGCGGGCGAACCCAAAAGAATCGTCAGGAATGGAGGGGCCTGAGGGGGAGGGGGGTCAGGAGTCAGGCAGGGGCCGTGTCTTGGGCGCACGCTGCATCTGCCCTGCGGGCTGCAGCATGACGACAGACCACAAGCAGCTTGTCTGAGCGCCGTCGAAGCCCATTTCTCTTCCATGCGTCTCGGCCTGGTTCACCAGCCTTCACCGCAACCGGGCATGGACCCGTCCGGTCCGTCCGTCTGTCTGTCAGTCAAAAGCTCCCTCTGCATTGGTGTGAACGGAGATGAGGTATCCAAGCCACCAAGTCATCCGTGCTACCGCCCTGAAGTGTCGAGTGCCGAGCTGTGACCGAACAAACTTTCTCGAGCAGCCAGGGCAGATGCCCCTCCCACGCTTGCCCCTCTCGGGATCTGGTAGACATCTGGCATCAAAGGCTTGACCAGCAAGGCCAGGCTCCTGCACTCTCATCATCGTCATGCGTCCGGAACCCGACGGGCTGAGCCGCGACGCCGTGGCCCTGGGTCTTCCCTGGTCGCGCCTCGAACCTTGGAATGCCCAGCTGCGGATCGCCAATGGTAAATAAGATGGAACCATGACATACATCTATTCAGCGGCTCTCCAGTCTCCCGGGGCCCACGGGCTAACGGACTGCAGTGACCGTGAACACAGCCGGGCAGGTATCCTCTTTCGTGAATATGTGAGCAGCCCTCTGGCTCGAAGCCATGCGAATAACAAGTCGTTTTGTCACTGCCTCCAGCATTGTAGTCTGGCAAAACTCATCCTCACCAATTAGCCTTTTTTACCACCGATGACTAAGTGGGACAACTCAAGGGATCACAGCCTGGTCACCACATAATCCCGATACATATACCGGAGCGATGGCACTTAGTAATACAACTTTCTCTGGAAATTCTGAGAATGACGAGTGTCTTGACCCTTCGGGCATCGACCTGGGCGGACACAGGGAAACGGGCAGTCACAAGACACTATATCTTTGAGCATGTGAAACGTAGTTCTTCTCGTCCTCTTAAAGTCACGAACTAATAGCTACCATTTCCCTTCAGTTCAAAAGCGAAAACGGGACCAAACGCCTCCTCCTGTGTACCCAGAATACGTACAAGGCTAGTCTCACGTGCATATCAATCCCAATGCCATCCATTGCCCATTGCCAAATCGTTCTCAACCAGAACGCCCATGCTAGACCTTGCTATAGGAAACCAAGTGAAACCCGCCAAACAGCACACAAAGTGTTTTCCAGTACGATATTTTCAGCTCCGGGGTCCAAGTCACATCTCATCCGGATGTGAGCTGACATTGTACGGTGGCCGTCCCCAGTCAGAAGGATCACCGCCAGGGACGCAAAGGCCAAGCCTCCAGAAATAATCCCGATGGGCAAAAAGTAGCTGCCAGAGCTTCAGCCTCGACGGGACGCCGGACAGCGTGTCCAGCCAGCCCTCGTATCGACCCTGCGCTCGAGGTAACTCAGCCACGGCCTCTGCCACCTGGGCCAGCACGTCGCTGTCGGCGCCAGCGATGCAAGCCGGGTCCTCGTCGCCGCGACAAAGCCTCAGGTCCTCGACCGCGGGCGAGAGCTCGGGCTTGGTGATGAAGACCTCCCCGGCGTGCGGCCTGTACCCCCACTCGCTGAGCGGCAGCAGCGGCACCGGGTCGTCGACGTGAGTCACGCGCCGGTACGCCCTCCGCTCCAGGTCCGGGTCGTACCCGTCAAGCCCGCCGAGCCCGAAGACGCGGTCGACGTAGTCCACGAACCCCGCGTTGCCGGCCTGCGGCTCCCCGAACGTCGTCACGACCAGGTCGTCCCAGCCCAGCGCGACCTTCAGCTCCAGCGCCGCCAGGAGCGCGACCGCGCCGCCGAGGCTGTGGCCTACGAGGTGTATTGGGCAGTCGCGGTGCCGAGCGCGGACGTTCTTGAGCACCGGCAGGACCAGCTTCCGCGCCTGCGTCCACGATTCCAGGAAGCCCATGTGGACGGTGCAGTTGTCGCACTTGTTGGCCGTCCCATTCCCACTCCCGTCATCTGGCTCCGGGTACGGCACGTATTCTTGCGGTACAGTACTCAGGTCGATGACGGTGTTCGTGATGCTGTACGTCCCGCGGAAGGCCACGACGATGGCGCCCTCCTCTTCACCAGCATCACCTTCGCTCCCGCTGCGCTGCTTGGGGCCGGGGCCATGATCCACGGCCACGTACCCGCAGCTGTCGCTCATCAGGACCCCGGTGTTCCACGTCGACGCGAGCCGCAGGTCGGGGAACTCCTTGCAGCGCGAGGCGCACGAGAACGGCGGGGAGATGCCCGTGGTCCCGACGCAGTATGTGATGTCTACCAGGCGGGCGAGGCGCTCGAGCGACGCGAAGAAGGCTGTGGAGACGCTACTGGCCCGGGGGTACCCATCGTCGCTCGAAGGGGAAGAGATTGGTCGCTGTTGGGGCTCGGGGTGGGGCTCGGCGGACGAGCCGGCGAGGCTGGCCGGGTCGAGGGCGAGCAGGGCAATTAGAGAAGAAAGGAGTCGCATCTTGTGATGTGCTCTAGTCTGTCGTGTGATCGAGGGGTTGTGGGTCAAGTATAGGTTGATCGAGCTTTACCAAAGTCTTGGACTTGGCAGGTGTGTTTACCTTACATCTTCAGGGTACAGCGTTCGCAGGGACTCCAGATTATTGAAGGAAGGTACGAGGTGTTACGAAGGTGATAATTGACCGTTGAGAGAATACTTATAATGGGAGAGGGAAGTCGTGAAGGTCATCGTGAGGAGAACGAGTGTGGTGTTTGAAGCATTAAACAACCGCATGACGTCGGCTTGCGGCGGCTTGGTCCGTCTTGGGGTCAAAGGTTTGGGGGTTAGGGCGGCCATGGTGGATGAGTCGAAAGTCACGGCGTCAATACCCTCAGGGGTTAGAAAGCCACTCACCCACCATGCGAGATGCATCACCATTTATGCCAAGGGCCGGAATTGCATATCAAGATCTGACACATTGAGGCCATGGAAATGGCCATACTACATCGCACAAAGGGAACTTGTCTAACCTGTGCAACACAACAATAACCGTGTACTTCCAAAGCCCCGACGACGTCGTCAAATTAAGAGGGTTTTGTGCAGCCCAGCAAGGCCTATTACCCAGCTAACGCCTCACATTCCTCGCCAACAGTCTTGGATATCATACTTCGTACCTCATCCTAACGACGTCTTCCTCTTCTGTTAAGACTGCAGACCAATCGCGAGATCTCTCAGGGTTCTCAAGCACGCCGGATCAGACGGGTAGGCCCTGGTCCACCACCTCCTCCCGGCTTCAAAGGCTCGATGCTCGTGAACTGTCCCTGGTAGGTCGTTTGGTTCGACGCACACTTCACACCCGATTCATCGGTGACATCTGTACACGTCAACGTGGGGATCCATGAGCCTGAAGTATCGTATTGCACCCTGTAGCCATGTTAGAGTGTGAGAGCTGTGATAAACCTGGTTTAAACTCACGAGCTGGTGGGGCAAGCCAACTCAATCATGGTCAATTTGTTGTTCTGCCAGATGAAGTTGATCGAAGAGTTGTCACATGCGTATCTTGCAGCGGCACCTGCCGCGCCGATGTTTGTCGAGGTTGAGTTCAGGGCGCAGGTGGTTGTGATATCCGTGTCCGAGTCGACATCTTAATCATTTGTTAATGGCCTGCAAGGCAACCTGACAAGGTGATGCCCTCAAGTTTCCCGAAGGACAAAAAGGCACTAAGCATCATAGTATTCCGAGTTAAACGTACAGCCAAAGTTGACTTCTGTGTTGTTTGACGCACTCGGCGTGAACGTTGTGAAGCTCTGAATCGTGAAATATGCAGGGTATTCACAGTCCTGGGCCAGGTTCTCCTTTGGGATGGCGTCGGCGTACGACAACCCCACGATGTTCTTCGTAGCTGCCGCCAGCGGGGCGAGGCAAGCGAGGGCGACGGACCTCATTCTGGTAGATCTTGTGGGGGTTTACGGTGAGAGGTACGAGCGGGAATGGACCCAGAAAGGGAGTGAGAGGGAGCGAAAGATGTTGATCTACGAGGCGTAGATGTTTGCGTGGAAAGACGGTACGAGGCAGCCAGCCAAGACATGGACAAATGGGGGAACGGCGAACAAAAGCTTATACCGGCGCATCCCACCACCCCTGGATGAACCACAACCGTGGATGTGGGCAGTGGTACCTTGCGGATCCCTTGTGGCCGGCATTGCAGATCCCAAGTGGGCAGGGCAGTCACTACAGGTACTGCAATTATGCATGTTGGAAGGCGGGAAGGCTGGGGCCTTCGGGTTGTAAGCCGAGGGTCAACTGAGGAGCGGCTTCTGGAAAGTGTGACACAGGACGACGTAATGAGCCTCGAATGGGCTCCTTTCCAGGATGACGGGTATGACAGAGGAGGGCTCTTTCTAGAGCCTGATCTTGGTGCCTCCCTAGTTGCCTGTATACACCTGTGCTGATTGGTTTCCGACCAAGGGCCGTTTCGTTTCGTAGATCTCGACAAAGAAACACTCCCGTTAACACGAGATGGCAGGCTGCAGATGGTATGTTACCAATGTGCGAACGGCGCCACTTGCGGGTTCAGGGTGAAGGTCACTGCACGGCAGCAGCTTGTGTCACATCCGTATCCCTTGGTAAGGGGAAGCGCCGTGCTATGATGAAGAATCGCACTGCCACTCGTAGTGCACAAAGGTCGAGGGGCCAGGCGAAGGAGAGGGACGAGGATCAGCTCCTGAGATCCAGCATTAACCTCGCCGGAATGGTACGTCTACAATGTAACTATGTGCCATGGTACGCAAGGAGGCGTCGATCGAAATCTTGCAGGGCAGGTTTATGCAAGTCATGTCCAACACGTGATACTTGCATACAAAATCCAACACTTGTATAGCTAGTCAGTCCAGCCAGCCCAGGCCGGACATTACGATTACGGACATCAATCACATAGAAATGTAGTTTCAATTGTGAACTCACCTGAGGGTTCTGCATTTACATGCGTAGAGCCCCAGCGCACCGCCGCGGTTCTTGTTTATGCGGCTTTCAGGGATCCTAAACGATCAAGTAGAACTTGGGGATATGATCTTGCAGTTGGGGGCACAAGTGCTTGCATCGAAAGGGTTAGGGTGTGTGAATGAGAGGGGGGACTCCGGGGGTAGGCACATCTGGGCAGGGCAAGAACGACTCGCTCTCCATTGGCCACTCCTTCCCCACAATCGGGCAATCCACCTTCCGGCCTAGCGTCCACACCCACAGCCACTCGCACTCGTCCTAAAACTTTTTGCGGCTGCAAGATTTCCTCACCGGCGATTACTTCCCCATCCCCCATCGACAACCACCCACAGCCATCCGTCAAAATGGCCAAGGAAGCAACTGCCCGTTCGGGCCTGATTGTCGGCATCAACAAGGGCCACGTACGTTGAAAAGCCCAGTCTCACCTCGTGGAGGATCTCTGCGCTGCCCTCCTCTTCGCGAGGCAGCTGTGGATGATGGACTTTGAAGCTGATTATCGGTCTGTTCCCAAAATGTAGAAAACCACCCCCCGCGTCGTCAAGCCCCGTGTCTCCCGCACCAAGGGTCACCTGAGCAAGCGCACCGCCTTCGTCCGCGACATCGTCAAGGAGGTTGCTGGGTAAGTGCTTTTACCCCTCCCGCTCCCAGTCTCGAGAATCGGCCGCCGAAAAGGGAGGATCGAAGGACCACCTGGATCGCCCATATCCGTCAAAAGCCTTCAAGACTAACTTTGGACTTCGATAGTCTCGCTCCCTATGAGAAGCGTGTGATTGAGTTGCTCCGCAACTCCCGGGACAAGCGTGCCCGTAAGCTCGCCAAGAAGAGGGTACGTCTTCACCCCCGTCCGATTCGATGCCAGAAAGCCAATATTGACAACATTCCCAGCTCGGTACCTTCGGTCGTGCCAAGAAGAAGGTCGACGAGCTCCAGCGTGTCATCGCTGAGTCCCGTCGTGCCGGCCACTAAACGTAACCTTTCGAGCGTCGACTTTAGACAAGCAGCAACACGGGTCAGGATTACGCTTCGGCGTTATTTGATGGGGATTTCATGGACTCAAAAACCTGGTGGAGGGACCGGGGATATGGGCATTGCTTCCGCATGTCGTGAGAGCTGCCAGGCGTCAAAAGAAACGTCACGTCGATACCAAATGATGATACTCTGAACAACCAAATCCATGATCTCTTGCGTCTAATATTGGTACAACCTTGGTACTATGTGATTTCTACTTGTGCAGTTCCATTGAAAATGCTTCCCAAGATCCGCTGTAAACATGACGGCCCTCCACGTCCAACTACAGGCTCTCAGCGGCTTTCCACGTAGACGGACGAGGCTCCTGCCATCTGTGAAGCAGCAACCCAAAGCCAACAAGCAAGACAGCAATTCCACACACCAATTATGCAAGTAAGGTGGTTGTCCTCTTTCCATCAAGTTGTAGTACGCAGCGCGGAGATGTCTTGCTTCTGATGTGTTGACGTTGAAAAGTCGGTCGCAAGCAAAGACATTTGATGTGACCTTGACGAAGCAATTGTTGCCCACGTCCATTCCCACATCTTATGCGAGTCTGCAAAGGCACAACGCAACTCCCTGTAGTCGCGCCGATGTTCCTGTCCGCGTCGGAGAGGACCAGGATGTTGCGCAGCGGCGAATGTAAAGTACAGCAGCTCTTGTATCAGCACCGCAATCCCGTCATTCCCATCTTGCACTTCGTTCCCGAAACGCCAAACACCTTCGCTTCTGTGACACGGGGGTGTGTTCTTCTCCACAAAAACGTCTATTTCTTGGATAAGCCCTTCAGCCACTTAGGCATCTTGCGGCTGCCACCACTGTCGTTGTTTTGTGGCTGGGGTGGAGCAACTGGAGCTGGGGCTGGTGCGCTGCTCTCCCCCTCCTCCTCTTCTTGGGGAGCCTGAGGGAGCTCGACCTTCCTCGCCTGACTGGCGAAGCTGTGCTTCAAGAACGGTGCTTTCTTGATATTCTGTGAGACCTCGTTCTCCCAGACGAGATTGACAAGAACACGCCCTGACAGCTTGTAACCTCTGACGAGATTATGCTTCACTCCATCTTCATCTTTGATGAGGTTCGAAGGAGATGGAACCCCAGGCAACACCAGCTTGAACGGGGCGGAGTCATTCGCCATGACCCCCCGGACGGCCTTATATAGAGTTGAACCGGTGTCCATGGGCCCGAAGTTCCACTGCGCCGAGGTCTCGTCTGGAAATCGCACTTTCACATCGATCTTCTTGACCGCTGCAGCCTTGGCTTCCGCGTCTCGGGCCTCCGCTGCAAGCTCAGCATCGGACTTAAGCCGCTTATTGACAGCGCTCGCCTGCAAGTTTTGCTGGTGTGCCTGGGCGTGTGCGATTGTCGGTGTGTAGACAGAGTCAGGAACGTCTACCGAGGCAGCCACGGGCCTGGAGTTCGTAGGTGCGGAAAAGATGCTGACAGGTTCGAGGCTCGAAGTGCGCGGGTCAGGTTCACGATCCTCGTCACTAGTTGGCCGAGGCTGTGTGTTCCCACCGTCGACTTCCATAGCGTCGGCCCGCTGTGAAACCTCCGTCTCCGCCTGCCCATCTACAACGCTACCGAATCCACAGGGGTTGCAGTCGACTCGGTTGGTTCAACACCTTGTGAGCCATCAGCGGCTACCGCTCCCGTTCCAGCAACCAACGGAGCCTGGAGAGTGGTACTATCGAAGCTCTCCGGGTTGGGAGTGTCCAAGAGGGACTCGGTCTGGGTTGACGACGCCCCAGTAACCACACTCTTCTCCTTTGCCTCTGCTTTCTCCTCATCTTCGAAGAACTGAGAGATCTCCTGCATCGCGTCGTTGAGCGTCTTGTCTGTGGACTTGAAAGACAACTGGATCATATGACTCCCGGAGGTCAGGCCAAGTTGAGAGAGGGTCTTCTGAAAGTCTGCAAGCGTCGATATCTCCCGGCTCATGATTCGAAGTGACGGCATCTCATAAAACAGCTGCCCACTGCCTGCCTGGGTACCGTTGCTCGTCTGAGGTATGCCTCGATCGGTGAAGTTCAACGTGTGGCCAGACGGCGATCCCTTTGACTCGAACTGCCGCAGCATCTTCCAAAGCGTGGTATCACTTCTGAACTTCTCCATAAGGCGTCCATTAGGAATCGCTTTGGCTTCAGCTTCCGGAAGCTTGAGGGCGATGTTCACCACCGAGGTCGTCTTTGAACTTGCTACAAGTTCAAGTTTAGCACCTGGTGTGAGACGAGTGATGCGAAACTGATCGCTGAGATTGATCACGTTCTTCTGGTGCCTGCCATTTAATTTAGGTCGCCTGTACAGCATACATTACTCGACTACCCTGACCAGAGTCTACTTACTTGAGAGACCACTTGTCTACCTGCAGGTTGAGCTTCTTGCAAGCCTCCTCGAGAACGTCGAACATGTATGTTCCAGGGTTGACCTTAACGCTGACCCGCTTGACGTCAGGCGAAACTACAACCACGTGAGAAGACATCTTGACGGGGGCGGGGTCGGCGAGCAGTCGAGGTGTCGTATAACGTTGTGGACAGATGCTGGTATTGAGTGCCTTAGGATGCCTGGAGACGCCTTGCTGCGGGGCGTGACTTTCCTCTCCTCTGAGACGATCGCAAGGTGACTATCCCAGAAGCGTAGCGTGATATTGTCTTAAGGAAGCGCTGGAGCCGGTGGGCAAGGCCAGGCCTTCCTGATTGCAAACTTTCCTGCCCAACGATCGTGGCGAGCTTTAACGTGCAACGTAGATCAAGCACAGCTGCCCCTCCACAGACAGTGGGGCAGGAACTATTGGGCTATAGGATAGCCCGAACGCTAGACACTGCTGGAGTGACTGATGAAGGGGAAGAAAGGTCGCAATTTATATGCAACGGGTGTTACAAACAAGAGGGTATGAAGTAAGGTGGTGGCAAGGAGCGTGTTGAGCAATCTGAACTGTCAGCGGCTGATGAAGCAGTCAGGCAGCCTTGTGAGATCATATCTAGGTACCCATAGTGCTACATTTAGTCCCCTGGAGCTGCCAAAAGGAAGGCGCCAGAAGAGCTATGTGCCAACGCACTTGCGTGGCCAATCAACGCGCGGGGCCTGCTTGCAAGGAGGGTCGGACCTACGTACTGCTCCTACCACCTGGGGCCGAACTTACGCACCTCACAGGTTGCCTTGGAGCTCCCCCAAGCCTCGCCCGGACCTCATCAGCTGCATCGAGACGACAACCTCAACTCCATTCCTCCCACGTCCCCGCAAGTCCACCCACACCAACCTCCCCGACTTAGACGATACGCCGCCAGACCTATACTGAGACATTTGCATCTGAGGCTCGTTCCTTGGCTTCACTCAGCTAACCAAGATGGTGAGCACCAGAGATCATGGCAGAGCAAACGCCCATAGCTAACCGCCTTCATAGTCATCGCCCTTCTCAATAAGTCAGCCTCTCACCACACTCCCGAACCCACAAACCTCCGGCCCCGAAACTAACCGTGGATCCCAACAGATGGCGGCGCCTGCGTCGCGATGGTCGGCAAGGACTGTGTCGCCATCGCCTGCGACCTGCGTCTCGGCCTCCAAGCCCTGACCGTCTCCAACAACTTCCCCAAGATCTTCAGCTACGGCGACAGCGTATACCTGGGCCTGACGGGCCTGGCCACAGACGTGAACACCGTGTCCGACCTGTTCAGGTACAAGGTCAACATGTATCGCCTGCGAGAGGAGCGCGCCATCGCACCCACCACCTTCGCCAACCTGGTCTCCAGTTCGCTGTACGAGAAGCGGTTCGGCCCCTACTTCGTCAGCCCCGTCGTTGCCGGTCTGGAGCCCAAGACGGGGAAGCCATTCATCTGCGGTTTCGACAGCATTGGGTGCATTGACTTTGCCAAGGACTTCATCGTGAGCGGCACGGCGACGGAGCAGCTGTTTGGCATGTGCGAGAACTTGTGGGAGCCCGATCTGGTACGTTGGACATGAAGGACACGGGCTTGAAGATGTTGCGAGGCCAAAATGGTAATGCTAACGCGAACTGCCCACAGGGACCCGACGAGCTTTTCGAGACCATCTCCCAATCCCTACTGAACGCCGTCGATCGAGATGCCTTGTCAGGCTGGGGTGCACACGTCTACATCATCGAGAAGGACAAGGTGACGAAGAGGCTTCTCAAGGGACGACAAGATTAAACGGATGCTTCGGGGCGAGGCTTGGAATGGAATTGGGCATAGAAGAGGCGTATGATGAAAGATGCACCCCGGTCCAGGAAAGCGAGGACGAGGAGCTACGACCTTTTGTGCATTGTACGACTAGACACATCACGACAACAGCTGGCTGAACTTATCACATCCAGCTAGAATATCAGCCACGATGACAAGACAACCCATTTACCAGATGAGCTTCGCACTCGGTTGCGAGGATACGCAACACTGTGCCACAGCATGAGCAAAATACGTCCAGGTTGTGTTGACCTTTGAACAGTAGACGGATCATTGAAACTCATGCTGCGATGTGTTACCGTGCATGACTGTATGTGGGCGGTGCGTTCATTCTATAACTCTTTCTGATCTTCGTTCCCAAGCAAGCTGCTCCAATGATCTTCGGGTTCACATTAGAATTTCAACGCGGAGAAGCACTGAACATGTATGCAGCATTAGTCGGTCCATTCCATCTTAATCTCATCCCACGCCTCGTGCCTTCATCACCTGGTCTTCCAAAACAGTCTTCGCAATGAAAGGAGATGTCCAAAGCTCGGTATCGACAACGGAAGGCGTAAGGTGTACTTCAGATAACAAAACTCGACATTGATGTGTGCTTCATATCACTTCTCGACTACCTGAAGATTATGATCCCGCATATGTACCATCTGAAGCCTTGGTGTGGTTCCCTCAGACAGAGTAGCCAGAATCTGTCTGGATTGGTCCTCCATTCTCGCCACGGTAACACCGGAATTGTCACTCCCAACCTCCGAGTCACCACCTAGGATCCACGGCAGCGGAGAGGCCTTCCAGACCGGCGTCTCAAGCCTCCGGGTACTCTCCACCACTAGGACCAAGAACAGAATGGTCAGCACCGCTAAGACCGCAGGCAATGTGATCCAGGCCCACTGGATACCCAGACAGGTGGCGTAGTGTTGGACCTGACCTCTCGCCGGCTCCGAGTGGCTCGCGTTCCCGTGGGTGCGGAGATATATTGTGAGGGAGTCCGAAATGTTTTTGAAAACACTCTGAACGCGCTCGAAGTCCACTCTTCCGTAGCTGTATATATCCTGTAGTAGCTCTGGCCCGTCGAAGATATTGATTTTGCGGTAATCCGACTCATCCTCGTCCTCCGCGAGGCCGCGAACGGTGCCTACAAGTTGGGAGGCGGCCGATTTGCGAGCCCACGCACCCATCGAACTGGCATACCCGACCCTGTTGATAAAGTCTGGACTCATCAGGTAGACGCATTTATGGTGCAAAAGGGACTCAAGATTGCTCAACCACTCGTTTGAAGCCCATTATTCAAGCGGGTACCCTGAACTGACGTCCCCGTGAAATGGGATCCAGCGAGTGGTGTTTCGCAGTTCGTAACCCCGGGACGTGAGAAAGGCTGCCTGTTGCGCCGACACGCACTGGGTGTCCAATAGCCCATGATAGTTTCGTCCCCAGAACGAACCCCAATCTATGTCCGGGGATTGGGATATCAATCGTTCTTTTAAATTGCCTGCCTCGGTTCTTGCACTATACGTCCAGACGCAGGGCTTGAGGGTGCAGCTCGCGGCGCCGTACCCTCGGCAGGCCCATTTGTTATTACTTGCTTCCGTTGTCTCACAGCAAGTGATGTTTTCCCCGGGTCGAGATAAGACGTCGTTCCCTTGAAAATGATGTCTTGCCCACAACGATGTCGATGCGGATCGAAAAGGTATCTGCAGCTGAAGGCAGTGGCGACCAGATGTCCATGTGAGCCACATCCACTTCGCTGCCGAAAGGATAGAATGTTGTGTTCAGCTGGTTATAATTGGATGCCCAATAATGACCTTCATCTCCGGATGAAATGGAGGTTGTGATGTTGTGAGCACCGATTGTAGCATTTGGGTACAATGCCGGCATCGACTGACACATCTTCGCAGGCACTGCACACGCTCAAGGTACTGTAGACTGCAGGGAATGTGCAATTTCCCGTCGAGCATGTCCAGGGTGTTTCATTGCCTGAAGGAAACCGTGCGGTCACCACAAAGTGAAGCGGGAGGGCTGAGGTCTGCTCGTCGTCTCCAGAGCCCTTGTAACTGTCAATTCTGTTTGTGCAAGGCAAAGTGGCAACTTGGTGGTCAAGAGGGACACTGCAGTCAAAGGGGCGGACAAGTTGCTGTATAAAAGGGTCGATAGCAAGACCAGATATCATGATGACGGCCGCGAGGATGGCCAGTGGCTGCCGGAGTCGATGCGCCCACAGCATTGTAAGCAAGCCCCATGGTCCGCGGCCAGCGTTATCGAAGAGAACCACGTCGGACAACGGCCGGCTGTCCGATGAGAACCAGGCCCATTGGAGCTGCCCGACGCATGAGGTGACCACATAGGCGACAGCTGACTTGAACACCAATGCGTAAATGGACAGCAGCGCGTTGATTGACGTCTTGAATGGCCATTGCGGGATTGGGTGATCGCGGTGCGGGAATACAGTCGCGGCCATTACCGCAGGAACTGCTAATATAAGAGCGCGACCTGCTGTTTCCCACTTCCATTGCTTCAGGAGAACTGAAAAGGTGCCCCCTGAGGATGTTTTGAAGGGCTTGAGCCTTTCTCCCGGACTGTTATCTGAACATGGAATTCTATCAGAGTCGCTTCCCGATGATGTCGGTAAGAGGCAAGTAGCAGACGAACTGAACGCCCGCGTCGTTTGGCCTCTTACAGAATTATAGACCGGGGCTTCAGTCGACAAGTGATCGAAGCTGGTGTTGCCACTCGCAAGGCGTGGAATAAGTGTTGCTGTCGAGAAGGGTGTAATGGGAGCTTGAAGCTGCCTTCCAGGCACACCTTTGGGGTGCTACTTGTTGTAGTTCCTTGTTATCCGGTGAGACTGATTGGCTTGTATGGGAGCCTTCCATGCTGATGGTGAATGCAAATATGATTAGGTGAAAGATGCATTGAATGCTAAAGAATTGACAACTAAACGCAGCAAACGATTGCTTCAGCTCTGGGTCAGGGAAAAGTCAAGGTCGCCTTCCAAGGTTGTTTGTATATGCAAGAGCTGTTCACTTCAAATTCAGAGACTCAGTGATGCCTGTTGCTGCAGTTGCGAGTGGTTACGGCCCCAAATGTATTAACGAAATTTCTTCGCCGGTTGAGAACCTGATCTACAGATTCCGATGCGCCTGCTGCGCATGCAGGCTGCTGAACCAATGTATAAGTGCCCTATGCATGCTTATGCATGTAACATCGCATGTATAAGTGTCAGCTTGCTATTTCTCAGCCCTTGTCATTTTTGATATATTAAAAAGGGTGTGAAGCCTTCTCGCATTCTGATTCACAAAACTAGGTGTTGTGTGGATTACCACCAGACTAAGTTTGTACTTAGACTCCGGGCAATACTTGATATTGGAGTGAATTGTCCAGTCCGTCCTTGTTTGGAGAAATCTCTGACAACTCAGTCCCAACGTGTCGCAAACGAATCTCTAGGGTATCATACTACAGTACGAACTCCTGTGCCTCTATAATCTTTCTCAGTTGCCAATCACCTGAAATGTCTCGGACATTCTAGTGCATTGTATGTCACGCATATCCTCTCAGGGCTGTTGAGGATTTGTCTTGAAACCTCAAGCCAATCTTTCCACAGGTCTTAGCATTGCTTGATCAATATGGATACCCAGGTACACCTCACGGGCGCATTCTAGGTAGGACATGACATCGACAAAAGCATATGACGTGGAACTAGTAATCTCATGTACATATTTATAATGCCTACAAGCCGGTTGCTAGTTGGCCTTCATGTACTGTGACGTCCTCTCTATTTAAAATGATGGGAGCAGGGAGCAGGTCTTGTCAATCAGGCTGCAAAACCGATCAAACGTAACTGCATCCCTTGCCTGCCCATCTCTAAATGAGTTCTAGAGTGTTGTGTTATACATCTTGTGTTATTGTACATGACCATCGTCTAAGATCATATAATGCAGCCAACAATGAACTGTTTTTCCATCACTCTACTGTTCCTTCTTAGCCTTGACTTCAGCTGTACGTGTTGTCTTCTGCATAAAGAACGACCGCTCAACGAGCTTGAGTCCTTCGTCGATGAGGCTAGACGGCTTGTCAGTAAAATATTCAGACAAAATGAAGATGGAAGCGTGAGACACTTACATCACAGGTGCACTAATGGCAAGCACCGCCTGCCATTCCGGCCAGTTCAGCGGCAAGATGGAGAAGAGAGTCTGCAAGAATGGCGTGTAGAGCAGAGCGAAGTGCAGCGCCATTGACAGACCGATGGCATAGACCAGCATGAGGTTGTCCCATAGAGGAAGCGTAAGCAGCGATTCGCTACTTGAAAGCGCGTTCATGGCGTTCAACATCTCGATCGTGACCAAGATAGACAGCGAGACCGTGGATGCGGATTTGGCCATATCGTTTGAGAACATCTGGCAACCAATCTCGGGGAATTCAGCGGAGCAGCGGTGGAAGTGGCGGAGCTGAGAGAAGGCGATCTGAGGGCCACCGGAGTAGTACATGAACCACCAAGCGTAGCCGGCAACAGTAGCGACGCCCACATAGGTACCAATAATAAGGTAGCGAATGAAGAGCCACCCGCCAATGAGAGGTTCGTCGCGCTTGCGGGGCTGGCGGCGCATGATGTCGTGGTCAGGAGGGTTGAAGGAGAGTGCGGTAGCCGGAAGACCGTCAGTGACGAGGTTGACCCAGAGTAGTTGGACGGGAATCAGTGCCTCGGGCATTCCCAGGGCAGCGGTAAGGAAAATCGAGACAACCTCGCCAATGTTTGAAGAGATGAGGTAACGGATGAACTGCTGTGTGTTGTTGTAGATGGAACGGCCCTCCTCGATGGCGACCTCAATGGTAGCGAAGTTGTTGTCAGCCAGGACCATGTCAGCCGCCAGCTTCGACACGTCGGTACCAGAGCCCATGGCAACACCAATGTCGGCCTTCTTGAGCGCAGGAGCGTCGTTGACGCCATCACCCGTCATAGCAACGACTTCGCCCAGAGACTGAAGCAGATCAACCAGTTTAGACTTGTGGCTGGGTTCTACGCGCGAGAACAAGGATGCATTCTTGGCAGCCTCGAGCTGCTCAGCGGGGCTCAGGTTCTCAAACTCGCGGCCAGTGAAGCTCTTTCCCTTGAGATCCTCATACTGCCCGAAGACGCCGATTTGACGGCAGATACTCTCAGCGGTGTTGCGGTTGTCTCCAGTGATGACGATGACGCGGATGCCAGCCTCCTTGCACTTGGCAATCGAGGCAGGAACTTCGGGACGAGGAGGGTCAAGCATGCCGACCAAGCCAAGCAAGGTCAGGTTCTGCTCGATTTTGGCGTAATCAGCGGTAGATCTGGCGGACTGCAGGAGGCTGTTCTCTGAGACGTCGTCGATGCTTGCCAGTGCGATCACTCGCAGACCCTTGTTTCCGTAGTCCGTGACTTCCCGCATAATCAAATCCGAGAGGGTTGCATTCATCTGGACCTTCTTGCCGTTTGCGCCAAGTACAACACTTGTGCAGCGGTCGACGATGGACTCAGGGGCGCCCTTGACAAGAAGCTTCTGCTTGCTGCCATTCTGAACCAGGACAGACATGCTCTTTCGGTCACGGGAGAATTCGAACGTGGCGAGGCGGGAGTACTGCTTGTAATACCATCCGCTGGCATGGTGAACACGATCCTCGGGTGCGCTGTTTCTTGGCGCGCAAGGCCCGATCTTCTCGACCAGCGTCCGGAGGGCACCTTCGGTGGGCTCACCAACGTTGGAGAATGTACCAGCTTTAGAATCATAAGCCAACATGGCATCATTGCAGAGCGCAGCGACTTCAGACAGTTGGCGCACGGTAGAGGACTTTTGAGAGAGATCCTGAACGACCTGGCCCTTGTAGGTGACGTCTCCCTTGGGCTCGAAAGTGGTTCCTTCAACGTCGAGTTCCTCGAGGTCTGTTCCGTTCTCGTTCAGATAGACAATCTTGTTGACACTCATCTGGTTCGTTGTCAAGGTGCCGGTTTTGTCTGAGCAGATGATGCTGCAGCTTCCAAGGGTCTCCACCGAGGGCAAGCTGCGAACAACAGCGTTCTTGGCAGCCATCTTCCGAGTTCCCAGGGCCAGACAGGTTGTGATGACGACGGCCAGACCTTCGGGGATCGCTGCGACACCGAGAGAAACAGCGATCTTCAGGTAGTAGATGGCGCCCTTGGCCCAGGTACCATGGCTGGGGTCGTTGAAGTTGGGGATGTTGATAAGCCAGACCAGGATACAGATGACCGTAATGACCTTGGCCAGGCTGTCGCCAAAGTCGTTCAACTTCTGCTTCAGCGGGGTCGGCTCGGAGATCTGGGCGGATATGCTCTCGTGGATGTCGCCGATGGCCGTGTTCGCGCCAGTCAAGACCACAACAGCCTTCGCCCTGCCAGTAACAACAGTGGTTCCAGAGAAGAGCATGTTGACCTGGTCCTGCTTGACGGACTTCTCATCCGGGACGACCGCTTGTGCATCCTTGCTGACACTCTCGCTCTCGCCGGTCAGGATGGCCTGGTCGACGGAGAAGCTGTTGCTTTCGATAGAGATTAACCTGCAGTCGGCGGGTATCCTGTCGCCAATGTGGACGGAGATGATATCGCCAGGAACCAGATCTTCTGCCTTGACTCTCGAGACATGGCCGTCGTTTCGGACTACGTTGGCCTCGTTGGCCGAGTATTCTTGGAGCGCAGCGATGGCTTTCTCGGCGCTGCTCTCTTGTGAGACACCGACGACGGCATTGAGGATCAGGATGGTCAGGATCTAGGTTAGAGAAAGGTGGTCAGGTCCGGTTCGGTCTGATGTGTACTAAGCGCATAGCGAACGGAGACTTACAACGGCGGGGTCGACGAATGCGCTCCAGCCGCCTTCGTCCTCGAACAGGGCCAAGACGAAGGACACAGCGGCGGAGCCAAGGAGGATAAGGACGAGTTGGTCCTTGAACTGCTCGAGGATGAGCTCCCAGAGGGGCGTGGGCGGCTCTTCGGCGATAGCTTGAGGGGATCTGTCAGCATTCGGGACCGGGGCGCTTTGCGACAGGATGCGATGTGAACGTACCGTTCTTGCCATACTTCTCAGTCAGTTTCTTGACCTGAGAATCGGACAGACCAGCGGAAGCTTGCACTCCCAAGGTCGACAAGACCTGGTCTACCGGTCTTGCGAAGGCGTTCTCCATCTTTCGCGGTGGGGGGGGGGGGGAGACTGGAGGCTCCGCGAAAGGAGGCGATGTGAATGGATGAGGCAGTCCAAGCTCCGGAAGGTTTTTGGCGCAGGGAACCGTAGCGGAAGCCGGGGTGGGTGGATATGAGATCTCGGTCTGGTCAAAGACACTTGGGGACAGGTCACCGGCTTTCCCAGGAGGAGAACAGGTGCAGCCGTTTGGAAGCAGAAGGAATGGATGGGTTCTTGTAGTCTGCTCCTAGAAAGAAGAAACCGTAGGAGGTGCAGCAGAACTAAAACCCACGGATCTTGGAATCGATCCTTCAACGTGTCAAGAACTAGATAAGTGCAGGCAGGCTGTGCTACGATGTACTGCCTAAGTTTTCCAGGTACATGTGGGTAGGTACGCAATGGAGGGCAGCGGTGTCCACTCGGCAGTGTTGCCGATGTCATGGCGGGGCTGCTTTCGGCAAGCCTGGCATCTGGAATGCTCACCCCCCAGGGCTGCCAAGGGGGGGTCCAGGGCCTGAGCAGGTGACGGGCCAGACCTCGCTCTGCCTGGGGCTGACCTGCACCATATCTGCTGTGGTCTACCTGGTGGTTATTAGACTATACCTAGGTATCGTCTAGTCTACCACCCACGTGGACTTCCTGCATATTGTATGTCATATCATTGGCTTACCCTGCACGGCCGTTCATCCTCGTTCTCTGATACTCGACGGCCTTCTGAGCCGCAACTGGCTCTGTCTCATCTCAGGCTCTTCCCCACAGTTAAAGACAAGGTCCTCTACCGTAGTACCCGCGGGTCGATTCCTTGCATGCTCAGCCCCAATTCCTGAGGATATTTTGCCTGGGGTCTTCACACCAACTTCCATGCTTCGGCACTATTTGCCGGGAATCATTGCAATTCACTACCCGTCGAGTGTTCAATTTTTGAGCTTTGCGAATCCACACTGAGATCAACCAGGCGAACAGTCCAGGAAACATTCAAGAACGAGTGCTTAGAGTTTCAAATATGGGTAGCAGCTGTACTACTTTTCCAAAATGACAAACCACAAACCTCCCCCCCCCCTTTACCCAAGCCCCACAAGGCACTGCAAATCACTTTTCCAGACTGTGTGCTATAGCCCAGTTTCCTAACCTCCCGCAAAACCCCATGTTACCTGATATCCCCATATGCCATGACATCCTCACATTGCATTCCTTAGCCTGTCCCTCGATATTCACGTGGACTCGTCTGAGGGGGCGGCCTGTACGGACGGTAAACGACAGGGGTCCGTGGCTGCTGCGCCGGAGAAGTTGCCGGCAGCTCGGGTGTCGGCCTACCTGCCCCATCCAGCTCAGCGAGTCGTTCAAAATGGTGGTTATATGGCTGGTTAGAGTGCTGGTCGACACCACGCTGCGCAGGCGATGGTGCAGCGCCCGCGCCATGCCAGCTGTTCTGTCCCGAGGGTGGTGATGGTCCTGCCACGTTGTTGCTGTTGTTCGAGCTCAGGGAGCTCCGGCGGCTCGACCCATTGACGACGTAGAGGACACGCCTCTCGCCACTATTGAGGGACGGGGAGGGCGAATGCGACTGGGAATGCGAGTGCGACTGTGACTGAGATGTCGATTGCGAAGGCGTATGGACCATATGATCGGAGTCTGGGTTTCCGTCAGAGCTGGAGCACTTTGCCTAGTGTTGCGCGAGCTACTCACTGCGAGAAACGTATGGTGCGCTCGTAGGTAAGACCATATTACTAGGTGTTGGTGGTTCTGAGCCTCTGACAACAAGTCCTCTCCGCTTCGTCCACGTCCGTCTTGCGAAAATTAACACCCCGGCAGCCAGAAGTAGTAGGACCAAGGTGGCCCCAACGCTGACGCCTGCGGTTGCCCCCTTTGAAAGTCCCGAAGAACTGCTGCCTTGTGGGTTCGCTGGGTTCGCGGCCGAAACTGAGCTTGATGATGAGGTGGTCGCTGCCGTGTTTACATCCAAAGTAGTCGTCGGACCAGCTGTGGTAATAGACGTGATTGGAGAACTCGAGCTCTCCACAGTGCTGGACGTGGTCGGTTCAGAGCTTGTCGACCGAGTTGAGCTGGTCGAAGAGCTGGAGCTGGAGCTGGTCGACGAACGTGAGCTTGTTGAAGTACTCGACGTCGAAGTGCTCGACGTCGATGTTATAGGTGGCTTCTTCCTGAATGGCTCAGCGCTTTGGGGATTGCTGGAGAGCTTCGCCCGCACCACGTCCCCGGCCGGGCACTCGCTTTCACAAGCATTGGAAGAACAGCATCCTAAAAAGGGCTTATCCAAGTCAGGGCATGTGTACCAGTCACCTTTTGAGTCTAGGCATTCCTGGTCCGTGATGTTTGCGCCCCTCTCCTTCTTGAAGCTGGAGTAACGGATATCCTCGTCGGGACAGTACTTTGGTCACTGAAGTGATGAACACATCAGGGAAGTACTCTGTAACACAAGGGGGTGCGGTCGGCAACCGTGGCGTTTCTCATGACTTGTAGCCTCACGGACATCTTGGGCTGATGGACTCTTGGATATAACAAGAATTCCTCTTGGAGGGTGCAGAGAATCTTGGGGAAGTGCTTACACCTGAGCCGTCTTTGCCGGGATCTGAAGCGCAACATCCGAGGAAGTGGACATCGCAGTTCTCACAGACGTAGAAGGAGCCGCCCCAAGGGCATGAGAGGCCAAATACGTCCACTGGATTGTAAACCATTGTGCCGATGCCAACCTGACAGACGAATAGCTGGCTGGGCTCCTGGCTGAGGCTCCGAATATGAGCTGCGGATGGTTGGGAAAGAGGCCCGGAATGAGCAGGCTCTGAGTAAAAGGTTGTCAGTGCTCAGGTCAGGTGGCTCGACGGGGGGTCGTCCAACGTGGAGCGTTCGGAGTGGGAAGGAGTAGGGAGCAAACAACCTGACGTGGTTACGAGTAAGAAAGAGAGGTATCGAGGTATCTTCGCTGTCAACGTAAAGCGTCAAAACAGACAGCCTGTGCTACCCACAGTCAATTCGAGTGTCATGAAAGCTCCCTGTTACGGATCTTAAGCTGGCCGTCTCACGATGCATGTGCCGCCGCAATGTTGGGCGAAAGAAATATGCGTTCGACGACTTCGCGGCTTAACAAATTGGTGTCTTGCTTGGAAGTATGACCACGCCTCTTGTAAGAGACCGCAGGGTGTGCCGTCCTCAGACAAGTAAATGTACACCGAAATCCAGCGTCGAGCAAGTGAATGAGCCACATCAAGACCTCGTCCAACTCATGCCAAGGAGTCATCTCTGTCATGGCGAACTGCTCATCACTGGAGTTGAGTGATAACCGGCACTGCCGATGTGTAAGCGTACGTGTGCTTGTGCGTGTGTGAGAGTCTAGGTAGCGATTCATTTGGTAGGACTTGCCAGACAAATAAACCGAACTTCAATGGTGTTCTGGCCATCCAATTTGTCGCCTCTTCCCAAGTCATCGGACGGCGGGAACATCCCGTAACCACCCCAGTTGCAGAAAAGTCATGGTATCATTTCAAGTCGCTACCGATTTGATTGTGCCCCAGTCATAAAATAGCAACCCGTGGACATTTTGTGTAGTTATTACAACCCATTGAGCACACTCTGGATACCCACACTGCTCGAGTCCTCTCTCTTTTGCACGATGGCCTTGAAGTCCGCCTTGGTCAGCTTCTTGCCCGTCGCAGCTGAACCCGATCCTAAGTTCCGGCTCTTCTCTTTCAGCGCCTCTGGACCGATGATGAACAGGTACCCAATCTCCGGAAGGAGATCTAATATCCCCTGGACTTCCTTGGTGAGGGGCCACTCCTTCAACGTCGAGATGTACTTGTTGAGGTCCTTAGTCACCATCAACCCACCAGTCGCGTTGACGGAGAACTTCTTGAAGTGCTCCAAGAGCAGCTTGTGTATCGCCAACGCCAGCTCGCTGCTGAAGATCTCCAGGTTGTGACCATCAATGGCCTGCGTTGAGAGGATAGAGACCCGCTTGAGGAAGCTGCAGATCGTCTGGCATGTTGGCGTCTGCAACAGTTCTGCAATAAGCTCAAGCTCTGCGTCCTTGGGGCGGAAATCTGTCTTGCGCTGTGTTGCTAGTGTCCTAGTCACCCAGTTGATCACAACGTCCACCGAGCTCTTGACGACGCTATTCGTTTTTCTCTCAATTGTCTCCATGGCCATCTTGCCCTGGGCCTCCATGCTTCGCCGCACAGTCGCATTGCCCTCCGCGAGCCTGATCATGACAGTGTGTATGAACCGTGACATGATATTCGCGATCGTAACGGCGGGCCGTATGTTGGGCAAGTATGATATGTCTGGTTCGACCTTTGAGTTTTCCTGCGAAGACGAAGCGTCGAGCGCGGCGTCCAGAGCTGTCTCGATATAGACCTGGCCCATACTGGTGAGGAGGAGGCTCAGTAGACTGTTGACGTCCCTTGCAGTATCGGTCGAGGAGCCGAGCTCGAGCGTCCTGCGAACACTCTCTGCGAGCCACTGCATCATCCTTTGGGCCACCTCAACGCTGATAGCGCCGTCTTCCTCGGAAACCTCAATCTCGTTCTTGTTCTCGCTGTTGTCCTTAACGCCAGCGACCCGCAACATCATTGCCTTTTGAGTTGGTGTGAGGTCGGAAGATTCGAGACGTTCCAGGTAGACGTCTTTGGCCGATGCCAATAGTTGCGAGCCTTGCTGGGCTATAGCCGCCATGAAGCCACTTGGGGCCTTTTTGCGTCTGGAGTGGAAAATGGTGTACTTGAAGAGCAACGAGCTGTACAACTCCTCCAGATTCCTGCGCTCTCTTTCGATATATGAATTCCCGACAAGGTATGGCACAAACAGCTCCTCCATCTGCTGGTCCAGGGTTTGTGATATGCGCAGAGCAAGGTTCCGGGTTATCGATCAGTCCGTGGGTCTTCAGGTCCTCGATGAGTTGACCGATGTAAGTTCTTGCCGAGTGCAGTGACCGCAGGAATGCCAGTGACGATACGGAATCCGCTTTTTCGAGCACCATCTCCAGCCGCTGTTGAACAGACTGCTGAAAAACTCGTTGAATGAATTTGATCAGAACTGTTTCCGCCATTGGAAAGGCCTGTTTGATGATGAACGACTCTTCTTGCATGACGACCCTGACTTCGTCAATCAGGGATTGCAGGCTCTGCTCGATTCCAGGAGGCTCCTTGTCAGGATCGGCGAGCAACTCCCACGTCTCATCGTCACCAGTGACCTCGTCTGCCAGAAGCTGGTTCCTGTTGATAAAAAAGTCGTGCTGGTTCACGAAGGTGGCCACAACACTGTTACCACCGTTGAAATCAAACAGGACCTTGGCACACTGCAGCATGTCGGGGAAGTTCTGAGATCGATAGCTCCTGTTGAACTGCTCGAGCAGGTCCTGTTCCAAAACCTCGCAGAACTTCTCCAGTACCTCGCGAGTGTTATGCTTCCGGCTGATGCCAGTCACGCCATTCGTGATCCCGTTCCGCCGGTATCCGTTCGTCTGCCCCCAAGATGTGGGATCCAACCTCTGGCTGATGCGCATGAGCTGTCGCGCAATGTTGGCGCACCGGACTTTGTTTTCGGCTCCGCCCACCCTTTTCATCTCCTCGAGTGAGCCCAGCTGCCCAGTCTCGGAGACCTCATTCCAGCATTGAATCAGGAAGTTGGCGTCCAGCGCCCTCCTACGCTTCCGGTCCAGCTCCTCCAGCCTCTCGCCGATCTGCACAGCTACATTTCCCCCTATGTCACCTCGGGCTGTCCTGTCGTGGCCGTTGATGCCGTTGGAGCTGTTCAGCGTGGAGTCGAGTGCTTCGAACTGGGCCATAGACTGGTCTAGTTTCCGACCAAGCGTCTCTAGGGTGCGATCGTGCTGCATTTCTGCTCGGCGCACGTCGCTCTGCAGCCCGGATTCCTCCTCTTCCAGCTTCTCCGTGAGCGCACCCAACTGTGACAATGCATCTGTATACACGCAAGGTGTCAGTGAGCGTACTCGGAGACTTAGAAAAAGGCAGCAGCGACGTACTTTCGAAGGTCCTGATCAGGGGTTTTGGATCGAACGCTGGCTGGGTCGCTGGGGCGGATCGTCGGTTCACGGGAATTGCGCTCTCGGCCAACTCGTCAACAAAGTCCCTCACGATAAACTCCTTGGTTGAGAAGTCCTTCTCTTCTAAGCTGGGTCCCTGGGGGAACAGGGCTCTCGGGCCAGACCCGGACTCGGCCCTGTTTACAGCCATCAATGCTGCCGGCCCCCGGGGCGCATCGGTCCTCTGATGGGCGATTCGATCAGTTCATCAATTGTTCCTCCGAGTCGCGAGCTTGAAGCTGCTTCCACCTGCTGTCACGTCGTAGTCGAAGCCGTAGTCGAAGTCGCAGTCGTCACCGTGGTCGCAGTCGTGGTCGTATTCGTCTGCCTGCCTGAAGCCAAATGTTGTCTGCGGCATGTCTGGCCCAATGTCTGCTGGGGAAAGGGAGCCCCCATAGATCCCTGTTGATACCGTACAGGGGTCCCCGCCAATGCCTGACCTCCCCCACCCATGGGCGCTCTAGCCCCGTTCAGCACCGAGAATGTGGCTGAAGGTGACCGCTTACTGCATGGCAGAGAGCCGAGAGCTCCCTGCACGGCCGGGAGCTGCAGGACGGACGACAGACATGGCCCAGCCAAGCTCACACATGCTTGCAGCGGGCCAGGACGGAATTTCCCAACCCTGAATAGCAACTCGGCGCCATCTTCACTGCCACTCACCATGCCATCCGTTCCACCGCCCTGTTGAACCACCTCTTCGCCTCCAATGCGTACGCGTGTTGGCATGCTCTTTTCTTGCTGACACCGTTTCCTTTTCTTCTTCATTTCTTCGTCGTCTGCCGTCCCTGTGCATCATTTCACGTTGGAACACACCGGGTCATCAAAATGCCTTTCGACACCAAGGACACCCAAGTCTATCGTCGCAACGAGAAGGCTGGCGGGAAGCTTCTGACTCCAGAAGAGAGGATAAAGCTTCTGGAGGTACGTCTCTTGCCCATGAAAGCGGGCAGTCATGGCAGCTAACACAGGTGAAGCCATACCTCCCACCTACAAAGCAGGACCAGGAACGCGAAGAGCGAGCTCAAAGCCGGCGCATTACGTTTGGAGTTAGGAACTTTCTCAAGACGCAACTTCACATCCTGACCTTCACAATCATTCATGCCATATTCTCCATCTACATCCATACCCGCCAGGCCTACCATGCCGTCCGCGATCGCACATACTCCATATTCTTCTACCATCATCGCGACCCTGCCATGATACACAGGGATGTGAAACGACTGAGCAAAGTTCCCAAAGTTCTGAGTGTCGTCCTGAGGGTGGAGGAAGATGGCAAAGGCGGCGCCGAGCTGGAGCGTCTGGTGAACGAGATAGCGGAAGTTTCGGCGTGGTGCGCAAGCGCCGGGATACCCGCCTTGAACGTCTACGAGAAGACAGGTGCGCCTTTCCATGTGCGACGCACGAGTCTGCAGCTGACAAGATCTCTTAGGCCTTCTCAAACAATACCTGCCTGAAACTCACCGAGCGATTTCCCAGAACCTCCGATCCTACTTCGGCAAGCAACATCCCACGTTGACGGTCTGCGCACCCCACGCCCAGTCGATAGAGTCCCCATCCAGCCCACAGACTGCAGATTTTGGGGAAGCAGTCAGTCACCTCACCATGAGATTGATATGCGCCGAGGATGGCCGTGACTCTATGGTAGATCTTACGAAGACGCTGGCGGAGATGGCCCAGAAGCATAAGATCTCTCCTGCCGACATCGAACAGCGACTTCTCGACGTGGAACTAAGGGAGAGCGTCATGGAGGAGTCCGACTTGTTGATCATCTTTGGGCCACACATCGAGTTTCAGGGATATCCGCCCTGGCACCTGCATCTCACCGAAATCTACCACGTGCCTGACAACGAGAGCGTGGGGTACCAGGTATTCTACAGTGGTCTGTGCAAGTATGCGAACGCTCAATTCAGGCTGGGACGATAGTTGTAGTCTTGGGGATCTGATAGAGCTGCGATACAGACGCAGCGCATGGGTTGAGGAGTTCAAGGTGCAGCATAGAGAAGTGTTTACAGTTTATACCCTCCATCAAAGACTCTGAATCCTCATTTCTTGAGCGCTCTTATCCCATTTATAGACCGGCCCAGTCCCAACATTATAATGATAGTAATTTTGTGTTCCTCCTTTTACCATAGCTTGACGAAACGTTATGTTGATCCTACCTCCATCCTTTTCATTCTTACCGCTCCTTTTTGGGATCGAATGCAGCCAGCAAGATTGGGTCCTCCCTCGCATCAGAATCATATCGCCGCTCTCAAGGGGCAGCTTCAGAGGCTTCGGGCCTGACCCGCCCGTCTTCTGCTCGCTCGGAGCGATAGGTTTGTGCTTCAGCAAAAAGTCTCTCCTCGCACCAAAAGAGAACGAGGCAATGGCTGGGTCTGGTCCGAGGAAGCGCTCATCGTCAGAATGATAGCTAATACTATCAGATCCCGAGGAGTAATAGTTGACAAGGCAGAAATTGAACTTGCAGCCAGTGGCAGCCTCAGTAGACCGGCGTAGATTATCGAGACACTTGGGAATCGGACGGGGTGCGCAGTTGGGATATGAGCTGGCGGGAACCTTTGTTCCTGTCTTCGCATCGACAACGGTGCCGTCATCCGAAAATTGTGAAGTGTTGTCTATGCCAAACACGGTAGTGTATCTTGGCGTGTTGATCTGAGTTTCGGTGGGTCCTCTCTTGATGGTGTACTTGACTCTATAGAATGGCAGTTCCGACCGGAGAAAGGTGAAAGCATCTTTGGCGAGATATCCTGGGACGTACGGCTGGAAGTACAGCAGGTCGAGGTCCAATTCGTTTATGGCGCGACCCAGAGTTGCCGGCAGCGATGACAGTTCCTTCTCGATATGAAGTGGAAAGCCAGGTATGGGAAAGGGGTACGTTTTGTGAGTGGAAACAGCGCTCTACGATCATGTCAGCACTATATTGCCATAAAACAGGACCCATTAGCAGAAGCATACTGATGGCTCTTGAGTGTTTGGCTCATCCACTTTCCGATGCTTCGCCGGTGGCGTAAAGAATGCATCGATCGTCCTCTTTTTTGACATTTTGCTTATCAACAGGAGTCTCAAATGTGACGGGCGAACTGAGCAGAGTCTTGAAGTAATTAGCTGCTGTCAATTGCATGGTATTCGAAACGCGACTTTCAAGTGACATCACTGACTTGCACAAAGGCTATCGGTAGTGCTAGTAGCCCTTCAGCCTTGTCCCCGGCTGCGCCAAGCCTGAGTGAAAGCTTCCCCAATAAATTCCAGCCACTCCTGGGAGCTCGCAGCCTTGCGAAAACTTTCGAGCCCCATGAAATATTCGTCGGTCCCTCTCAGTGACCAGGCCGAGCATGCACACATCCAACACGTTGCGTCCAGCATCTCATCGATAATGTCTACCGTCGAAACTCATTCAAACAGCCCAACCGCGCAGGAAGAAGACAACATGGCGATCCTGCGCCCAGCAAAACTGCCGCCCAGCACCTCACTGAACAAAGCCCTGTTCTCAAAAACACTCAACCTAGCTGCGGCGTCCGTGAGGGACAACAAGAACCTGTCAAAATTAAGGCAGGCCCTCTCAAAAAATGGCGACATTCTGCCCATAGAGAGGATATCTGCCATCGCCCCAGACCCGGACACCGACCTCGCAGCAAAAGGTCGCAAATGCCTCCTCCTCAAACCTTCCATCTCTCCTAAGCAACCAGAGACATGGGGCCCTCTCGTCTCGCAGTTGGTGAAGCAGGAGGACGTGGGCATAATTCCTTATGAGCTGAAGCTCGACTATGACTACTGGAACTACCGCGACGTGTTGTCGACGCTGTTGCCAGAGGAACTGCACGACGACATCCCCTCCGGATTCAACACGGCGGGGCATGTGGCGCATCTGAACCTACGAGACCAACATCTCCCGTACAAGATGCTCATAGGTCAGGTGATCGTGGAGAAGAACCAGCACATCAGGACCGTCATCAACAAGACGGACAATGTGGGCACTGAATCTGAGTTCCGGACCTTCGGCTACGAGCTGTTGGCCGGCGAGGACGACTTGAACGTTGAGCTGAATGAGAACGGATGTGTATTCAAGTTCGATTACTCCAAGGTCTATTGGAACAGCAAGCTTGAAAAGGAGCACACGAGGCTTGTCAGGTCGTTCCAGCCGGGCGAAGTCGTCTGCGATGTGATGGCTGGCATCGGGCCTTTCGCTGTTCCGGCTGGGAAGAGGGGAGTCTTCGTCTGGGCTAATGACTACAACCCAGAGAGCTACAAGTATCTTCAGGACGCTATTGGGCGGAACAAGGTGAACACCCTCTTCCCAACAACCCACCATTCGATCTCAACTGACTGGAGAACAGGTTGCGTCTTTTGTCCGGCCGTTCAACGAAGATGGCCGCGTCTTCATCCATAAAGCAGCCAATTCGGTCCTTGCAGCCTCACGGGCCGGTGAAGCAGCCGTGGTGCCCTCGAAACAAAAGTTCTCGCGCAGTAATCCTGACGCCAAAAGGCCTCCGCCCACGGTCGTTCCCATCCCGGCCACGATTAGCCACTTCGTGATGAACCTGCCCGCATCCGCCACCGAGTTTCTGTCGTACTACCGAGGCCTGTACGCCGGACAGGAGGCGCTCTTCGCACCACACACGAAGACAAACCTGCCCGTGGTCCATGTTCACTGCTTCGCCCTGAAGAGCGACGACGACGTGCCCAGAATCGACATCTGTGAGCGTGTTTCCAAGGAACTGGGCGTCACCTTGCGCTGGGATGGGCAGATTGTGGCAATGGGAAGTGAGGTCCAGGACGGGCAGGTTGCCGTGCATCATGTTCGAGACGTGGCGCCGGCGAAGAGCATGTATTGTGCGAGCTTCAGGTTGCCGGCCGAGGTTGCTTTCGCTCCTAGGCAATGAAGCTCTGGTTAAGGATGAATCAGTTGAGGAGAGCTCGTGATTGTCTTACGGGTTACAGCCGCCATGGTCACTGCAAGGCATAAACTGCTGCCCGGGTTCTAAATCGCCGCTTTGCCAACCATACACCCACGATCCTTCGCATCACCCTTACCTCGTCCTCCGATTGGGTATACAAGTCATCATCTTATCCAGATGCCCAATGCAGCTGCGGAAGGGAGCATCGCGTGGGCCGTTGTGAAGATATGCAGGTCACACGACACTATCAGCGTACAGAACAACGCACAGCATTTTGACAAAGCCACCTTCATTACTGTCTGAACGGGCCAGGCGGGCCCAAGGGTGGAATGGGGCTTCTCGTGAGACAGGCATGAGCCGTTGGAAATTGTCCGGTCTCATACAGACAAGCCTGCTGACCATCTTTGGCAACGTGCAGAACATGGAGTGGATGGAAGGCGCAAGGCTGGTTTGGTCTGCCTGCTGGCCACCAGCGTCCCCCGCGAAGATAATGGCTTGCGGCACTGTCAAAAGTTGAAATGACTTCAGTCTGGGGCTCGCGCTCAGTTCAGCTGGTCAATCGAGGGCGCGGGTTTTACGACCTGTAAGATGCACAACAAGTTCTCTGATGGCCTTTCGCAAGCGTCCTTTCCCGACGGCGCGATCCAGGACGACGTCGCCGGCCAGGTACTACGGCATATCCTGAGTGTCCCTACCGACTGCAGCAGTGTGCCGGATCATAGAAGCAGTGTGTCAACATCACAACACGCGGCTATTCGGACCAAATTGCTACATTGCTATCGAAAGCCGCCAAGGGTGACGGTCGAGGCTAGCACTCTTGTCGAATTCTCCATAAAATCCTTCCTCCTCCTCTTTACCCCGGACATGACATCAGGAGACGGTCGTCTGCAGATGGAGATGGAGATTGTTTGATTGAGGAGAAAGGGTCGCCGGGGTCCAGCAATCGACGAGCATTACCACGAGCCCCAACCCTTTTTCATGTGATTGATGACATAGGACAGTCACATTGAGATAGGCAGGCCTGCGCGCCCTGCAAGACGACGTTTTTATCTTCACGGCAGCGGCGTTGAAATCCATTATGCTCGCACCGGATGCTGAAGATCGGTTTCCATTTAGGGACCACTTCCGGGATATGAAGCGTTCAGGCTACTGCGGCCTACTGAGTCGTATCTGCAGGTCGAAGGGCTGCAAGATTATGTGATTGGCAATGCGGCTCTTTGCCAATCATCAGGCCAATCACCCAAGAATCTGGCGGCTTCGCGGGGAGGAGAGTTCACTCAAAGCGCCGACGAACCTCTACGCCGAACAGTCAAATCATATGGCACACACAGCCCGGCAAGAACGCTATCGACCACCCGCCATGGCCGTTGCAAGCCACGACTGGCATGTCTTGTCGAGGGTTGAGGCTTGTGTGATGCGGCCACAACCTCGCCAAGGCGAGTGCCAGCCGCAGCCCTGGCAAGAACATGCGAGCAGATGCCCTGCGGCGCAGTCGTGCCCTGGGCCCTCATGCTGTGTCCGTGTTTCACAGCGGCCCCGGTGAGGTAGGAGGTGATCTATCTCCCGCCTATTAAAGAAGGGCCACGCAGATCTGGAATGCGCTGCAGATGTGACATGCGCTTCGGTGCCTCACAGCTGCCACGCATTTCTACCGTGGAACGTCTCCTTCGTTACGCCAGCCGCTCGGAGGGACGCATAGACAGGCCAGGAAGGTGATACGATAGGAAGGACAGCAGGACAGGAGGCAGGAAGCCGCAGGATGAAGCAAGGCATTAGGTGATGGGAGAGCACGGCCAGGTTTGGACGAGACGGCCCGCTCATTTCAAGGTCGGGAGAGGCAAGGGCGGAGAAATGGAAGGTCGGGTAGGACTCGGACTGACAACAACCGAATGAAGCCATCCTGCCATTCCCTCTGGGCAACAGCCGTGTCGATCGCAACGGCGTCCCCTCCATACATCTGCGTCTGCATCTGCGCGGGGAAGGATTGCGGTAAACTTGCGGGCAACCCGGCTCCTCTCACCCTCCCTCCTGTCCTCCCTCCCAATATGATTAGACGCGCACTCTGGGGCGGTTGGGTTGATCTAGCCATACACAGCGACGACACACAACAATGACGAAGTTGTTACGAGACCAGTGTCTTGCCCCGTACGCGATTACCAGGTCCTTTTGATGGAGTTCAGGCCAAGCGAGACATTGAGAGTACAACCACCGGTGTGGGAGAAAAAGGCACGGGGCTGATTCGTCCAAGGGGGTGCTGCGAGCGTTATCGCGGAGACATCCGTGGGTGTGTTCGGCCTGCATCGGGCAGGCCACACGCGCCGTCCGGACTTGCCTGTTCTTGACGTGCGCGCATGCACAGTACCGATTAGCAATAAGTCGAGTGTGCCTGTGATAACAATACCTAACCGCAACATCGACAGCAAAAGCCGCACTCTGTCCGGGGTTTTTTTTTTTTGGGGGGGGGGGCGGCGCATGGCGAAAGCGGGGAGGCGCCGTCCCAAAACTCTGCGTAGAAGTTGCTCCGGAAAGCCGCGAGAAATAGAGCGGCCGAGAATGGGCGGTCCATTCGGGCCTCCTTCGCACCCGGCCTGGGCTGGGTTCGAACGCAAGCTCCACCCCTACCTGGGGCCTTTTTTGGCCTTGGGAGGATCCCGGCGCCGAGCGAGCGGAGGAGACGAACGAGCCCGTATCAGGCTTTGCTAGAGCATTTCGTGTACGTACAGGATCAAATCGATCGAGAACCTTGAGATGTGAGAGAGTACATGGTACGTACGCACGTAGGCTACGCGGTAAACAGTATCTAGACCAACGCGTCCGCCTCAGCCCCTTCGGATTGCCTCATCAGGCGGCCGAGTGACGGACCCCCAGAGTCTGAGCAATGCTTGCTGCGCCATCCAGCGAACCAGGCCAGAGTCGCATTGCTGCGATGCCGTCTATGTTTCATCTGAACAAGAAAAAGTCAAGGCTGGCCAGACCCCGTCAAGACCCAGTCCCAGTCCTCAGTTGCAATCGCAATCTATTCCCCAGGGCCACGAGCGGACTGCCACTCGGCCGATATTGGCGTGGGAGTGGCAGGGAAGATCGCTCGCTGCCAGCAAGCATACCGGCCATCTATTAAGGCGTCGGCAGCAGTCAGCATGGCATGATCTGGTGAATCTGGGGCGTGCTGGCCGGATGGATGGCTGGCCGGCTGGCTAATGCAGCGAGGGCGAGATGGGCGGAGAGCATCTTAGACTGCTCCCGTCCAGTGGCTGACGGTAGTATGGCTGGCTGTCTGCTAGCCGGGAGCCCAGGCCAGCGGGATCCCACCAGGTTCTCTTCGATGGTACGGCGGTAGTAAGTTTCACTTGACGGTGGGGACGAGCCAGTGTCTTTTCTTCCCTCCCTCCCCACAATGGCAAGCCTCTTCGATGGCACCCCGTCCAGTCCATCCAAGCCCAATGCAGCGGCAGACTTCCCCGGGGGGATGGATGGGAGGGCTGGAAGGGGTGGAGGGGAACTGGGTCTAGAGGCAGTGCTGACACCTCCCCAAGAACGCGTGCTCTTTTGGTCTAACAAATCTCTCTTCTTCTTATTTCGCTCACGCAAGATATGAACTGTAAAATGTCTAATTATCTAATGAAAATCCACCCCAGGCTAGCCAAGTGCGGCCGGCGTTTAGGCATGAGCGTGCCACGGGGAACCAAACCCACATCTCCGAGGCTTGTTGTTGCTATACGAACCATCAACGCCCATTTTGTGCCGAACGAGCCGTGGATGACTTGCTCTACCGAGTGCTTGCTCACCGGCAGGCAAGTTTCTGCTCGTCTTGGGTCGGTCGTGGCACACGTAAGGCCCAACGCGAAAGTACTCAGCCACACAGGAAGTCCACGCAGGAAGTCCACGCAGGAAGTCCTCGTCCATGTCGTCTTCGCAGGCGCCACCAAGGGCTTCCAGAACGTGGCGGCCCCACTCCACATTGTCTGAGGCGCTGGGAATCTACGACATCGAGGGACTCTGCCCCCCTTCTAAAACAAAAAACAACGCGAGAAACGAGGGATAATTTCAACGGCGATCCCCGTGGCTTGGACTTGTTTAAGACATACCCTTCGACCGCATCGGCAGTGATGTTTCTGGAATGTCGCGAGTCAATGTCCTCTGGGAACAACAAGGGAGGAGAATCACGTCTCCGGATTACCCGATGAGCAACGACCGCCCAGGACGATTCGTAACCTCGACACTGACAGGTACTCTTGACAAGTAAATAAACCCCCCCGTTCGCTGGGAGGCTCCCACCCACGGCCCGCCCTGTGCTGCGTAGCATCACGCCGGCTCACAGCGGCTCGGGAAAATGACAGGTCGGAAGTGACGGGTCAGGGTGAAGGAGGGAGGGGGAGGGGCGGTATGGTCTTCGTGGTGGACTTCCACTGACTGCCATTGTATAGATCTGCTGTACTGTGGTGTGTGTCCAACCAAGCCCAGAGTTTGTGCAATTCTACCAAGCACCTTGACGAAACGGTTACAGGATCTGGCCCAGGGACTCGAGCGGAGCTGAGTACACATGATAGATGATAGATGACAGATGATGGACAGCAGACTCGAGGTGACCGATCGAGGACATCGAGGTGCCCACCCTCTCTTCTAGCCCCTCGATGTGGGACCAAGCCACGTCTTAGAGCCTCAACACAGAGCCTCATAAGGATACCACTACCGGCCGCTGCCCAAGGCCCGGGGATTTTCTCACCTCCACGGTCTGGGGCCGGTGTCAGGGTCGGATTGAATTCGTTTGTTTGTTGTCTCTAGTACCTGGGCATAGTCCATTCCTAGGGCCCGACGGCCGTGGAGGCTAGCTTTATCTCTGGACATCAAGGTCCACCCATCGAAGGCTCGTAACGTCTCACGGAAGCAGACTACCGCAGGAGGGCGCTTCCACTGGGCCCCTGGCTTAACAAGTCAACACGCACGGTCGAGGCAGTCTGCCGCCCTGCCGTATCTCGATTACCTTGCCGTCGGCTTCGGGACGGGTTCGACAGGAATGGGGCCGGCCCTCGACCTGCCTTATCTGTAGGGTGCTCATGCTACGTGGTGGTGTTTCTGTGCAGGATGCCACCTGCGAGGAGACGACCTGAACCTGTATGTGTGCCTGCACAGTGTAAGCCGTAGCGGTCCCCTAAGAATAGATGCTGCGGTGATGCTTTGGGCTGCTACGCATCTAGACCTCTGGGCGGGCCTGGGAAGCATCGCGGCGTCTGCTGTGGTCCGAAACGGCTCCCGCTACGGGCGACGATCAGGGTCCCCTCGTCTCTGTAGTAGCTGCAGGATAACCTGGACAAGTCCCTGTCCTTTCACGCTGGCGGCGCCTGGCGTTAGTCGGGAAAAAACCTCCGAGAGTCTCGGGCTGCAGCTGTGCTCGCGTCACGTCTCGCCCTAGATCAGCCTATCGTACCGTCCGGAGATGGCACGAGCAATTGCGCATCCCTCACAGGTCAGCTCCTCCCCGGCCAGGGGGTAGTAGCATTTGGTCAAAGAAGAACCATCTCAGCCATCAAACAAGATCTAGTCAGTCGGGACGTGAACTACTCCTCACCGCCCTATTCGGACGAAAGTCTAAACCCCACGAGATGTGGGTGCGAGTCACGGCTTTGACCCTGATATCCCGTTGGTTTCAGGCACCGGCCAGATTAGCCGGCTTTAGGGTATCTGATGTGCTTGGTTTTGATACTGGTTGATGCTGCTTATGGCTCGTAGGATTGGCTCCCTAGGACACCAACGAGCCTGGCACCAGATGTCTGCTGAGTCGTAGCGGACGGGAGTCTGCAGGGATGAGGCAATCTGGGATGGCACTCATCAAGGGACGAGGGTTTGTGTACTCTCAGATGGCAATTTGCCCAAGCGTCTGGGGAAAAGTTGAATTGAGCCTTGGGCTGCATCCTGCCTTGATCCCGGCTGCCTGCCTCTATGTCATCGGTCATCAGGGAGGACAGATTGAATTCGGCTTGGCTGCAGAGTCAGGGAAGTGGGAGGATAGGTAAATGCCGCTCCCCTTACTGTGTCGATAGGGCCTTTGTGCGGCTCGTCGTGGACAGCCCTTGCCGCACCTGGTCTGGACTGTCGAATATCTATGCACAATGGCGAAGGATCGGCACCAAGACATCAATCAATGCCCTGACAGACGACTCCAATTGATCTCGTCGAGAGGTTGCAATCTCGCCCAGCTGTCGAGCCGGTATCGTAAGCACTGTACAGGATCGCTCGGTGACGAGCTACGCGGTCCGTGTTGTCCAATCCATGCGTCTGGTTCGATCGCGGCCAAGACGGCGCCCTGTTTCTCATGTGCATATCTGCATGGCGTGGTGTGCGCGTAGGTTCGTTGCCCTACACATTGTCGAGACAAACGATGTGACGGGTGAGAGGACATAAGGTCACTCCCTCGACGTGAACATATCGCTGAGGTTGCGTCTAATGCAGCCCGGTGCCAGCAAGGCCGCAGAGAACAGAAGGACATAGCTTGGTGGACGGAGGTTTAGCTCGGACTATCTCATGTAGCTAGAGGACTGGCCGGGAGTAGCTCTGAAGGTTGGCGCCATCTCGTCTGCAGCTCCAAGGATGCCATGGACGGCCGGGTTGCAGACTCATATGCGGAACAATCCGGAACCCTGGCCGTGACATTTGCCGACGGACGGACGGGCTAGTGTTTCTGGTCGAGGCGACTCGAAGCCGGACGACAATGGAGGCAGATACCTGAGAGGCTCCCGAGAGGCTCCCGGCCAGCCGGCGTGGAGATAAAGCGAGAGGCGGGGATTGAGCAAAGATAGGACATGAACCACCAGCGGTCGACGAGACGCATGCGACCATGCCGGCCCCAGGACGACCATGGGCGGCTCGCCCAGTGCTGCAGACGGTCTGGATGGTTTGTGTGGTCTTCAGGGTTCACCAGGCGGGTTGCCGAACCTGCTAGCGGAAAGGTAGTCTTGATCGAAGTCTGGCTTCGAATCTAGAGTCGGTCCATCTCCCTCCTCGGCCTCACCAATGCGTATCAAACAAGGGGAAGGGAGCTCCTGGGCAGGACAAGGAGACAGTTCCCTGGCGCAGGACTGTTACACGGCTCCCAGCAGCTCGCATTGGGTCGATGGCAATTAGTACGAGCCCGGCCTAATGGCACCCGTCAGCCAGCGATGGCCGAGCCGACTGTTTCCAGATTCGCACTTGGCCTGGGTGCCGTTGATCAGCCTCGACGAAGCGAGACGTCAACGTCACAAGGCTGGGCCCGTGTGTGGCCAGGCCCGGGGTGGGCCGATTCCATAACACAACAGACCATCCAGACTTCCTGCAAGACGGACAGACGGACAGACTGCCTGGACTGCCTGGACTGCCTGCAAAGGAAAAACAATATAAAGACGTCAGGAGAGGACAGATAGCCTTCAATTGTGAGCAAAGGAGTGAAACTGGCAGTATCTTGTGCCGTCTGGCATGCTGGTGAATGACATCAATCGATCATCAAGCAAGTCTCAGCCCCGGGCAGACCACTTGTTGCAAAGTCCCTGCCCTGGCTGCTGGATTGCTGATCTGGGGGCTCCAGTTTGGACGGTGAGAGCTCTGATCACCCAATTCCATGAGGCCACGCCATAACGGGCGACCCCCCATCCCCCCGGCGAAGATCCATCCATCCCCAGGTTGGCAGGCCCGTTTGTGGGAATTCTGGACATCGATCACCCCCGGATTCATCAGAACCTAAGACATTCCCCAGTGTGACCCCCGCACTGGCTGAGACAGCACAGGCAGGCAGGACAGGCTGAGAACGTCAGCTCCCAGCTCCATTATCATTTCATTACAGTGCGTGCCTGCCCTTGCCAGCTAATAAGCCTAAGGTTTGCCCAGCAGGAGGGAAATGGACGTAACATCCGGGGAGAGCATGGTGCTAACGGGCTTCATGCCAAAGCTTTTCTCGCCGCATAACACAGTCTACGTAGTCGGCCTGGTCTGTTGTCGACAGAGGTATCTGTGAAGAGTGCTCGTGGAACCACGCCAGGCCGGACCAAGTGACCTCTCTGTCCTTGGCCGGCTCGCCGCCCTCTTCAGCCGCGGGGAGTGAGTGTGAGGTATCCCGTACACGAGTGACACCCACGCACAAAGTCACGACATCCTCGTCCTTCGTCCCCGTTCCCTTCCTGGTCCTCGTCAGCGTCAGCATCGGCATCAGCAATCAGCACGAACTGGCCCAAGCAGGCCGCATTGAATTAGCATTCCGGACCCCCATCCCCACGGGCCGCGCGGGCGGGTGACACGGGGAAGCGCAGGAACGAACCCCAAGCCAGTCATTCATCGTCCCGTGACCATCTCTGAGGCAAGAGGCGAAGGCAAATCAAGAGATTTTCATCTCTCTCACTCCCGCTCCCACTCTGCCACTGCGAACCTGCCAGCTGGCCGTGTCTGACCCGGGGAGGCCCCATCCGCTAGGTAGTTAGACTTGAAGAGAATTCCTCAGCGGGCACATCTTGACCCTTTTTTGCCCCCCCCCCCGGCCGCCCATGCCAAGGCCCCATATTCCAGACGACCGATTACCGAGGTGCTCTGCTCGTACGGTTCCCTCTCTCTCTCTCTATTTCCCTTCCCGAGGTACCGGACCAGCCCTGACCACCAGCCGGCCTTGTCGCCTGTCGCCTGTCGCTTATCGCCGGTCGCATGACGACCTGGTACACCTATCTGTACCTACTACACCTGACCGGTCAACCACAGACCACGGAAGAGGAAAAGAGGCATTCGTTGGAACAGAGGGAACAGAGGGCCGGATACAGATAACAAGGCGAGAACAATGACAATCACTATCGATCGATGTGCGCATGTACCTACATGATCATGATCATTGTTGTCCTGCCCCTTCCCCAGCAGCCAGCAGCTCAACCCATCGCCTACACTGTACACAGTACGCAGTGCTGTTGCGCACACAAGGCGCTCGGACAAACACGGTGGCTCGGTGGGAAGCCAACGGGGGCGAATCACGTCCCTGGCTGTCCCCTGCTTCGATGCTGCATCTCATCCTGCACTCCGCAATCCGCACGTTCATTCCCCCATCTCGTGCTACCCTTTTTGCTTTTTTGCTCAGAGGCAATTCAACCCGCCTCGTCCCTGGACAGGCCCAATAGTCAGATAGCCCACTAGCCCATCACCCTGTCCCGTCCAATGCCCAGGTGCCCAGCGGCCCATGTTCACCGCCCAGTCGCTGCCATGTAGGTACCACATACCTAGAGCCGGTATTCCTTACAGACGTTTCTTGTCTAGCCGGGCTTCTGTGGCACAGCGGGCGTTCTGGGCTGCAGCGCGTCAGTCACTTGCATGGCACGCAGACATGTCCCCTCACGCCTTCGGTCTGATAGCCTACCAGTCTTTGGAAGCCGCCAAACGGACGACAACCTTGGAACCCCAAGGCTGCGTTCGGTTCGAAGGCTGACCACGCCGCCCTCCCTTCCAAAGAGAGACTGCAAGGTTGAATCTCAAATGGCGTTCCCCCCTCCCCACAGATTCCATCCATCCATGCCTCCGTGCCTCCATCTGACCGTTTTGTTCTCTCCTCCGGGTGCGCCTGGCCATGCTGCAGACAAACTCACACACATATGCATACGTACGTACATACACACATCCATACTCACATACATAGCCCACCACTCGTCCACTCACCCGCCAACCTGCCCGCTCGCTTAACCTAGGCATAGTGCTCGTCCGTGCCGGTTGTTTATCGTGCATGAGTTGTGAGCGAAGCTTGCTGCTGCCCCGTCTGCAGCAGGCTGGGAGCTCTAGAACCGCGAGCCACATGCGCACACCCTCGGCCTGGTCCCGATGCCCTTCCTGCCCCCCAGCCTACTACTTACTACCCGCTGCGCACTACCAGCCTGATACCTGTCTGCTTGAACTTGCCAGAACCGTGTGCTGTGACGGGGCCTGTACTCGAGTTAGTCAGTCCTCCTGGTCCTGGCCTATCTATCGCAGGAGTCGGCATCGTCGAGGGCCAACCAAAAACCCACCCTCCCTGTCATGTCGTTCACATCGGTTGACCCCCCTACCCCCCCACCCCCTTCATCCCACGTCCTTCGGGCCACCCTTCGCATTATTGCGCTACGACGTCAAGGCACGCAACCAAGTGCAATTGCTGCGCTGGCAGTCCCGTGTCGTAGATTGTCGTGGGTGCAGCGGGAGCATCTTTGGCCAGGCCAGGGCCGACGCTCGAGCGATAGATGTCTCGGTAGGCAGGCTGATATGGCATGTCGAGCAAATTGGGATTTACCGTCAGGTGGCCAGCCGGGCCCGAGTGCGAGAGTGCCAGTGCCAAGTGCCAGTGGCCCACTGGCAGCACCACACCCAAGTCTCTTCCCTTCCCCCCTCCCCCCACGCGTGCTGGCCAGGCAAAGCCACTGCCCAAGTGGTCCTAGTGGCTCCAGGCCGAGCTACCCGCTCAGGTTAGCCCCCCCCAGCCTGCCCTGTCCTCCCTCTCTCCGTCTCCCCACCTGGGGCGCTCACCACCACCGCTCTGCTCTACACAGGCACCCTACACAGGTACCCTGTACCGTGTAGTCGGCCGTGTACCCATGTACTCTTGTAGCCGTGCTGCGCGGCGCCCTGCAATCGCAGAGCCCAGACCCAGACCTTCTGGGATCGGCAAGGACCCCAGACCTTTCACGTCCAACCCACGCAATCCTCCATTCACTTTTCCACATCCCACACTTTTAAGTCTTGGACCCGCCGCCTCCCCCCCATTGTCCCGGTTCTTGAGTGCTTGCCGAAGTCTGTTTGGTGCTTTGCCCTCTGGGTCTTCTCCGACCACCGCCCTCCGCCATCCAGCAAAGCCCCAGAAATCCCCCCTTCGAGTCATCTGCGATATCTCTCTCCACGCCCTCAGTCATGCAGCTTTTGTCCTGACCACCCTGAGACCCGCAGACTCGAGACACCCACGCACCCACCACCCTCTTCAGATCGGCACCGCGCTGCCACTCACCTGGGCGTGTGTTCTGGCCGCCCGACTCGGGACTTCTGGACCTATATCTCCCCTCACCCACCTTTTCCTCACCCAACCTCCGCTGCCAGATAAACCAACCTGGCCGCCCAAGGCCCACCTCCAGCCAGGCACCCTCACACAATTTCTCCACACCCTTGACCATCGCTGGTTGTCGTGCAATTCACAACCCGCCGCTGCACAGGATCGGCTTCTCACAACACAACCAGTCTCCAGCAGAACGAAGCCGGCACAACAAGTCGGCTGTGAAGCTGCAGTGTCTTCCTACACCTCAAAGGCGCACCGCACAAGTGACAGCACGCTCCCCCCCTGACCAGGATTGGTGGCATACAGATGACGGAATCCCCTCTCTCAAAACACGGGCAAATATTGACGGTGACGTTGGACGCCACGTCCAATTGATCGCCGGTGGTTGTCCGTCAAGATGGCGGTGGTAATAACTTCGGAAGAGAGTAGCTACTTCGCACCCTCTGCGCTGCGTCGATCTCATTCCCAGTCGAGATTCGGGCCCAGGCAAAATGGCGTTCTCCACGGTTCATCTTCTGCCTCGAGGATACATGATCTCTACCCGCATCCCGTCAAAATCTTCGGCGACTCGCAGCTCTCCACTGCGCCGTCCTCGCCACAAACAATACATGCGTCGACAGCCGACCATTCCTGTTCCTCCACCCCTGCGAGCAACCTGTCGCTCTCGACGGACAGCGAGGGCTGCGATAACGGCCTGTTGCACGACTTGGGCGACGAGAGCGACATTGTCTTCCCCGCGTACAATGCATATCTAGGCCCGCCAACACCAGAAGAATTGGAACCTCCACCCAGCCCTCGCACAGCGAACTCCCCTGGTTACGAACCATCGACCACAAACTCGAATCCTGAGACCCCTGAGTCTTACTGTGATCCCACCGGTGGTGCTGTAGACGACACTGCAGTTGGGGCACAACCCACTCGTCATGTCGACTACCTGTCCCATGACTGGAAGGAGGAGGACATCTGGTCGTCCTGGAAGCACATCATTTCCAACAGGGATGGCTTTGGCGGCAATTCTGCACGGCTAGAGAATGCGTCTTGGAGGACATGGATCAAAGCAAAGAACAACCTCAAGACCGTCTCCCCCGAGACGCTCAACTGGTATGTTATGACCCTCACTCCGATTGTAGTCCCAAACCGCTGACTTTTGGCGTAGGCTCAAGGACTGTGATGTTACCTGGCTGTACGGGCCCCTACTGACCGGCAAGACGAGTGATCTCTCACGTCCTAAACATGACGAAACATCCACTGGCTTGTCCAAATCCAACTCTTTCATACAGTCACAGTCCAAAAAGAAACCGATCCTGAAGAAACGGAGCATGTCGGAGATCATGCTGCAAAAGTCCTTGTCATCCTCGTCCCTGATCAAGCAGGCTGCAGCGGCTGTTCAAGCTCAACAAAAGGAAATGCCTCGCGGTATCAGAGTCTCACCAAGGCCCAGATTCGAGCGGGCTGCCACTGACTATGTCACATTTCCTTCTCGTCACGGCGGTTGAGTAGGGACCAATTAAGTACCGGGCCATCGACGTCAACCTCGGGTGTCATCTCGCCTAACAGCGAGCGCAAGCACATTCACTTCAATGAGAAGGTCGAGCAGTGCATCGCTGTTGACATCAAGGGTGACGACGATGACGATGATGTTGACACAGACCGATATAACTATGGTAGCGACTCGGACGATGGTATCATGATGAAGAAAGCGACCACCAAAAAACGGAGGCCGATTCTGAGGAGGAAAACGAGCAGTCACGGCAAAGCTGAGAAGAAGAGCATTAACATGCTACCCCCGACAACACTCAAATACCGAGAGGATACACCCGAACCACCTGAAACGGCCATGAAGCACTCGTACAGGAGCCCCGTCATGTCACCATCGTCGTCGCAGGAGACCCTACGGCCGTCGAAGCCATCGTCCAAGATGTTTTTCATTGATGATGAGGACGAGGAGGAGGAGGAGGAGGAGGAGGATGACTGCGCAGAATTCAGCGATGGCTTGAGATCGCCGCCTCCGGGCGGACTTTCTGCCTCTGGATTCCGCCGCACCACTTCATCGAGCAGCTTGAATGCGGCACCCTCCGGTATGAGACGGACGGAATCAGGTATGTTCATGCCCTATGAAGAAGGTGAAACGGCATCGGAAGGCATCGTTGGCTTCGTCCTTGATACGGTGAATACGGCCCGAGACATCGCCCAGTATGTACCTTCCGCGCCCAGAACCCTCCTCGGATCTGCCATACGAACCGAGCAAAATCCCCGAGGTTCTCGGTTGTTCAGGTTTGCTAACCATATTCAACAGTGTTGTCTGGAATGTAGGATGGAGGAGATGATGTTGACTTGCTTGTTCAGAAAAAGGCTTCGCAGAGGTCAACCTCCGATTCCCTCGTAAAGACTAAGAGCTTCCCGCACCAGGGCTATCTCCCCGTCTAAATGCGGCCTTTCAGCACGTCTCTTCTGCCTACCCACAACCCAGACCAGCCATTGTATCTAGCGAGCGATTGTACGATAGCGTCTTGGATGCATTTGAGCATAGGGCATTTGTTGGACGTTGCCATTTTCTTTCCCACCGCCAACTACGACATCTGCCGGTCTTGCATCTTGCATGGACAACGGCATATTCGGCTTGGACCAAATCTAGCATTCGAGTCGAGTGAGATCTGATCTCCACATAAAGACTCGACACCAGCATCGCGGACGGCGTTTACGAACATTAACTTTCATCCTCGCCTGCCGTGCAGCAGCGGCTGCTCATCCGGTGAAGGCCATTTTTATTCGGCTGTTTATTGGCCTGTGGGGCAGGTCGGGAAAATGGCCCAATTCAAACTCATTTTGCGGCGTTGTGAACGGTCACGACTCATCGCACACATTTCTCGGCAGATGCATGAGGGATTTCGGTTCTTATTCTTCGTTCATTCTCTTTTCTTGTTGCGCCTTGTTGATATCGGCATGACGCGCGCGGATCGAATGTTCAAGCGGGGTGCGTATAAAAGAAATAATAGGAGGGGAAAAGTCATTTTGGGGGGGGGGGGGGGGGTCAAGGGGCGTTTACCAGAGGATATATCAATGGGTAACGGACGGAAGGACGAACTTGGGCCAAGGAGATCACGGGGGTCTGTAAGCCAAGGGGCGACAGACCGCCCCTTGATAGATAGGAGCATCCAACTCGAATGGCGTCCTGCTGGCGTCCTGCTAGCGTGGGATGCCCGCCACCGAGAAAGAGAGAAACTTGGACGTGAACACTTGCGCACGTGTATCTGGAGTCGGGATGTTCCTGGCGGAGTAAATTGACAAGCCATTGTCCTGTGATCTGATCGAATCTTTGAGAAGCAAAAGCAGAAAGCAGAAAAGCGAAGGAAGGGCAGGCGACATGCGCATTGACCAAGCAAAACTGGCGATGAGGTGTTGCGAGAGAGGGCGGAAACGGTTTCGTCCACACGCCTCTGGCCCGAGCTGTCGCGAGACCTGGAATGACTGTGAGATCTTAATCTATCTTCATTTTCCATCATGGGCCCCGTCCACGTCACATCATCCCCGCTCCTTATGCGTTACGTTGGAGAGGAGGCCACTCGACTCCTGGGTCGAATCTGTTCAGCTTTCCCGAAAGGGGGAAGAGACCAAGCACAATGACTCCCTATCTCGTAGCGAACTGCAAGTGTTGAAGAGACATGTTCCAGTATACGTGGTTGTATGTGTCGTCAATATCGTCGAATACATATATTGTACATTGTTAGTGCACTAGGATGCCTATGTGGAGCCTTTTATATACCGTGTATGTTGTTTGAAGCCGCGGGGTATGTGCTTCACAGCCGCTCATCAAACCCGGGGCTAAGGGGCAAACCGCCCGTCTAGCCCGCCTACTCAGCTTCCGCTGTGGCCTTGAGCTCTGCGTCGAGGACTATATCAAACCCCGCTGTGCTCCTGCGCGCTGGCCCTCCCCACCGCCTCAACAAGTACCTCGGCCACGTGGACATTGACGTCCTTCAGCTTGACCTCGAAAACATCGCCCATCCTGATGTCACTCACCGTGACCCCCAGCCTTCCCAACCCGTCCTGGACCATGAGCACATCGAGCCCGAACCAGTCCAACCAGCCCGTGACGAACCCGCCCCCGGCGCGTTTTGCGGTGAACCGGAAGGTGTCCGGCAGCCTCGAGTCGTGCTCGGAGGGGTACTTCCATGCCCGGAAGAGGGCCTGGTGCATGTAGGCGTGGTTGCCGTCCACGTTGCCCAGGCGCCCGATGATGCGCTGCCGGAGCACCATCCAGGGGAGCACCTCCGTGTCGAGCTCTCTCTTGCTGAACGGCAGCTTCTGCACCGCCACCTTGCTTCCTTCCCCATTGTCCTGCAGGAGCGCCTGCTCGATCTGCCAGTGCGCCACGAGGTCCGAGTATCGCCGCAGTGGCGACGTCACCTTGGCGTAGGCATCCACACCCAGGATGAAGTGCGGGCCCGGCCGCGTGGACACCTCGTCTGGGCCGACGAGGTCGTAGAACTGCCTGGATTGGTCCATGCTGGGCCGTTCTCCGCGGAGCAGGGCCGGGTAGTAGACCCTCTCGGTGTATGCCTTGAGCAGCTCCGAGTTCCTTTCGGCCGCGGATTGCTTGACGAAGGGGATGGGGATTTTGCGGTCCGCACACCACCGTGCGGCTATCTCGCCTGCTAGGACCATGGTGTTGGTCACCAGAGGGGCCTCGCTGCCAACGTCCCAGCCTATGCTGATGGATGGATCGCCGTTGCAGGTCATGAGACCCGATGATGCCTCGTCGATTGAGGTATCATCAAACCAGGCCTTGGCGTCGGCGCGCAGTGGGAAAAGTGGCACGGAGCCCTTGGCCAGACGCCTGTCGCGAATGGCGATTGCGAGCCGATGAAGCGCCTCGAGTGATTCAAGTTCATCTTGTCGAAGCTCGGAGCCAGTTACCATCTTCCTATTCTCGGGTTTCTTGGGGGGTGGCTGGCCCACTTGGAAGCTCTCCGTGCTAGACCACGCCGGGGGGCGCCTGGGATCTTCAAACCCGACAGTGTGGTTGACCTCCTCGGGGGTGATGAAAATGAGGTCTTTGAGCTGACCTGGGGTGACAGTGTACTCCAGGAGCTCGCCATCATTGTTCACCCTGCCGCTGAAGGTGAGGCAAGGCTTGTCAGGACCGAGGGAAAACAACTCCTGGACCTCACTGCCCACACCCCAGATGTTGGACTGGTGTCCCGAGAGGTACAAGTTGAGCGGCAACAGCTGAGCGCGCCGTCCGAGATTTGAATTATGCTGAATCCGGGACGCAGGATCTGCTACATGGACGTGAATCCAATGCTCGTCCGGGTTGTTGGTCTTCTCAATAGACACGGCGTCGTCAATATCGACTGTGTCTCGAGCGTCAATCGCAAACACCCTGTGATCAGTCCACTCCTTGCGCTTGCCCGCGAAACGGTCCGGCGTCAAATGAGCCGAAATGCCAACTGGCCCCAGCTGCACACGCTCGAAACCTGTCTTCCGAGATACTGCTGTTCCTGGAATGCGTTGGGTGTAGCGTGAGCGGATCTCCCAAGGGCTCAGGTACCCAACTTCCTGCAAAAACGTCCATCCAGTGCTGGTAGACAAGAATTCACTGTCTCTGTACCTACCAAGAGCCCTCAGAATCGTGGAACCTATCGTTTGGAAGCTCGAGGAGAGCGAGAATTGATCGTAGCCAGCCCATAGGTGCACGAAATGCAAGATGCTCAAGTCGATGTCAGTCCATTCCGTTCTGAGGGGCGGCCTGGGTATCTTCGAAGGGCTTAGAGTCCCGTGGGGCGTCCAGTCACGGTACCGCCGGCTCTGGTCAATAGCATCCCTGGCCTTCAGAACGAAGCGGCCTATCTGGCTTTGACTCAACACAGACGATTTCAAAGCAGACAGCGGCATTTTCACTTTTCCGGGGATGTCGGTGAAGAGCCTGACCAATGTCTGCATGTTGTGTATCAGAATAACATCTTCAGCCGGCGTCACTTCGTATACAGTCTTCCTGGTTGGGCCCAGTGCACCGACCAGTCGGAATCCGACGTCGTTGGTCATGATAGTGCGGTGAACAGCAAATAAGGTGTGAATAGGAATGCTCTTGTCCTCCCCTTTTCTTCGCCGGTCGATCAAACTAGTTGCGACTTGGTCCAGCGTGAGGTACCTGTCGTGGCCTTTGGACAGAATCTCGTGAGCGTTTTCGAGGCGGATGGCATATTGTTGAACAGCGGCTTCCGCTTTCTGTTGAAACTTGAGCATGACGTGCAGAAGCGCACCACCAGATTCGCGGTCCGGACCCATCTTAAGCTCTTTCATCGCCCTCAACGTCTCGAAGGGTAAGGCCTCCTTTGGTAGTTTGTCAACGATGGGCTGGAGCAATTGCGCGCCAACGAAGTCCCTGACCACAAAGTTCGACGATGTTTTGGGAGTGGGATGCCACTTTCCAGTGATCGTGTAGAAGTGGTAGATCCCGTGGAGATTCCCGAGACATATGGCCAAGATTGCTGCCCTGTCGCTATCTTCCTGAAGCTCGATCAAGTCGCCGGCTTTGAATTCGGATGGCGGAGGGAGGAGATCGAGGAAACTGTCACTGTCGGGGAGCGGCTGTTCCAGGTCTGCGCCTTCTCCTTCATCCAGCCTCAGCTCATCAAGGTGGCGAGCCCTTGTGAGCAAGTTCCGTACTTTTCCTGAGCTGCCGTAGTCTGCGGGTACGCCTTTAGGGGCTGGTGCCTCGTTCTCGGCCTCCCATTGTCGCAGCCGCTGGCGGATTTTCGGGACGAAGCCATCTTCTGAGCCTGCCTGGGGCGTTTCTTGTACGGTCGCAAAGGCCTTCACATCACAAGTAATGTCAGATACAGAGCTGCACAGCAGAATTAAAAGTTGAGGGCTGTCACAAATGGTACGGGGTGCTTACCCTGCGGTTGACCAGAAACGCGGCATGACCGCGTGCAGCATTACCTCGGAGGCTACTTCTGGCCAGTCCTGCCGCTCTTTGGGATGGGAGCTCCGAGTGAGCACCTCTTGATAGACAGCTCCAGCAGACGTATGACCCGGCGGCAGGTATTCGCATGATGGAATAGGACACTCAAAAGGGTGGGTGTGTGGCACTGTGAAGTTGTTACGGAGGCGAGGCCCGTTGAAAACTTTATGGAGCAGTCCGCTTATCGTTCCCGATAAGAAACCCAGCCATGACGTGCATTGCATTCCACTCAAACCCCCTAGCTCATCCGTGCGGCAATCTATCTGCCAGGTACCTGGGTACCTCTGCAAGGAGTAGGCAGGTTCAATAGCACCGTCAAACATCAGACGGTACATGAATACATGCATGCGTGTACTTGATATATATATATACATAGACATAGACATGTATACTCATACCTACATCGTTATATGTGACTCACGATTCGAAGTCACTTCTCCCGCGTCCTATGCCCTGCCGTGACTCAACCATTGGAGGTTTACGTATCTGGATCAAAATCTCGAGGCACACAGGAAACAGCAGGCGAGAAACCATGTAGTGCACGAATCCCGCTGCCCGTTGAGAAGCTGAGTGAGATGACCGTAAAAAAGGGCCATGTCTCACATTGCTTTGCGTGCCGCTGTACTACTCCTTCATCTCTCACCCCATTTGCGCGGCCGCAGCATTTCTCTCCCTCGCCTTGCCTCGTGGCGGTCCGGGTGCACAAGACGTGCTGTGGATAGATTCGAAATGTCTCAGTTGCAATCGTCGGTCCGATCACAATACATCTCCCCAAACAGTCCTCAATAAGAACGCGTCGGGAACGGATCAGTACCAGGGAATCTTGGGTTATTTGACATGTCGGTTTCAGCAGCTCGTCTTCCGTCTTTCGTCCCTGCGCAAGCCGACGTCAGCATTCTCAACTCGGGAGCCCCTCTCTCGTTTCGTGGCGGCCTCGTCCACCCGTTCGTCGATACTCTGGTCGCCCCTCGTTCCCGGCCGGCCGCTTGGTGTTCATCCTTTGTCTTGTCTCCATGCTTGCAGGCCACTTGCCACGAAGCCTTGCATCGTTTGCGGCTTCTGCAGAACCCGGTCTTTGACAACATTGGGAGGCGAGGACGGCGAAAGGGTCCAGGCATGACGGCACACATTCCCTGTTTTCAGAGGACATCATCGCAGCCCTGACTGGCTCGTCCTTCCGTCCCTCCTTTTGTTCGCCGGCTTGTTTCTTAAGCCACGGGCAGCCTGCCGTCCTCGACTGTCAGGAAAGGGCGTTAACCACAGCCGGACCTGACATATTTGTCGAAGCCTACCACCATTACCCGCTACCATACCAGCCGACGAAACTTGTCCAACGCGTGCTCTGGGCACTCGCTTTGAGAACATCCACTATCACCATCTTCATCCACCATGGCTTCACGATTATTCGTGCTGGCTCTCGCGGGCTCAGTGGCCCTGGCCCAGGACATGGACTCAATGCCGCCCGGCCACGAAATGTCAGTGACAGGGGACGGCAACAGCGTGACCGCAGCCGAGCCCGCCACTGCCGAGCATGCCACTGCCGAGCCCACCACAGCCAGCCAGGCCCTGGAGGCAACAACACCCCTGCCAACGGCAATCATGCCGTCCGACGTCTCGGACGTCTCCGGCACGCCGACCACGTTGGTGGTGGACACGCAGACGCCCCCCTCGCCGTCTTCTAGCATGAGCTGGTCCATCACAACCACCCATAACATGGGCCACATGACCCACGCGAACGCAAGCGGCGTGGCAGAGCCGACCGGTGGGGCCTCCCCGTCGGGCACTGGCGGTGCGGGCGACTCTGTGGACAATGTCAACAGCGCCGTGCGCAGCGCGTTCAACAAGATCTCGGTACGTTGAGGCCAGGAGCTGTGCTAGGGAGACGACCCATTGACTAACGGTTCGCCCAGATTGGGGTTTTGGCTCTGTGCCTCGTTGCTAGCGCAGCACTGCAGATGTAAGGGGCGAGGGAGGTTCATGCCAGGCTCGCCATCGGGTTACGGTCCCGGGGGCAGGGCGGCGTGGGTCTGGGGGCACGAGGCCATTCCCATTAGCCATGCGGTTGCAGGATTGCAAATTACATGTTAGCCCACGTGTTGTGGGAGATAAGGCGAGGCGGCGGGCTTGTAATAAGCCACGGTCCCCCTAATTCTGCCTGCAGCGTGCGGACTCGCAGACAATGGGGATAGCAGGTGACGATAGTCTGGGGGGTTAGCGTGCAAGGCCGGGGGACGGTATTAGACGTAATGTGGTGGTGGCTCGGAAAGCTGTCGAGTTTGAATTAATGAAAAGTGATCGCGTTTCGCCATGTCATTGTAGCCGTTGCCTGTTCGAGGATGGTGGTGCCCCGTTGCCAAGCGGCCGGTGAAATCAGACAGCGTGCGAAATTAACTTGAACGGCCAAGCTTTCTCATCACGAGATGGATCTCCCGGAGGAGGCCATTGATCAACAGAAAGGTGCCAGTGACTGGCTTGATCGGAAGATTAAGGGCGGGTCGATGTCCAGGAGGGAGAGACTGTAGCCATCCATAGTGTTGGAGTGTGCGGGCTGCAAGAGGGCGGGCGCGTGTCTCTGAGGTGGAAAGACACCGATCGCCAGGCTAAGGGATATGGGACTTGCGGTTATTAGGCTGGACGTGGGCTAAAAACAGAGAGAGAGAGAGAGAGAGAGGTGGATGGGATGTGCAGTATCTGGGCCGTCTGGATTGGTCCCTGGATCCCGGACCACGGATCTACAGCACAGCACAGGCACAGCATGCAGGTACGGGCCCTCTAGACGTTGGACTACGCCGGTTCGAGTTTACGGCGATGGGGATGGTGGGAAAGAGCGATCGCCAGTGCCGACTGCTTGTTCAGGCAACCAATCTTCACTGTTGCTATCTTAGCCTGCGAGCAGCAGAACGGCCCATTTGCGATACGAGCAGCAGAAGATGGAAGGTGCGATCCCATCTGCCTCCTCATCGCGTCGCGTCGCGTCGCATCCCATCGCATCGCATCGCATCGCACCACATGAGCAGGAGCGGGAAGTGAGGGCGGGCAGCACGGCGGAGGCGGCGGCGGCGGCGGCGGCAGGGTGAGGTCATGTCCGGTAAGGGGTCGCCCGGTCCTCACTCAGCATCTGCACCGCGCCCACCAGGCCACACAGCGTTGCAGGTACATCTCCACCGTCGCCCTGTCAGAGCTGGGCGGGCGACAGCTGGTCAGACGGGCTGGACAAGTGCCGGGTATGCGGCCAGCCTCGGGAACCTTCCATACCAGCACTCGTCACGGCGAGGACGGTCACCATTTTCCTGGGGTTTGGCGTGGGCTTCATCCGGCGCCCGACCAATCCCTCGTCACCTGCAGCGACTTGGCTTCTGACCCTGCCGCTGCCCCTGCCGCTGCCACTGCTTCTCAGTGTCGCCTCGAGCCCACCAGCCGGGCCCGCCAAGTCAAGGGCTGGCAAGGCTGTCCTAGGCCGCGCCGATCTCAAAATTCTCCTGCCATCTACACAGCACTGCTATCTCCATCTCCAAGCAAGTGTCGCCCGTCTGGCTCATGTGCTGCCCTGCGCTCAATGGTGCTTGGGACTAGGGACTGGGTAGGCAGATATCCAATTTCCCTTTTGTGGTCCGCCCAACCAAGCAGCATCTTGACTGGCCGGGGCCCCTTGGAACCCCCCTGTCGCCGCTCGTCTGTTCTCGGTTTAGCGTCGTCTGCAGCCCTGGCCTCTCCCGGTCGTGGCCTCTCCCGGTCGTGGCATCTCCAGGTTTCCCCCCTATTCCGTCGCCCTCACCACTGCCAGGACTGCCACCTCGGATCTCGTCGCAGATGCTGATTGCCGCTTTGGTCGACCGGCTGCCCCCAATGGCACCCGCTCCTGCGACTCTGTTGCTGCATCTGGCGTCCTGATGCTGGCCGTACCTGTCGTCTGTCACCTCGCCAGTCTGTGCGGAATCAGAAGGGCAGCCACCACATCACACCTCCCCGTGTCCAACCCCCGTGCTAGCTTGCCTCGTGACTGTCGAACCGACTTGTTGACGACGGCTCGCCTGCGGGCTGTCCATGGGCAGCCCACCCAGGACGACCTCTTGGCGGGATCCTGCGCTTCTCAGACGAGCCACTTGAGCCCACTGAGCGCTGATGAGCTGGTGGATATCATCTCTCCATAGAGATTAGCACTCTCGCCCAACCAGACCACGCGATGGGCGGCCCCGTTGGACTGGGACTGGACTGTGGGGATCCACCCACGCATCTCCCCGCCAGTGCAGAGCCGACCCTCTCCTCGCCGTCTGTGGGTGACATGTGTGATCAGGGGTACCGACGCTCTGCCCGGCTCCGCTCACACTACCCCAGCGTCGCCAGAGGTAATAAAATAATACACTCCCGTCCCGGGGCCCTCTCATCCCACCCGTTCCTCCTTCTCTTACCTCCCTCACGGACCCCTTTGATGCGGTGATATTGTCAAGTTGAAAGCATCGCCAGCTTTCGCCTCTCCGTACCACAATCCCGACCTACCGCTTCACTCTTTCAGCGGGCACTCGTTATTCTGCGACCAAGTACACATGCGCATACTGCCAAAAACTAACCAAAAAAACAAACCACTTAACCCCCCGAATATAATACTTGTTGCTTTCTTTGTGCTTTCACCCCGAGAAACATGAAGACCTCTCCCCTTGTGGCCGCGGCCCTCCTCGGAGGCGCCAATGCCCATGCCCACCGCCGCGCGCACGACCTCTTCAACAAGAGGGCCAACGACACCGAGGTCTGCGTTCCCGGCTGCACTACTTATTACACGACCGTCACCGGCACCGACTTCATCTGTATGTCGCCAACCCCCCAGCCCAGTATCAGCTCTTATTCCCGGAGACTGACTCTGTAAATACAGGGCAGCCAACTCCCAATGCCCCGGCCAAGACCACCAGCAGCGCCGTCATCACGCCTCCCTCTGAGGCCGTGACCCCGACCACGTCTGCTGCCACTGCCCCGGTGGCTTCCACCCCTGCCGTGGTTCCCACGCCTATTGCCCAGACGGTCCCTACGCCCGGTGAGTAATGCGCCCCTGGGGGCGACGAGGACTTATGATGGGCACCGGCTGACCTCGCTGCAGGAACGTACACATTCCCGGCCACGACCATGACCGTGACTGAGACCACCTCCACCGTGGTCCCATCCACGACTGAGGTCCCTCCTGGAACCCACACGCTCGGAGGTGTCACTACGTAAGTTGTCTTGAGTGGCCATTCTTTCCCAGGCTGGATGATCAGGGCCGGAGGCTGCGTGCCGGACTGGGAGAAAACGAGAAATTCTCGGCCAGGCATTCGCAATCGATCATGGCTAACATATCTGTGCAGCATCGTGGAGACTGCCACAACGGTTGTCTGCCCCTACGCTTCTGTCTCGACCCAGAGCGGAGGAGTCGTCACCAGCCTGCTCCAGACCACTACCTACGTAAGAACTACCCATTCTCTTCCAACGGATACTCATGTCTCGGCCGAAAAGCTATAGGCATGAAGTGATGGCTAGGTTTCCGAACGTCCGCGGCTGACATTGGAACCAGGTCTGCCCATCCGCTGGCACCTACACGATCGCTCCTACGACCGTCACTGTCACTGCTCCCACTGAGACCGTGACCGTCCCTGTCGTGACGACCTACTTGCCTGGCACTTACACCGCCCCGGCTGTCACGACCGAGGTCACCACTGAGACCGTTGTCTACTGCCCCTTCGAGGGCGTCGAGCCCACAGCTGCCACGACCTCCAGCGCTCTCGTTGTCCCCAGCGCTTCAAGCGTTGTTATCCCCCCCGTTTCCAGCGCTGTCATTCCTCCCGTCTCTAGCATCGTGCCGCCGGCCTCCTCCCAGGCTCCCGCCCCGACCACCTCTTCGTCTACTCTCGTCCCCGTGGTTCCCTCGGCTTCTTCCTCCTCTTCCTCGACCGCCGCTTCCTCCACGCCCACTGGAAACCTCGGTGGCGGTGGTGGCCTGTGGGCTATGACCTACACGCCTTACGATGCCGACAGTGGCGAGTGCAAGACTGCTGATGTCGTCGACGCCGATGTCTCCTCCATCGCCGCCTCCGGCTTCACGACACTCCGCGTGTACTCCACCGACTGTGACACCCTGCCGCTCGTTGGTGAGGCCTGTTCCAAGTACGGCGTGAAGATGATCGTCGGTATCTTCATCAGCGAGTACGGTTGCTCCAACGGCTCCCCCGATGTCGACACTCAGATCTCCGCCCTCAAGGAGTGGGGCCAGTGGGATCTCGTTGAGCTCATGGCTGTCGGAAACGAGGCTCTGTACAACGGCTACTGCACTGCCCAGGAGCTGGTCGACCTCATCTCCCACGTCAAGGGCGAGCTGACCGACTACACTGGTCCCTACACGACCACCGATATCGTTGGTGCTTGGCAGCAGGAGGACGTTCAGTCCCTTGTGTGTGAGGCCATCGATGTTGTGGCCGCCAACGTCCACTCCTACTTCAACGCCGATGTCCTGCCCGTCGACGCCGGCAAGTTCGTCAAGAGCCAGATGGAGATTGTCGAGAAGGCCTGCGGTGGCAAGCCCGGTTACGTCCTCGAGTGCGGATACCCAACCGCCGGCAACACCAACGGTGTCAACGTGCCGTCCGTCCTCAACCAGCAGACCGCCATCGCCAGCATCAAGGAGACCATGGGCGACAAGGTTGTCTTCTTCTCCATGTTCGACGACAAGTGGAAGGACGACGGCGCCTGCAACTGCGAGAAGCACTGGGGCGTTGGCAACCTCTTCGGAGCTCTTGGCCTGGGCAACGGGAACTAATTGCTAGTATAGTAGGGCTTTGGATAAAAATTGTGTGTCTTTGACTTTCTTGTACATCGAATTCATATGCCAATTGTCTAATTCGATCTGTCAATTACTCATGCCATTCAATAAGGTCATTTGATATGTGGACAAGCACATGCATGATGTAGTTCTGCAAGGTATAAAGAGGGCAGGGCGTTCCTTTCTTAGTGTGACAGTTCGATGTTGAAATGGGGCCATTGATCCTCTCGGCAAGACAGCTGAGGACAAACTAAGGCGTGACATTGGTATTCGACAACTGAAGACGAGTGGTTCGGATGTTGCTTAAACATGGTGTGAAAATGAAATAGTTGCAGAGGACTGAAAATGCCTATCCCACTTCATTCACCACGGCATGTATCTCGACCACAGAAAAGTCCGCAGTAATTACATCTCATATTTATATGTCTGTTCTCTCCCCTCGCCCACCGACCAAGCCTGCTACGCTATGTTTCTTCTCTGATATGGAGATCTAAACGCCCTGGCGGGGATGGATGGTCGGACGTTGATGCCCTGCAACACTGTGCGGGAGAAGCGCGGCCACTTGAGCCTATTTGGGACTACTCACGCCATATTTTTTTTTTTTGGTATATTTTGTCTCGAGACAAAAGAAACAGCAACGACGTCTCGTCTCCCACGGTGGCTGCTTTCACTCCGCTGCGATATTCACTCTCTTCAGGGCTCCGGGCAGCTGCCTGTTACAGTTCCCGGTCGGACCGTCTGTCTAGGTGCGCCTGTACAGAAGAAATTGGATTACAAACACTGTAGCATTTCCCCCAGATACTGTGTATCCTCGCTACGTCACAATAGGACAGGAAGTCATACAGCAGCAGACTCATAGATGCGAAATCCCTCTCATTGATGCTTGATCCTATCTTAAAATGTGTACAGTGCCCGCGCCCTCTGATGACAACCGCGGCCTTCCAAGGCTTGAATTGCCGGCGTTTTGCAGCAAAATATGCTATAAAACTTTGTAGCGTTACAGCAGCGCCGAATTCCCTGCTGGCATATCGTATAGCGTAGAGAGAACAGAGAAAGGAATGTCTTCCGGACATGCATTGAAAACTGTTTGTTGAACCGTCTAGGTCGTGGGAGAAAACATTGATAGGGTGCGCCTTCTCTTCCATAAACAAAGAAAGCGAGGAGAAAAGTGAGGAAATCTGCAAAAATGTTTCCACGTTGGATCGTGCCTGAGATCAACGCTCCCAATGCCCGAAACTCCCGCCGAATCGTTCATGCAATGCTGAGGGTCGTGTAATAATGCTGATGCGGCCGCTACCGCGGCCATTGCCGCGTCGGAGAGGGATTCGAAAGAGTTCGAAGGGTATCATGTGTGTTGGCAATTATATAGAGAAATAGTCTTGGCGCTTGTGCTTGACTTGGTATGTTCATGTGGATCGGGCCTTAGAAAGGAGTCAAGGGCTCTAGAGCCAGGGCACGGCGCCTCCTTCGACTGTCAGAGTGCCGTTTTATTTGCCTGGGTGTGGTTTTGAATTTGTGCCAATCGTAAGTGGTGTTCTTCCACCACCGGTCATATGGCCTGTGCCTCAGATCATCAACGTCGTAATTTCTCTCAGCGCCCACTCCACATCGTTGGAGCTGGAAGAGCCCGCCCCTGACACGATCGCAGCAGAGAACGTGGAGGTCCTGGCCCTCGTTAACGAAGGAGACACCGCCGATCTCGCCAAAAAAGTCAAACGTCTGCTTCGCCTGGAAGGTCTGCGCATCGATGATGTTGACAAAGTCTGCTTCTTCTGCCGCCACCAGCACGCGCTTCCCAGAGCCGACGGGTGAGAACTTCAGTGCTCGAACACCAGCCATTTCAGATCGAAGTGTACAGACCGGGGTGGCGACTCCCCGGCTATTGGTCCAACGGCGGGCGTCCCAGATTTTGATGGATTTGTCCTGGAAGCCAGTTGCAACGGTCCAGCCATCATCTGCCCAGTCGCAAGCGAAACCGAAATCCTCGTGGCCCTCGAGACACTGTAGTATTTCAGGTTGACCATCGGCCTCTGCTTTTGTGATGAACACCTGCTGCTGATCACCGACCATGACCCGCAACCGACAATCCGGGGAAATGGCAGAGCAGTTGATGGGTTGTGGGAAGGTCATGTCCGAGATAAATTTGTCGGTCTCGACATCAAGAACGCGGAAGCCTTTGTCATTCGATGCGAAGGCAGCCTTTGGACTTGACGAATTCCTGGACAAGTGAAGCTGCACATGATTCGTGATGCCGCTATTGTCGTTTGTGATAGTTCCCTCCTGGACCTGTCCGCTGCCATCCTCTTCATCCGAGTCCAGTCGACGGAAGCAGTATTCGCCAAAGAATCCGCCCGCTACCAGCGTACCGTATTCTGCGGCGAGGGTCGACACCTGTAAATGTGGCGTTTCTTGAGCCTTCATGGCAATTTTGCCCTTGCCGGAGATAGGATTAAACTGGTGAACCGCCATTTGACCAGGGTAGAAAACCTGGCTTCTTGAGGTCGATGCTAGCACATTGCGAAGCTGGAAGTGAGTCAAGTTCACGTTTTTCCGGACATTCAGGCGTTGAAACCTGAAATAGTTTTCGGTGCATGGCAGAGCGTCGTGGTGCTCCTGCGACAGAGTCAGCCATTTCCTTGGGTTTGTTGCAAAAGCAAAACGCAGCAGATAGTTTGAGTTGTGGTGCTTCTTACCTGCCATCGGTCAGAACGTGGTATGTTGACATAGTTCTTATACGTGAGTAATCGCCGTTCCCGAGCCTCGCTTCTTGTAACACCCAAGTCATCCCAGTTCATTCCCTGGACGTCGCAGCTGTCTCCTTCAAGATCTTGGTATTCTATTCGTGAGAGATCTTTGGATATTTGGGGACTTATCCTGTCCAGCCAAGGATATCGCCCACGTTCCCGCGAGACGCCCTGCCATACCCCATTCTGCCAGGCCCAGACACGGATGAAATCGGCAAGATTGTAGTTTTCAGGGCCGAGTGCGACCGTATTCGGGTTGTTCATGAAGTTTGTGTGCGTTGTCTGGGTGTGGTGCAGAGGAACATGGTGCGCGATATCGTTGTTCGCTTCGTGGCCATCTTCAGGCGGACCCTGGGGAGGTTGTGGTGGTTGTTGCATGGCGGCAGCAGGATGGGTATTCAGCATGGAAGCCGGATACTGCAGCGCGTACTGGGCTTGGAAGGTACCGTAGTGAGGCACTGCGTTCATCAGAGGGGGAGGGGAGGGGAGGCCTGCCAGCGCAGGGTGAGAGACACTGATGTCGTCGTCATGTTCGGAGTCGTAATCGACGTCCATGCCTTGGGTCAGGATGTTGGCGATGTCTCCGTAATGAACGGGCGCACCGCCGTCGTCCATGTCATGGTCATCGGACATGTCGTCGGCCTGGGACTGGGTGTCGGCTGAGTGGAGGAAGGACAAATGCTGTTCCGAGTCGTTGTCATAGTCGGACGGGTCGCGGTCGTAGGAAGCGTGCAAGTAGTGCCCAAACTCGGGCGCGGACGCGGACGCGGACGCAGACGTAGTCGCCTTGGGGCCGTGATGGAAAGCGGCGGTCGACTGCGAGGGGGGGAATGGTCGAGGTCGAGGACGAGGACGATGCCTCGCGGCTGGTCCCGTAATACGAGTTGTGAGGCCGGTCTGACTCGTCAGACCACATGTCGGTCGACTAGCCAGGAGACTGCCGGGCTTGTCGCATTCGCAGCCGACGACGAAGTGCTTGACGGGCGGAAGCCCCTCCTCGACGTCTCCGGCTGGGGCACTGTGCACTTCCCGGGAGCAGTTTTGTCGGCAGAACCCTTGCGATGGGATTGTTTTCGGTTCCCTTTGATCTGCGGAGCGAGGCAGGTAATTACCGCAGTTTTGAACAGGGCAGGGAGGAACAATCAGAGCAGGACAAGAGGCCGGTGGTTGGAGGCAGACAGGGTCGGGATCGCGAGCGAATGGTCGGCTCTATTAGGGACCCTGTGCGGTGGGAGTGGGATATGACGGCGGAAACAGGACGAGGGTAGGATAGGCTAGACCAGACGAGACTAGATCAGATAATTGAGTCAAGCTCTGGCGATCGTTGGCGGGATTCTGATCTTGCGTCGAGTGATTCGTCGATGAATGCGACGATGGTGTGATGGTAAGAAAGTTAGTCTTCCGTCAGACTTCAGGCCTGGGTGTTCAGACGATACACAGCGACAGACAAAGATGGATGCAGTCACCGCGGTGGCCGGTCAAGGTCCAGGCTGGTAGTGGCAGCGGCCGTGGCCCGTGGTCGTGACTGACGGTGGCAGCAAGTGCCAGCGACAGCGCCAGCAGCAACTTTCTCGGTACGGCGTCTCGTTGGTTGGAGGGTGGGTCAAGCAGGGGGGGAGGGGGGCCGGTCAGGTCAGCTGCGCTGAAAGGGAGCGAACTTCCAAGGATCCAAGGGTGAGCGAAGGAGGCAGTCGGCGCGGGGAAAAGGTGAATTGGACTTGGAGTGCAGGCTTGTGACTGTAGCGTAATGCCTGAGTGCGGGGATTATGTCAGCTCTAAAAAATATTCAAGTGCTATCAGCCGCCCAGTGTGCTGGACGAACAAAAAGGCCAGGACGAGAGGGACTGACAGATGTGCTGTTGTGTGTGTGTGTGTGTGTGTGTGTGCGCGCGTGTGTGTGTGCATGGGCTGGCTGGTTTGATATTTGGACTGATACGGGCAGTGCGGCCCCAGTCTCGCGATTCCATTTCGGATTCCCGTGCTTCCTCACCTATCGCTAAAGGGAATGATATCCTCATGGGATGTGACGCGGCGGGGCCACCCGCCTAACAACATGGGCTTTCGGAGGCTGGCCCTCAGCCATCAGAAATGTCAATCTATCAAATCAATCTATCAGTCTGACAGGCCTTGGGGCGAGCAAAACCCCACAGCTGCCACGGCTGGGTTGTGATGCATCATCGATCAGCACTTGCTGCTCTCAGCACAATAGTCCATCACCACGAAAACTCATCATGTGTCGAACCTCACCCTACCCTCAACCCTCACCCTCACCTCACTCACACCCTCACACCCTCGGACAGCAAGCCACCCCTTCGTCCAGCAACCAACACGCCGCCTCGACCACGGGTGACAACAGCAAGGGTAATTAATAGCCAACGTCCTCATCATCACATAGCTGAATCATGTCTGACGCGCTCCCATGTGGCGAGCCATCCCCCAGGGCCCGGGCTTGCGATGGAGGCATCCGGGGATTTTCCAGTCCTCGTGTGCCTCCGCCGCTCCCATTGGCCCTCTCGCAGACTGGGCAGACAATCCCCCGACCCCCCTTCAACCTCTTCAGCTTGCACCTGCAGCCGTGATGGTGTCCACTCCCTGCTACGGGAACACCTCGCACTCTCACTCTTACACACTCTTTCATTCTCTCACACGCACATCCTTACAGCCGCAGCAGCAGTCATCCGTACCGTCTGCCCATTTTTCCCTCCCCACCATCGCCAGTATTTGCCTTCTCGGGCCCTTCCAATTTGCCTCTTGCCGCCCCAAGGCCGCCCCAAAGCCACTTTTCAACGCACAAGCTGCTGGTGGTCCCTCACATGCGCCTGTCATCGAGAACACACTTTTTGCCCGGCATTGTGTATGTACGGAATCGATGTGTATTCTGCAGACTCGCCTGCCCTTGCTTGCCAATGTCCACCATGCGCCTCCTTTCCCCTCTCTTTCCTACACACCTAGGTTGGATGAGATTTAATACCGCGTCCAACGCGGCCCAATAAAAAACCCCCAATTCCGAATTCCAGCATCAACTGATCCCCTCCGACGTTCTGGAAGAGCCTCCCCGACCCAGCCTGTTCTCCCACATACTGCACCCTCCCTCACCGCCCCCGAGAAATATACCTCGTGTGTGTCGGATACGCGCAGCTTTTCCGCCTCGCCAGCCATACATGTAATCAGCAGCCGATCAGTCGCCCTGCGGGAACGACTGATGGGGCATCGGGGCCGGAAGGGCAGCAATATACCACCTGCTACATCATGCACGGTGGGGCCCGACTTCGTGCGTAGACCACACCGGGCCTGCATCAACGATCGCCAGGGTAGCGTACACGAACGTGGGAGGAAGAAAAAAGCAACCTACCAGACATCACGCCTTGATTGCCTGCGTGCTACGAGCGTATTAGCCCGTCAGAAGCCCAGCCCCAGGTCCCCCCCCCCCCCAACCCCCCACACACACACACAATTTCTCTCTCTCCCTGCTTGCCTGTCTGCCTGTCTGTCTTATCCTTTTTCCCCCCTGTGTCTTTATTCACGCACGTCTGCCTCCACCTCCATTGGGCTGGCTCTCTCGCACCCAAGTTCTCTCACCCTCATCATGGATGGGGGCCTGTGCCCACCTGGGGGCCCGCATCCCATCCCCCCAGATCCGTGCAATATAGCCGGGGTCTGCCTTCCCAAAGCGGCAGTGTGCAGCAGAAGTAATTGCTTGTTCGAGAACTGGAGGGTGCCCATCCCGACCCGCGCACAGTCTTCTTGTCTCGCCCGCCTCTTTCTTTGCCTCCCCGGATGCTCGTCCAAGGGGGGAAAACGGCCGCTGTTGCGCGCCGGCCAGCCGAGACCAGCAGGTTGTGCATATCGCATCCCCATGTGTTCGAGTTTTTGTGGTTCTATTGACCACGGAGGGGGAAAGGGAAGACAAATATATTTGCTGACATGCAGACAAGCCAATAATCAGATAGGGCCTGTTGTTGTAGGGAGAGAGCCCACACTCACGCACGATCGTCGTGGAATGTGTATCTGGACCACCAGCACAGCAAGGAAAAAAGGTCAATAACTGTGTTAGTTCCTGCCCAAGGTCATGTACCTACAAAGGTACAGAGCTCCAAATGGGGGAAATTCTACAGCTCGCTCGGTGAGACGGCACTTCAGGCGTTCTGATCGACGAATGCGAGAAAGCCACTGTGCTCATTGGGTGTGAGACGGGACAGACGTAATCGAGTCGTTTACCAAGGCTTCTTCCGTAGACACGCAGTTACTAGAGAAATAATAGTAAGTCATACCGTTCATGAAATTAAAGCTGGGCCCAAGTTGTGAAGACAACCCAAGCCTGCGTGTGTTCGTTATCTTATATATACATGGAGGCAGCTGTCCGTTTGTCCAATGACGAGCATAGACAGAACCGACGACTCCGCCATGCTCTTCCAGCCCCTTATTATTAAGTACTTGATTCAATACAACTAGCGCTTTTCTCGAAAACAACCACAGCCACTCTACTTCTCCCTTCGAATTCAAAGTGTTCATGCATCCGAATAATACTCGTCGTGGTAACCAGGCGACGGAGTTGCAGCCCAGTAACCACTACCGGTGTTGCCCGGGATGTTATCCTTCGAACTCCAGTACTGGCTCCGCGTTCTGCGCTCGCGCTCGAATTCGGCCCACCGCTTCATGGTGATCTTGCTGCTGTCGAACTCGCCCTCTTGCTCACCATGGCCGCCCTTCTTGGACTCACCCGCGGTCTTGCGAGTGTCACCCCACGAGAAGTCATCAAACTTCCAGAAGGCGTAAGTTGGCAGGACAAAGTTCCAGATAGGTAGGGAAACCAGGTAGATGATCATCCAGACGATGTATGTCCATGAATGTGCCGTCACGACCACGAGGACGCCTGGCAAGCCCAGAATCAGAGCGAGCAGGACCAAGGGAATAACTTGGGCTGGCCCGATGATGGATGAGACAACTGCGACGTGTTAGTCGAATGCAAGGATCCAAGGGCAGGAGGGTTCCTAGAGAACAACTCACCGACGTAGAGGGTGAATGCAATAGCAGCGGGCAGAACCAGTGTGCCCATCAACTCGATGAACACCACAAACTGCATACTAAAGCAGAAGGTGCCACACAGATCTCTGACGAGTACGAGCTCCATGAGGTTGTGGATGGTCGAGTTGATCCAGCGACGCCTTTGAGACAGGAGAACCATGAACTTATCAGGCACCGTGGTCTTGCAGACTGCTTGAGGGACAAAGACCTGTTTTCGCTTGGGAAATGTCCGGAGCATAAGGGTCGTGAGGTAACGATCCTCACCCAGAAGGAGCAAGTTCTTCTTGTGCAGGGTGTCCACCACGTTTTCTGAGTAATGCTCAACCACGTCGGGGTTGGCCAGGACGGGGACCCAGTAGTTCGCACCTCCTTTCGGAGCCTTGATTCGGTACATGCAGAAACAACCGGGTAGACAGGTAACACCACCAAAGACCGATTCGAACGACTTGGCCTGGTGATGTGAGATGAAATATTCGAAGACCTGGATCGCCGTGACCCAGCTGTCCCGTTTGTTGGCGATCTTTGTCTCGCCGCACAAGCCCATGATCTCAGGATCCTTGACCATGGCGGAGACCATGTGGGTGAGACTATCAGGGAACACCTTCGTATCGGCGTCTACCATCAACACTATTTCGTAGAAGTCGGGAGATATTCCAGTGATTTTCCACAGGCCATTAAACATTTCATACTCGAGTTCAGTCATCCGCTCGTCAAACATGACCTTTTGCAGGAAGGACATGAGAATGATCTGACTGTCGCGCTTGCCTCGGTTTCCAGGCTTCGATTTGGTGGCCTCGTCGGGCGTACCACACTTGGACACCAGCATCATCGGGACGCGTTGTTGCTTCTCCAAAGGAATGCGAGACTTGGGACCGTAGTCGTAGAAGCCAGAGTAGATCTTGGCCATGTTGTGTCGCTTGGAGCCCGTAGCAACGGCGACGTACGAAAATGGCTGTACTTCCTCAGGTAAAATGGTAAAATCCTTCATCATGCTCAGACAGTAGTCGGGTGTCGACATGCTCTCGCCCTTGCCCTTGATGATACCGTCGCAGATAACGAGAATGCACTTGTGGCTGTTGGGGTAGTCAGTCATGGCGATAGAGTCGAGTGTCGTCCGGATCCCTTCCTCGCCCTCGGAGTACCCAGTAACGAGACAGAGTGTGTGCGCCAGAGGGTACCCAAAGGGCATCCAGTCGGATGGTGGCTGCGGCACAACTGCCTCGTGTATGAAGCCGGCAGGGCCAGGCCCATCTGTGGGCTGGGCTGAGGGCCGTACGGATCGGAAGCCAAGAAGCTGTTACGGCTGGGATTTCCCTGCCCGTACATGGAGGTCGGATGAAGCAAGGCAGCTCCAGAGCTTTGACTAGCCATCGTCGTGGGCATAGTAGGCCTCCGGGAGTTCCGGTCGACACCGTACACGGTTGAGAACCGCGACGTTGTGGGCAGGAACGTGCTGGCACGTTTGCTGGTGCGGTCAGATGAGGCTCCTGCTACACTGCTTCCGACATCACCTGGCAGGCGTGCTGGTGCGCGGTAGATGTCCTCTGACCACTCTTCGATTTGCTGGTTGCGCTTCCTCCTGTCCGATGACTGAGACGTCTTGGCCGCTGCGTATCGCCGGCTTATGAACCACTGAAAGATCAAGGCCAGGACAAAACGGACGACGACAACTGACAGAATCAGAACAAGAGAAAGATACAGGACAACTTGCGAGGCAATGCAGCCCACCGAGTCGGAGTCCACTGATCCAACCTTGATGATTTGCTGAAGGCATTCAGCCGCCGCCTTGTCTCCTGACTTCATGAAAGCGTGAGTGACATCGCGACCCCTGACAGCCTTGTTTGCCGAGGAGTTGCTGTCGGCGAGTTCTTTGAAGCGATCAGGGACCGAGACCTGCGATGAGTTGAACCAGTTGAGCAGATCCAGATCGAGGACGTCCCCGGAGTATACAACAAGATTCCGCGAGCTATTCTTGACATCGCTCCAATCAAAATAGACGTCAGCTGTCGGGTTCAGCGCATAGAACGTGTTTCGTGAGTCTGCGGTGGTGTGACAAGCGTAGCCAAGGTAGTACGGATTTGTGAAATTGGGCTGCGTAGACCCGTCCTGGTTGAAGGTATTGCACGGGAAGTACCAAGCCAGCTCGCCCTTGCTGTTTGTGGGCACGTCTGAGCCGTCAGCCAAGGTGATCAAGTCCTTGCATTTCCCGTTGACGTTTTGGAACAAGAAGCTCCCGTCTTTACCACCCTGCTTCTCCGGAAGGTCAAACAGAACATTCGCCCCTGAGTTACCCGACCTAGGGATGCCCTCAGCCGGCGGATGATGAGACGCAGAGAGATCGTAAGCTTGCCCGTGGAAAATCATGTAACCACCGCCAACGTGATTTACTTGGAGGCGCTGCGATGGTGTGCCACAGACTGTGCGGGTGAACCCAAAGGTCAAGAAGCCGACGACCGCCATGATCAATGCGATGATGCTCAAAAGTCCCATCTTCTCTCGCCAGGCTCGAGCTTGGTCTTTCGATCTCTTCCCGAAGCATTTCAGGACGAAATTCGGACACCAGAACGTGATAATGGCGCAGTAGATGTCCCAGAGACTCGGTGGGCGTATCTGCTCCACATCCTTTCTGTGTTTTGAGCCCTTCTTCGTGATTTTGCCCGAATGTTTCCGGCTGTTTGCCCTTTTCCTAGAGTGTTTCGACTTCTCGGCCTCGCCGCTGTCTCTACTGCTCCCTTTCTTGCCCTTCGATGCGATCGATTCGGAGAGGGCGTCTTCCCGGTTCGACGTGGTCACATAGGTGGTCCCTTCGATATCCTCGTAGACTGGTTCGTTGCCGGTCCGCGACGGCTTCGTCTGCATTTTCGCTGAATGTTGACGGTAGTGGTAGTTTGGATGGTCTTTCCCGATTCTGTTCCGTTCCGGCTTGACCAAGCTTCGTTTCCGCGAAAGAGCTGCATCGCCACGCACGCCGGCGCTCTCTAGGTCCGGCGACAGAGGCACTTCATCTGTAGTGGTGTTAGAAGGAGGCGGCACAGTTGTCGCAACGGAGTGAGATGAGTTCCCACGGGAATGCATCGTGCCCTCATTCCCATAACGACCGCCAGCCTCGATGTCATGTGGACGGCTGCGCCGAGTGGACTGCCTGTAAGCGGTGCGCTGCTCGTACGAGGTTCTCGCACCGGGCCTTTCGGGGAGAGACATGGCACTGGTAAACGACACTGTTAGTTGAGCCGAACTTCAGCAGACATCGCATTGGGGGGCCGTTGGGAACTTGGGGGGAGGGACGGCTTCACACTCAGAGAAAGGGGGCGAAAGGGTTCTTTGTGTCGCTTGAGGCGGAGGCGACGACTCGGGTCGTGGAGCGCAAACACAAACGACCCGTGAATGGTGGGGTACACAACCAAAAGGGGAGCGAAGTACAGAGATCGGTCAATTCAGACCAGACAAGAAGCCAAGTCTCAAAATTCCGAAGTCGTTGTGTGTTGTTGCGAATGCTGACAAGAAGGATCGGACACTCACAGTTGTTATGGGATACGGCACCCAAGGACTGTGTGGGTATAGCGCAGGCCGCTATTGCGCTATTGGCGAGGGGTTCCTTGGGCGACGGGCTGGCGAGTTTGAGCCCCGAGTCCAGACGACGGCCAGCCTGTTCAAGTCCCAAGGATGATGCAGGATCGAGGACAAGCTTGACGAGACAACAGCCACTGAGATGCAGACAAAGCAGTTCCACACAGCTGAAGCGATGCCTGATCACAGAGGTCTTCCTTGTCGTGCTTTCAGACAGCACAGCGCTCTTTTTGTTGTCAGCCTGCGATGGCACGGCTGACGGTTGGGTTGTGGCTGGATGTCCACTCGCGGACAATGCACGGGCTGAGGGGCACAGCAGTACCGATGTCACAGGATGATGTTGTCGTTGAGATGAACCGTTGCTTCAATCCGCAGTGTTTGATAATAAGGCAGCGCGTCAGAGAACTGGTTGAGGAAGCCGCGCCTCTGGTCTGGCGTTGGGTCGAAGACGGGAAAACGGCCACCACGTCCTGCAAACCGTCGATGGAGTGCCTGGATGATAATCAACAACGGCGCACAAACGCCTCCACAGGTAATGCTGGCGGTTTGAGGTCCAGATAGACTGGATGGCCTAGCGAATGCACGGTTGAGATCGGCTTGAGAACGACAGGAACCGCGCCCACCAAGTCAAGGGTTGGGCGCTACAGGGTGTCAGGACGAAATAGCGACCCACGGCGAATGCAAGGCAATGCGACGGTGACAGCGACAGCGAGAGAAAGAGAAAGAGAGAGAAGTCGACACGATGGCGATGAGAACTTCAAGCGCCCCCTACGTACGACGTGATTCTGGTGATGAGCAACAGACGGCACTGAAGAATAGAAGTTCAATCCATCGGCCGGCCCCCTTTGGAGTGAGCCACCCCTGTCGGCTCCTCCCAGCCTACTAGTCTACCATTCCGTCCCTCGACGGCTCTGATTTCGCACATGTACTCCGTACCGGCCCCAGAAAATAGAGCAGGGTAGTGTGATGGTGGTGGAATGTTCAAGTAGCCGTTGTTAAGGGCCAAGCACAGGAGACGGGCATCTACTATTGGAGATACTTCAAACCTCCCAGCAGGGGTCCTCCATGCTCCGCCGAATACGATCCGCAGGTCGTTTCCCCGTCGACCAGCGGCAAAAACCTGGAGAGAAAAGCGAGGGCTGGAAGCTTCCAAGTTGTGAGCGCCTCGCAGCATTCCTCCTGCTGCTTGTCAATAACCACAGCTTGGTGCATCACGATGATGCAATCGAGCTCTGCAAGGCCTGCAAAACTTGGCTCAAAATACCATCCGAATTCAAGAATACCTTTGAGAGTTATGGCGGTCTGCACATCCGCCCACTGGCAACCCTGAAACTCTGATATTAAGCATTCCTCATCTCCACAACAGGCCGGGGCCTGACGCGGGTCCCGGCGTATCTGGGTGGAGAGATCTCGAATGTCCCCATCACGAACGCAGGCGAATCGCGTCACGGTAGATCGTACAGGTCTGATCAAGACTCTTTGCGGGATGACGCAGAGCTGCAGACCATGTAAATGCAAATGTCTGTAGTATCTCTCAGGCGCATGCCCCATGGTTACCATAGTCACGAATAATCGGGCCCGGGAGCCATCGAAACGCCGAGAACTCGCAGGGAATCCAGACCGAAAACAGGCTGAACTGCTGACGGGGAACAAATGTCGCATCCTCTTTTTGGATTTGCTCTGCCGCGTGTTCTGACACCTCGCCCGTAGCCCCGAGTCACCCAGCCCACGGGAGCCTGCAGGCCGTCTGCCTTTTGGCTTATGCGCCATGTCAATCTGGCCTGGACGTATACTTCGTGTCCGGCAACTGTGACCGTGGGGGCACCCAGGCAAAGATTTCAATAGAGAAGGCAGAGTGGTCTTAACCAGGTATTTATTGTGTGCGACGAGGCTCGGACGTCCTGGATGACTCGGTAAGTTCCGGATCCTGTACGATCGACTACCTGGGCTTCCCGCACAGGGTGGTCAGAAGCTGCACGTATGCATCTCGTTTCGGCAACCTCACAGGTACCAGCCTGTCTGTCAGCTTGGTCCCTGACCGGGGACTCATGAGCGGCAGTCTCGGTACTGTCTGGCCTGTCAACCTCCCAACACTGTGGCGCATTGGGCGTGAAAGAAACTATCCTCAAAATTCTCACCATCCGGATTGGCCGCAGTCCGCGGCAACAAAGGCACGAGGGGGGAAGGAGAAAAAAAGAAGGATCCTCGTGTGTATCCCAATACGAGGGCGCTAGGGTGAAAAGGGGGTTTGGCCTTTTTGTGACAGGCTGACGGCAGTTCTTCCTTCAGCCTACCTCCTGTATCCGCCCAGCCCGCCCAGAGAAAATAGGCGGCACCTTGCTGCTACACTAGATATATGACGCGATTGAGTTAATCTCATACACAAACGTGGATGGGCCTTCCCCAGACATCAGTTCGAAAATTTCGGGCGGTTCGGCTACCGTGTGAACTAACCCTTCGATCAGTCTGGTGAAATGCATCTCCAATTGAGGAATGGTGGCCGTGGGAAGAGGGAGCCTTGCTAATTCCCCGGATTCCTCAGCTCCGCAGCAAATTTCCTTCGCGCTCAGAACAGCGTCCGCACCCCTGAGGTGCAACGGAGGATCTGCACGGGATAATTCTCCGATGCCTATGAGCCTCGACTTGGGTGCCCAGTGTCCCCATAGCGGCCGTCGCTGCCCACGGTTGTGAGGCTTCAGCAGTACTGCGAATTGTTCTTTGAGAAGCAACACCATCTCTGCTCGTTCTGTAGGGCTGGGCCGAGTCGCACAGTGTCTGCAACGGGCCGCGTTGACTTCATTTCTGGTGTGCTAACCAGATCGGACTCGGTTTGAGATGAGGCAGGCGAGGCGCGTTTGGAGTAAATTAAATTAGAAGGTAGGACCCAATGCTTCGGCAGGGAGCGAAGGAATATCTTCATCTCGCCCGCAGGCAACACTGCTGGCGAGATGGGTTCGAGTACCATGCAGTGCAAAGTTCTGAAGTCTGCACACTGCAAAGGGCCGATGCAGCTGCCCACCGGAATGTTACCCTCGGAGTCGAGAGATGACGCCCAGATTAGATCGAGGTGCAAACTCTGGTAACGATGCTGGCGAACTTGCAGCTAACTAAGCTACTGTACAAAGTTAATCCGTAGCTCGTCTAGGCTCGTCCCATGACAGGCCGTTGACAGTTGAATACTTGGGATCAAAGCGTCCGGGGTTCACCGTCTGTTCGCAGAGCCGAGGCAGCGGTCATGTCGTCAGAGCCTGGTGTCGTGCTCGAACCTCGAAGTTGAGGAGTTTGACGTGCCTGGTGCTAATGAATATCACTTTCTCCCATGGGACTCAGGTCCATGCTGGTGTATACTTCTAACGCGGTAAGGGCGCCAGCGGGATAACACAGTGGAGCATGCGCGGTGCACATGTAGTCCTGTAAATGCTCTCATATCCGACACTGACGCGGCGCAGTCGTATATACCCTTGAAAGCGGAGAGCACGTGGGCTTGACCCGGGACTACTGAGGTGCACGGCAGGGTTTGGATTCTGAGTGTTGTGAAAATGGTGCAAGTGCTACCCCAGCCAGCCAGCCAGCCAGCCTACGTGTAGACTCTGGTTGCTGTGTCCTCGTATGCTCCTGGTAGTGTTTGGGCGAGGACCTTGGAATGCTGGGATTCCAGTGGATCGGTACCAGGCTCTCGCCAGTGACACCAGGCCATCTGTGTACGTGCGCATTCGTGTTTGTCATGACCCGCCTATTCTGGCTGTTACACTTGTTACACTGCAGCACCGTGGTCGACAGTTTCCAAATACACATGACTCCGTGACACCGTCTGCGCGGTCGAAGCGGTAGATGCGGCCAACACGGCCGACGAGGTCGCCGTGGTGGTTTGGAAGGAAGTTGGCCGAGCCTGAAGGAGCCGCTGGAATTCTGAGCCGCACGTCTATTTGCGTCTCCATCCATATGGCATGATCGGACTGTTGTGCAGGCACGGGCTGCGGAGGCGTCAAGGGGTGCGAGACCCTTTCTGCCCGTCTTCCTGGGCGCGCAGCTGGAAACTGTGAGGATGAACAATGGACCTGGGCCCAGAAGTCGGGGTCTGGGGCTACTCAGCAGGCACAGCACCCCCTGCCTAATTTTGGTGCCCCAAGCTGCGGGCTGCTCTTGATGGGGCCACCGTGCATTGTGGGTGGGCGGCACACTGTTCTGGGCCCAGTAATGAGGAACCCGCTAGAGCAACGATCTACGGCCAAAACGGCTAGGTAGCCCCCTCGCACCTTAGGCAGGTACCTAGGTAGGGTCCATATACGTGTAGAACCTGTGTACGGCACCCAGGTACCACCCACGCTTTCTCGGGGTCGCAATCCAGAGCACCAACGGCGTCACCTTCTCGACGTGCAGTGAGATGAGTGCACCGCGCACTCTACTCCTTCTGGCCTTTTCTGATACCCAGCGCCCTTCCATCACATCCAGAGTCGTCGGCCTGCGCTGACTTCCCAAGTGGCCTGGCTCCTTTTCAGTTCCCGCCTCGGGTCGAATCGCATCTCAACCTGTGTGACGTGACGTGAGGACGGACGAGACGGAACCGACGTCTCTGCTGTTGTCTCCTTGTCTCGCTCGCTGCCTTGCCTCGCCTTCACCCGACTCCAACCAGTCCGCCCAGCAGCATTACGACTCAATCCTGCCGTGCCATCGTCCCGCCAGAGTCGAGTTTTCTTTGTCATTGCATATAGGAGCATCTTTCCGCGCCATATCCTCCAAGCAGCATCTCAGGAACCCCCTCCTCGAGGAGCGCAGCCTTTCTCCCTCACGATACCTGAATCGCCTGCTCGACGTCTGCCTGCCGCCTCCCCCTAACAACTTCCTAACCACCCCGCAACCTCAGCCCCTGTATAGACAAGACCCCTTCCACTCGGCTGGCAGCTCTACGACCGCTAGAAAGCGCAGAAAGGGTTCTTAGGCACTTCAATGCAGTCAGGACAGAGTCTCCAGCAGTTGTCGCAATAGTATTGTGCCAAACGTACCCCTTCGCTGGCCCGTCTCACCTGTTGCGACGCCAGCTGGGATAGTTACAGCTCAGGAAACCCGTCCGAAGCGGACGACCTCAGGTCAAAGAATCTCATGCCCTTTGCAATGGCTGCGGTCGACTCCTCACCAAGGGCAGGCTCTGGTCCTTCGAGCCCCATCCAGCGGAAACCAGTTGCTACCACTCAAGCATCGCCACAACGCAGCCTACGGGAAAAGGGGAAAGCATTGCCTCCTATCCCCATGTCCGAAGGCTCGCGACTGGGGCAGTCGCCTGTATCGCCAGTCAAGATGAACTTCCAACAGGACAACTGGGCGCAACCTTCCACCGCAACCATAGAAACAGGAGAGCCACCAAACTACCAGCAAGAGCCACCTGCACCACCAGCACATAAACCATCAATAGAGTTCTCGCAGCCGGAAGGGACCGTACGACGTGCAAGAGAGGCCTCGCTAGACTCGTATCCTCCGACACAAGGGCGCACGAACCTGCCCGGACCTGCGAGTCCAACACACGGTTCTGACTTTGATTTCCAACTGGACTCGAACCTCGGAGGCAGTGAGGCTTCAACAGAAGCGGCCAGCAGCACCACGCAGACGCCCACGAAGCAGGAGGATAACAGGCACAGTCGCGAGACAGACACCTCCGGGTCTACGCCCAGTTTGTCGAACCCACACACATCGACCGGCGCGTCAGTGGTAACAAGTGCAAGCTCAGTCTCCAACTCGTTGGACAACGGACAAGGCAGGAAATCAGAAGATGCTTCTACTGTCGGCTCCATCCCTGAGGATCCTGGCCAGGTTCAGCTTGTGCCACAGCTACAGTACCACCACCAACCCTTCGTGCCTAGGACAGCATCCTCCGCGAACGAACAGAACCCGCGGGCCGTGTCGACGCCGGACCTAATAGAGAACGGCACGGCCGTCAACCGCCATTTGACACCCGTTTCTAATATGAGGAGAAGTTCAATGCCACGGCCGCAGTCAACATACTCCGTCCATTCTGACCGTGGCCGGTCGTCCGCATATTATGGGAATTCAAGCCCACGCGCCCCATCGTCACATTCGGCAAGGAAGTCACCAGACAACCGCCAATCCACATACGCCGAGCTCCTCAATGTGCCCTACCCGCAGCCAGCTCCAGCGCCGCTCACAATTGACAACTCTCAGCTGCGAAATGTAGTAGGATCTAATGCCTCTCTGCTGAGCTCGCAGAAGACGCTTGACATGTACCGACAGAACGTAAAGAAGACGAATGACGTTTCGCTACAGTATTCATTTGCGGTCTACCTGATATCAACAGCGCAGGATCAGGGATTAGACGTCACGAAAGCTCAGCCGAAACCGTCGTCGAAGTCGGGGCACAGTCGCGATGGCTCATTCGTTGACGAGACTGGATCTGGCCCGCATGAACTAGTGAGAGAAGCTCGAGCCATCCTGCAAAAGCTTGCCAACGCCGGGTACCCCTTTGCCCAATACTACCTCGCGGATGGCTATGCGTCAGGACTGTTCAGCAAGGGAAAGGAAGACTACAACTCAGCCTTTCCTCTGTTTGTCTTGGCGGCCAAGCATGGCCATGCAGAGTCTGCGTATAGGACCGGATTGTGTTACGAGTTCGGGTGGGGGTGTCGAAAAGACCCGGCCAAGGCTGTCCAGTTCCTACGAACAGCCGCCTCCAAGCGACATCCAGGAGCCATGACGAGACTCGGAAAAGCTTGTTTGTCTGGCGACCTTGGTGAAAAGCGCTATCGTGAGGGTCTGAAATGGCTGAAGCTGGCGACCGAGTCCGCGGACGCAATGTACAATGCAGCACCTTATCACCTGGGTTGCCTTTACGAGACGGGGTACGGCGAGGATATCTTCAAAGACGAAGGGTACGCTGCCGAACTATTGACGCAAGCTGCCGATCTTGGTCATCCGGAAGCCAACTACCGTATGGGCGACGCCTACGAACACGGCAAGCTCCAATGTCCACGGGACCCCGCGTTGAGTGTGCACTTCTACACTGGCGCTGCGGAGCGAGGCCACGCTGCAGCCATGATGGGTCTCTGCGCTTGGTATATGGTCGGAGCGGAGCCTGTCCTGGAGAAGGACGAGGAGGAGGCATGCGAATGGGCGCGTAGGTCTGCTGAGCTGGGTAAGTTTTGAGTCGTCTCGACGCTAATCCCTCCGGTTGGCGTCGAATTCCATCGGATGACGGTGAAGGTGCTGACAATGCGTTCCTAGGTTACGTCAAGGCGCAATACGCGGTCGGCTACTTTACGGAGATGGGCATCGGCTGCAGGAGAGACATCCTTGAAGCTAACGTCTGGTATGTCAAGGCCGCAGATGCTGGGGACGATCGAGCCAGGCAAAGACTCAATGCCATCCGGGCGGCAGCAAGCGGCGGTATGCCGATGGAGGTTGGGCCCGCAAAAGCCCACAACCTTAGGAAGACGAAGAGCGGCACGAAAGAGGACAACTGCCTGGTGATGTGAACACTTAATACGGCAAGCTGGCCTGGGTCATGTGTGGGCGTGGGCATAGACGTGTCCCAGGCCAGGCGGTGGATGAGCATAGTGGAATCGAGCGATTAATGTCGATGCATCGGGGCTCGCTTTCCTTGGGGTGTGCGGTTCTGGAAAATGCCTTCACGAGGGCCGGTTGCATAACTTTGGGGATGATGGCTTGGAAGGCAGTCTGCAATGTTTACTGCATAGTTTCTATTGAAGAAGTGGCGAACATAGCATTGAGCTTTCGGGGCTGACCAGTGGAAATCGGTCAGACCGGGGCATAGGACGCGGCATTTTATGTTATTTATTTTTCTGCACGCTCCGTATGTGTGCATCTTTATTGACTTTCAAATGATACACACCTCTCGCGAACCCTCCTCTCGCTCCGCTAGAAACCTTTGATACACCATACTCGAGCTCGACCAGCAGAGAGTAAGTTGCAGACCTGAATACCTCGGGCAGATGTAGCTTCTATGCTGCACAGTTCGTCCCAACCCCGGGGAATTCACGGGCCGGCTTGGTCATCCGAGCACGTAGTGAAGGGATCCTGGAAGAAGCACAGAATGCCTGGAAGAGCAACAATCCTCACGACAACGCTCTCTGCTCCGTTCGCTCTTGCCTGAGGCATCTGGTCTTGTTCAATCATGTAGATCGAGAGCCATATCGAGGGGGAACAATACGTTGTGTGACGCGTGCAGAAGTACCTACCTGCTATGCCGCCCTTGTGGCGTTGTCAGAGGGCCTTTGAAAGATGCAAATTTGGGTGGCATGTATAGCCTCTCCTCATCCGGGCCTGTCTAGACCGGCGGTGACTTACTTGCCAACCTGTCCTAGATCACGGTCATGGTTCATATCTATTCTGGTAGAGCGTTGTTTTGGGGGCTACTGTTCCACTGCCCGGTGGCGTTCTCCGCCAAGTCCGGCCTGATATCTTCGGTTGATTCAAATGTTTCGACACTTCCGCTTTCCTAGACAAGCCTCTAGCAAGCACCGGGCTCGGAGAAAGTAGACCAGCAGATATGTTAACGACTGTTCCGCTCTCCGAAAACCGAAACCTCTGAGGTTGTGTTCTTGAAGAATACGGAGATTCGCACCTGCAAAAACGGAGGGCACACCGGTACATCACTACCTCACCCACACCTAAAACCTATACCCAACACCTACACCTAACAGACCTACACCCAATACCCATACACCCACACATCTAACACCCATACATCTAACACCTACACCCATACCTACACCTACACCTACACTTACACTCTTACTCATACCCAGACCTAACACCTAATACATACATACCTAGCTTATATACCGAATTGATATACCTAATTCAACTTAGGTATATAGGTATTAGGTACAGGTAAGCAAACTAGACACAGGTGATATGCTCTGATAGCTATGGCTATGGTATAAGTTGATGTACCGGTGTACCCTCTGTTTTTGCAGGTGCGAATCTCCGTATTCTTCAAGAAATGCATCGCAATAAAGCTGTCTTCGCTTGCCCGAATAGGCTGGCTCCCACAGTCAAGAGTCTGAATCATACTGCCTAATGCAGCCTCATCCACCTGTTACATGATGAGTCCTCCTGCAACCGCAACCACATGACTCTGCGACTGGGCCAAATCCAACGACATAGCAATATCAGCTCCCAAAAGCATACAGATGAGCATGGCTGTAGTTTCAAAGTGACTGAGACTGGGCACCCAAGTGATATAGAAGGACCAAGCTGATTGATACAAGACCTCTGGGACCAGTCTCTGCCTAGGAGTGAGTTGCAGCCAGGCGAGTTGAGTCACTCTGACACATGTGACACCTTAGGCAGGTATAGGCTGTGCCTAAAGCCATACCGACGCCTTTCAGCCATATTTGAGCACAGCCTAGAACCTGAAGGCCTAAGAGGGCATCGGGCACCACGAGGCAGCCTAATTCCCACGCGTACCCAACCCGTGGATTTTGATGTGTCTGTGACCAAAGGAAAGAGGGCATGGTGCTGGACTTTCTTAATGGGCTGATTGCGGGAGGCTGATTTCAAATCATTGTGACCAAGCACTGGGGAAGAGACCTCGACACTTCGACACAGCAGCCAAAGGTATCTAACACACTTGGTTCTGCAGATGGCCAGCAGAGCTTGGCACAGACTCAGGAATGTGAAGGGATGATGAAAGATTTAATGAAACGCCCATATTGGGGATTCCGTTGTTGTTTTTGGACAGTGACTGTTGCAAGCCCAAACCTGCATTCACTCTGTCACTGAGACAGCCGTTGCAGGTCAGGGGCCGATATGGATGAATGCATCTCCCAAGTATATCTGGGGCGGAGGGGAGAGGATGACGGATGGCTGGTTCTGGCAACAAATCAGATCACGTGCTGGCCAAAAGTGGGTCGCTACAAAGACGATTTTTCGCTGGGATCCAGGCGTCCTGGCAACTTGCAACTGGACCGGCCGGGTTCAAAACATTCCTCTGCCCAACACCATCACCGCCGCCACTACAGGTGCATCTCTTCTCTCTTCATACCCACACACCCCTCCTTTTCTTGCACCCAGATACCCGCCGCGAAGGTTCGTCCATCAGCAACCCAACCTCGGACCCCCCTCGTCAGCCCGATCCTTCCTCCTTAGCCTCTTGCATTAAAAAAGCCCTGTTGTCCAGCTCTTGCAAAGTACTGACGCCTGGCCCACCAGCCCCCACTTCTAGGCATTTACATCACTCAACCGCCTCCCAGTCACGCCTTTCCTCTTCCTGTCCACTGAACAGATCACAATCACACAATGGCTGCCCCAGCTCAGCAGGTGCCTACCTTCAAGCTTGTGCTTGTCGGTGATGGTGGTACCGGAAAGGTGAGTCCATCCTTATCGTCATTCCCGGGAGCACGAGGAGGCGGTGGGCAGCTTGCGCCTAGCGCTCGCCATCGCCGGGCAAGCCTGCACGCCACCCACCTCGATCCCCTCACCCCTCAATCGACCTGAATGGTGCTCACAAGAGCTGACAATCATCGAAATGCCATAGACCACCTTCGTCAAGCGCCACTTGACTGGTGAATTCGAGAAGAAGTACATGGCCACCCTTGGTGTTGAGGTCCACCCCCTCGGCTTCACGACCGTTAGTACCTACCTTGCGAGCCTCACAACCGAACCCGAAGCTAACCCGGACCTGTAGAACTACGGCCAGATCCAGTTCGACGTGTGGGACACCGCTGGACAGGAGAAGTTCGGTGGTCTCCGTGATGGTTACTACATCAACGGCCAGTGCGGTATCATCATGTTCGATGTTACCTCCCGTATCACCTACAAGAACGTTCCCAACTGGCACCGTAAGTCTCACCGCCTGATTCCACAAGGAGGACCACACATGCTGATGCGCTGAATAGGTGACCTCGTCCGTGTCTGCGAGAACATCCCAATCGTCCTCTGCGGCAACAAGGTCGACGTCAAGGAGCGAAAGGTCAAGGCCAAGACCATCACTTTCCACCGCAAGAAGAACCTGCAGTACTACGACATCTCCGCCAAGTCCAACTACAACTTCGAGAAGCCCTTCCTGTGGCTGGCTCGCAAGCTCGTTGGCAACCCCGGTCTCGTACGTGACACCCAAGAATCCCCATCAGGCACACAGGAAGCCTTGCTGACCAACCGATACAGGAATTTGTTGCTGCCCCCGCTCTTGCACCCCCCACTGCTCAGGTCGACGAGACGCTCCTTGCCCAGTACGCCAAGGAGATGGAGGAGGCTTCGGCCATGCCTCTGCCCGGCGAGGACGAGGACGACGACCTGTAAACGGGTTGCTTTACCCTTGCACCAACCCTTTCAGGAGACACTGTGCGGTGGATAGATTTCACGGGCTCTTTCATTCGACGTGATCAGCATCTTGCTTAGGGACAGCGACATATACAGGCAGGGCAAGCCATGGCAGGATTAGGCCACGTTGATGAGCTCACGATGGGATACAGGATGTGAAAATGCGAGGCGCGATGCATTAATGGCTGAGGAGGCACGTCGTCCGGTCTTGGTTTGATGCAGCATCGACCCACCGCGTTCCGAGAGTAGAATTCCGCGCCACGCTCTGCACTCAGGCGCAACTTAGGTAGAATATCACCAAAAAGTCTCAATAGCGATGCCCCAAGCACAACCAGTCGTCTCCCATGTCGCGCGGTGTCTGAACTGGTCCTTCCTGACCCAGTTTGCACGCACAGGTACGGCAGCTTCGACCTTGCCATCACAAGCAAACGGCGATGCACCACTCGAATGTACGTAGGCATGGCCGTGGCCAGCGTCGTATTGTAAAGATCATTGCAAGGTTTTGCAATGATGTCAGCCCTTGGAGCGCTCTGCATGCGCCCCTCATGCTTGATCCAGTCATGGGATGCCCAGGGCCCCTGGCACACACGTGGTGGGGATACACGAAGAATGTCAATACGGTAGCGGCTCAGCCAAGTCACAATTAAGCCTTGATTGTGGGCTGGAAACAAATTGCAACAGGGCCCCGAAGTGCCAGAAATGCTGATGACATGTCGTGCATGGAATGAGATTCCTTCACGCCAAGATGCTGCGGCAGTGGGATAATAATCGATGTCAGGCCCAGACGTGGTATGATACGTTCCATGCCCATCCATGGATAGTGCCGGGCAGCTGCCACCACCCTCTGGTCAAAACCACAGCTTCTTGCTGTCTCGCCAAGAACATGATACTCCAGCCTCTCGTACAGGTGCTCCACAAGTAATTGGAGAGACGGTCATTTTCTTTTCTGGTATCAAACACGTCTAAAGCCTCCCCTCGTTTCCTGGCCTGGATTCTCGCTGGATTCAATGCTGCCATTGTGTTCTCAAACGAACAACGCAGATCTCATGGCGCAATAACTGACAGTCACGACTGTTACACCTTTCCACCGGCTTTCCGCCGCACTTCCAGGGCTGGTTCTTTTCCAACACCTGGGTCCAGGTCCTGCCAGTACGTTCCAATCGTAATGGTGCATGCTAGGCGGCACTGTCTCTCAAAGAGGCAATATGTGGCATCCCAGCAGTCCCCGGCCGCCCCAGCCCTGCCTCGGCACCAGCGTCAACTGTAGTTCTCTTTGCGATGGCGCGGCGCTGGGCCTCGAGATCTTGACGAGGACGCTCTGGCCGGCGTTGCCCTGGACGCATTCGGCGACCTTCTTCAGCTGGTCGTGGTTGGCGGCGTCGACGTAGCCAAAATTCCGGATCAGGTCACCCGGCTGCAGCCCGGCCGAGGCGGCGGGGCTCCCCGGGGCCACCGTGTTGATCTTCGCGAACGGGTCGCCCAGCTGCTCTGGGACGTAGTCCCGCAGGGCGGGCTCCCGGCCGGCGTCTGCGGACGACGAGGCAGCGGCGGGGGTGGCGTCGGCGTCGGCGTCGGCGGCGCCTTCTGCGAGGCTGGCGAAGTGCTCGTGGATGTGCTTCTCGATCTTGGCCATCAGGTCCTTGTAGTCGTTGCGCAGGTGGGATGATGCGGGCGCGGGCGGTGCGGATCTGGGCGACGTCGATGTCGGCCCTCGGGAAGCCGTCCGGGGTCAGGAGGCTCGTGTGCATGTCGACGCCGTGCGAGTCGAGCACGCTGCTCAGGGCCTTGAGCTCGGCCTCGACGTTGTCCTTTGCGCGCTGGAGCTCGGCGAAGGAGAGGTGCGCCGAGTTGCCGTTTGCGGCCCTGGCCGTGGTCGGCCCCGAGGGGACGGTGGGTGCGTGGAGGTTGTTCATTCTCAGCGGGAGGCCCATCGGTGTGCCAGGCGTTTATGCGCTGCTACCATTTCTCTCTGCCTGATCTGGGCAGAGGGGACGGAGATTGGCGCGATGATGGTTGCGCTGGTGGGGCAGGCAGACAATCAGTCAACCGCCATGACGCGTTGCTGGTCAGACGTGCTGCGTGCAGCAGAAGGTCGACAAAGACAGCTAGGGAGCTAAGGTTTGTGAGGCTGAATGCCATGGAGGGGCAGCTCACCTGGTTACCAGGCAACCTAACTTTGTTTCGACCGGGGAGCCGGCGAACTACACCCCAGTAGCACTGGCCAGACCTAGCTCGCCTAGTAGGTAGGGATTCTCCGCCAAAGTAGGGCAGCAGGGGTGTAGATTTGGATCTTCAGTCACTTCAACTTACATGGCAATTTCCCATGGCAATCCGGCTCCTGCAACGTCATGTCCTCCTGATGCTCTGCACGCCGCCGCCCAACGCTGCCTCCGGGCAGTAAGGACCATGCTGGAAGCAGACGTCATCCTACTTATCGCCAATCTCACATTGACCATGTCTAATATGAAGAAGCTAAGTCAACGGGGCAGGTCGCCGCGCAGCTCCCGCGCCTCTCAATCTCCAGGTCTGACACACACACACGACGCACACGAGCAAGCGCCAACGGTTCTATGAGCTGAGCCACTCTGTCAAGGGCGGCCGGGAACGTCTCGTTTCATTGCCCGTCTCCAGCATGACATAGTTAGGCACCCTTTGCGGGAGGGCAGAACAACCAGCATCATTTCCCCGTGCGCATGGCAACCAGACGCCCTTGTCTCGCTGTCTCTGAAGAGAGAGAGAGAGAGAGAGAGAGAGAGAGAGAGAGAAGGACCCGCCTTCCACTTACAGATCAGACCAGGCCACGCTCGTCCATCGGCCGCGTCCTTGCACAACAACAAGTAGCTGTTTGCGTTACTCTTGTCTGCACGCCTTCCTTGGCCTCTCTCTCCTTCTCTTTCCCATTTTCCCATCCTCTCCTTCCATTTCTCTCTTGTGTTTGTCATATTGCAGATCTGGGGAAGTTGACCTTCTCTCGCGGCTGATATCTTGAAATTTTTCTCTCTTGTTTTGCTTGCCCACCTCCATTATTCCACACATGTCATCATGTTTTGATACCCCCCTTTTTGGACGCCTTGTTGCGAATTGTCTTGGAGCTCCTCTTTTCTTGGGTGACCTTGAGGAGCAAAAGTTTTGGTTCCAAGTTTCTTGATCTCGAAGAGAAATATTATGGCTTCCTCCTCGTCCGAGCCCCCGAAGGACAGCTCTCCTTCTGGCTCGGTCCGCATCACCCGGGGCCATGAAGACGAAGAAGTCCCCAGCCAGTGCCTCTCCGACCTGAGCCCTGCCTCGGATACCACAGAAGAGTCGACTCCGAACACCGAAGACGACTTGGGTCTACTAGATATCGAGCCGATCCTTAGTGAAGACAACGGCGACTGGGCTGATCGGGACACGGTAGATCCGGCGTTGGTTAGGTTCACGTTGGATGAGCCCCACGCCCTCAGTCTTCCCATCTCCGACGACCTGACATCACCAGGCGTCTACAAACACTGCGGCTTTGAGCAGTCACCCACACCGTTTCACAGGTGGATGAGGACTTTGCGGCGGCGTGGGCTTGGCCGGCGGGCTCCGGTCACCGATGACGACCACACACCCAGGCCATTTTCTGCGAATGGCCTGCCAGACAAGCTCAACGGCTCATGCCATCACCGCCAGTCATCTTCCGGGTCGTCGTTCGGCTTTGTCGAGACCGTCAAGACGGCCAGCGCCAGCCTTGCGAGCGGCAGCATTTTTGCTCGGTCAAGACGGAATAGCATGCGGTCCTCCCGATCTAAAACGCACACCGACCTCAGTAGCAGGGCATCGATGTCTAGTAACAGATGTTCGGAGGACAGCGCGGGGTTGGACAAGCCACAGGTTCTGGACAAGGCAACAGTGGAGCGGTCGCTACAGAGACGCCGGATCTTGGAGGAGCTCATCAGCACAGAAGAGGGTTATATTGGCGACGTGCGCTTCCTCATGAATGTCTACGTCACGATCCTTGTCTCTCTGCCCACCATGCCCTCGGGTTTGCGATCCTCGATCAATCGGAACCTGGCTGACATCGTTGAGCTTCATGAAGAGCTTCTGGGAGAGCTGCATCGAGTCGTGCCTCATTCAGAGTATACGCAGATGAGCATACGCCCACAGTCAAAAACTCGCGTCCATGGTCACAATCGAATTCGGAGCTTGGACGTCGTACCCGAAGACAACGCAAGCATGTCGTGGCTAGAGACTGTCCCAGGGATGGTCGCCGAGCCCAGCGTTGTTGCAGATGTTGCCCAGGTCTTCACCAAAAAGGTTCGAATAGCCTGCACTTCCTTTGTGGTACAGCTTCCTCTGACAAAATGACAGATGAACCGACTCTTCGTATATGAAGAATACGGCGCGAAATACGAGATGATGATGAAGGACATTGCGTCTGCCCACCGTGCTATGCCGCAGTGGGAGTTGTATCAGAAGGGGCTGGAGACACTGGCATCCTCACTCGGCCCAGCCAGTAAACATGGAGTCAAATCAAAGAAGTCCTTGACCATTGGGGACCTTCTAGTCAAGGTGAGTTTGTCTGCAAGAGTACCGACTCGTCCAGCCCCGTCTCTAACGTGTCTAAGCCAATGCAACGAGTTTGCAAATATCCTCTCCTGTTCTCAGAGCTGTTGAAATACACGCCCGTCGCAGATTCTCCGTACGCTCATATGGAGATCGAGAATGCTCTCATCCGGCTCAGAGAGGCAACATCCCAGGTCAATCGAGCCACTGACGACGCACGTGTAAAAGCTGTCCTTGAGAAGACATGGCTTTTGCAGGATCGTCTTGTCTTCCCAGATTCTGTACGGCCCCCTTGGAGGTTACTTCTCTTCAACGTATCCCTAACAGTGCGTAGGAACTCGACGCTGCATCCAAAAACCGCATTCGCTCTTTTGGCCACATAGAGCTTTGCGGTGCGTTGCATGCCTGTTGGCAGACAAGGGACGGAATTCATGGGCAGTACATGGTCGCTATGCTGTACAAGAACTGGCTCTGTCTCGCCTCGGCAAGCCGAGTCGATCAAATCTACACACTGCAGGTTTGTATACCTACAAGCAACATCAAGATCGAACCAGTGGACAATGGTCGAGGTAAGCCAGCTCGCGATGTCTCTCATTAGCCCGATGATCGCAAATTACTCATACAAAGCTCAGGCTTGCAGTGTCATACTGCCCCTTTCTCGTGGAAGATCGTCTTCGAGTGCGATTGTCAGTTGTATGAGATGATGTTGACTGCTTGTAATCCGAAAGAGGAAGACGAATGGCGGTGCCGCCTCGCAGTTCGCTCGGTGTCGGAGCCACAGGATCTAGCTGACCCTGAACTCTATGGTTCACTGTTTTTGAATATGAAAAGCCTTAGTACCGTTTTCGGGAAACAAGGTAGGATACCCACCTTCTAGCTCCTCCACTGCAAGCATTGCTGACATGGTCGCAGGTACCATTGCGCGCAGACTATCCATCCATAGAGCGACCACGGTCGGTCCGAAAACGCCACTTTGCCATGTCGTCGTAAGAAACACGAGCGTTGAGAAAGAAGCTACGTCTTCGTCCAACGCAACCATCAACCGGACACAATCTCTCCTTGCTACTAAGGGTCGCATACCGGTGCTGGCGCCGTCTCGAGGAGACAGAGCCAGGCTGGAGGCCCTGCTCTCGGACGTGTGGACTCGAGACGTCCTCCCATTTCCTGGAATGACGACTCGTGCTCGCAATGAACATATCATACGCACCTCAGCGCAATCTATGATGCGCAAGCTGAGTGTGACGAGCATCACAAGTAGTTTTACCAAGCGCTCGGCCAGTTTCGCAAGCATCACCAGAAACAGCGACGATGGGTCTGGCGGAGAGGACGCAGTCGCTCCAGCGATTAGTACGAAAGAAGAGCCGCCGGCGATTCGAATGCCGATTGGGGAGGAAGAAAGCAACAACCTGCGATTATCTGTCATCGACGACGAGTCAGATAGGGCGACACCTTCGACGGTTCGTGCCCACTATGAGCCTCCCGGCACTGCCACAAGTGTCGAGAGTAAGAAAAATCCAGGACGTCAAATGCGCATCACCAAGAGCCCGAGTGCGTGGCAGCTTAGGGAGCTTGCGCTGGCTAAGACGCCGTCGGCCCCCGCTGCCCTCCGCGCCAAATCCGTCAACAGCCCAGGGTTGAAGCGTCAGGCGTCTATCCTGTCGCGGAGATCGGTCTGTTCGGCATTTGATAACAGTGATGGCTTCGGCAAGAATATCAAGAAGAGAAGAGCGTATGAGCACACTGAGCCACCGTCGTCCTCGAGAGGGTCGACGCCGTCTCCGCGGAAGCAGCCTTCGTCTGCAAGGTGGTCCAAGGTGGACATGCTGCGCCGGGGTACTGTGTCTCAGGGAATCCGAGGCTTCTTCCGATAGTCGGGGGGAAGTCCAGTGTGCCGGCCGGCCAAGAGTTGATAATTATGGGAGTGTTGAGAATTTTGCATTTTGCTTTGAGAATGGGGGGGGGGGCGGTTTGGTTATGGCTCTCCTTTAAGCATCACACACGTGTACTGCATATACCCATTTCTTTTGTGTGGTGGAGTCTAGGAGAGTCTGGGAAAAGGAAAGGTAAATGGTAAGGGGAAGGTATTAATACCACGACTCGACTGGTCGCTCCTTTTTGTATATGCATATCTCTGTGTCAGGACAGCAGAACCGTCCCGGCCGGCTAGCCGGAAAGGCAGTTGAGATCGAACCCAGCTGGAACCTCACCCAAAGCGAGGGTTGCCGAAATCACAGTACACGTCTTGCTTCTGAAAACTAGCTCAGATGACATTGCTCTCGAGGTCCTGCTGTGCCGTTTCGCTTATTCGTTGGCCTGTATGTCGCCGTTCGGCCTGCCGATGTTGGGGGGGCCGTCCTTAACGAAGCCGTGTTGTAGTGCTAGACTGATGTGTAGCCGCCAGGGTATGCGAAGTTGGGTTCCCTAGTTGATGACTCAATGCTGCTGGTCGATGTATGTCCATATATCTTACCACTGTACCCTGGCGTTCCCCTTGCTAAAGATACCTGCCTCTCAAAGACTTATGGCAGCGACTGGGCACGAACGCAAGATTCGTCACACATAATCCAGGAGAGCTGGAATTGAGCTGGAGAGATAGAGATGCCATTTCCCCATGTTTCTACCAATTTCAAGGACGGTTCTGTTGAAGTACCTGGGTAGGAGTGGAAGAGCCAAGCCCGCTACTTGTATAAATCAGCATGACTATGCAGGTACGGAAATCATTGAAGCATACGTTAGATTTCCTATACAACATTCCTCGAGCACTCTAAGCGAGGTCCTGGTAATTTAAGTAACCTTGAAAGATAAGTCACCACAACTGATAAAGATTGTACACTTTACATCTCACATACATGTATGTATTTATTGTGTTGTATGTATGCCAGTACCTATGTAGCTACTAACTATCAACGCTGACTTAAGGCTTGTCCTTGCCAAGGTGGCTAGATCAACATTGTGTCTTTGAATCCATTGATATTGTACTCGCCAAATTACACTTACAAAACGTTGTAATATTAGAAATCTTCCAATGCTGCTGGTGGGACTCCAGAAATTGGGTTGACACTTACACAGTGCTGCGTCAATTCTTGAGGCGAGCCACAACTTCCTTGAACTGCATCACTTTGGGTTCTAGCGATTTGAGGCGCTTCCCGAGGCGTCCATTTCAGCAAAGACGGGCCTGCCATCCTTTTCTAACACCACCATCCCATGCACTGGTGACTGGTGCGATGGGACCTCCATCTCCTGCCGTGGAATCTGATCCGACGAGACCTCATGATGCGGCCCTCCCCGGGCGTCCTGGGCTGTGTGAACGGCTACTGCGTCTCCAGGGGTACCGGTATCCTTTTGCATGTTGGCCTCGTCACCTCCTTCGGGATGTCCGCCTGCAGAATGTCCCCTGGCCCTCTTCGCTCGGTAGACAAAATAAGCTGCGACAGCGAGCGCTATAGTCCCAACCGGGACAGCGACACCAGCAGCGATAGCCGTTGTACGGGAAGTGTCAGAAGAGGTGGATCCGGTGCTCCCCGCGGCTCCCGTCTGCGAGGGTATTGCTGAGCTTGCGGTTGGAGTTGCCGTCGACGTCGCGCTGTCTAGACGAACGGGCATTAGTTGGGACCTACGAGACACACAGAAAAAGGGACACAGTGAAGCAACTCACTCGGCAGGGATTCCACCGTCAGGCCAGACTCGACGCCCAAATCACAATAGGCGTCGAAAACGGCGATAGCGCTCGACACCTGCTGCGGCGCCGAGCTATTGCGACACTGGGAGGAGACGCCCTTGGAGATGACCGAGCTCATGTAGCTCGAGCTGAGAGTGCAGAAACAGGTGTACGAGGTGATGGCGTCGGCATTTTCGCCGCATCCCTGGGACATGCCGCGCACGACGGTGCTGAGAGGGTGTTCGGCGCATGGCACGAGCTGGCTGTAACCGGGGACTGTGTTGATGTAAACTTTTGTTTCGCCGTCCGCGAGGCAACGAGTCGTGAAGAGGATGACGAGCGCGATGAGCGTGGCCAATTGCGATGTCCGCACATCCGACTTGGTTTTGGACGAAATCATCGTTTCCGCTGTTTGAAGCTGATACTTCAACAACTAGATAGCATTACTCAAGTGGAAGGAGGCAGATAATAATTGCTTGACTCGGATGGTCCTGACGCCATGGACTGGGAGAGATTTGGAAATACTCTTTGTACTTTCCACCATTTAAAAATTGCATGCTGCGGTCGATCTCGGGATTATGGTCGGGAAGATGTGCGGGATAAATGTATCATGATTGTCTACTGTCAGCAATGGCTTTGGAAAACCCAGATTGGGCTGTGAGCTTTCCTGGACTGCACTCATGTACCACAAATGGTGCTGACAACATGTTGGTTTACGACGCCGTCCCTATCTGCAACCGAGTGTTGCACAGCGAATGTTTCATTCTAGGGCGCCCCCCCCCCCTACCATCTTTTCAAGGTGCATAGATACTTGTTACATTATTTGACGAGAGTGTCCCAGTAAAAGCCGGTATCGACCTATCATTTGTCTCTCTGTCAGCACCAAAAAGGTGTGAGTATTCAAGCCCGGATTTGACTGGCGGTCGAACTTACACGGTAGCCACATGGCGGCATCCTTACAGCCACAATCTTCAGCTATTACCAACCAAAATTGGAAATGTCTTTGAAAGACCAGCAACCGATATCCTCTAAAGAATCTGCTCTCTCCAGATCTGTGGACAGAAGAAAGCCGTCAAGTCCTCTAATCACAATTCTTACACTGAGCCGCAGTTATGTTTGCGCAACGGATCGTTGCAGTTTTTATGGCAACCCTTGCTACTGCATCGCTATCTCACCTTGAGCCAAAACTCAACAGGGATGGCTCGTCTTCTTGGGCTGGCAGCAACCTGTATTTCTTACACGGGCTGGATGCCGGGACCCAGTCAGCGTATATCGAGACGCTCGCTGGGTGGGGAGTCAAGGTGCTCCGACTCTGGGGTGAGCTCTTCATCCGAACTTCCTAGTGTGGTCCCACACGGCCCCTTGACAACGCGGCGTGCCCGTTCGCACGACGTTAATTCCTCGCAGCCAACTGGATCACCTTACGCACTTGTCTATCAGTCTGGCTGACCAACCTCCCCTTTTCTTGCATTAGTGACTGGGCTCCAAAGTGGCTGCATCAAAGGCAGTCCTGATGTGGCTGCGGTCCCTGACCTGGAAAGCACCGTTGGGGTCTATGACACGACCGTCCTGGACCAGCTGGATGCCACACTGAGCAGGCTGCACGCCAACGGGATCAAGGCCATCATCTCGCCGCACGACGCAGGTCACATCAACGGCGCCAACGGATGCGACGCCTACTGCAGGAAATACGGGAACCAGACCAACTTCTACACGTCGGCCGCCGGAGTTGCTGACTATGACGCCCGGCTGTCCGTCATCCTCAACCACGAAAGCCCCACCTTCGGCAAGAAGTGGAGCCAGCTGGACGAGGTCATCCTGGCGTTCGACGTGCAGAACGAGCCTATGATCAATGCGGTTCAGCTGCTGGAGGGCAACGACCCGGATGACTGGCTGTGCGGGCGGGCCGGCGTGCTGGAGGGCCTGATCGGCGACGACTCCCGGGTTCAGGTCGCGACTGGTGGCATCGGCGGGAGCCAGTACTGCTGTGACCACCAGTACAACGACCTAGACAAGGCGCTGCGCTGCGAGGCGTTCGACATTGTGAGTGTGCATGGATATATGAGCAAGGCGGCTGATTGGGCGTATTTCATCACGGGCGATGCCTCCATCCTGGAGAAGACAGAGGCTGCTGGCACTGGCCATAAGGTCATGATCGAGGAGTGGGGTGTTGCGGCAAGCTCCGAAGACGGGTTTGATGAACAGGTTGACGTGTTCAATAATGCCGGCGTGCCTTGGGTAAGTGCTCTATCTTCTTATCCGTCGTATTTCAAGGCACCTCTCCTAATTGTTGACCCATCTGCAGCTGTATTGGCAGGTGGTGCCTGGTAAGGACCAAAGCCAAGACGGAGCACCGGCAAGCTGCGGTTACGATGGATTTGAGATCGGGCTCAACAGCCCCAAAGGTGATGTTGCTGCAGCAGTCTGTGCGGCAGGTTCCACTGCTGCGTGGCAGGACTGGAGTGACTTGATATCCTAGAATATGAGGGTTGGTATGCTTGGGTGTAGGTAGCAAGCAAGTCCTGAAGAGAAAAAAGTGCAGTAATTGATGCGAAGCTACCCCTGTCTCCCGCATCATCAGCAAGTGACGTAGGGGTGCGGGAATGCAGGTACCTACACTCTTCCACACCTCTCCATGGCGGGAAGCCCCACCAAGCTTGGAAGTGGAAGCTCTGGAGCTGACGCCGCCCCGCCATCTCAAGCTCGCGGCATGACGTAGTGGCCACGAGCTCCCCTCCATATAACGAGCCAAACAACCACCTTGACCTCTACCCCTCTGCCCACCTTCCAAGCATCACAACCACGACTGCAGAAAACAACGAATTGACAACTGAAATCATCACAAATCTGACCATATCCCTCCTCTCAACACCAACACAACAACCCACAGCAACAATGACGAAGGGCGGCGCTACTCAGGTCAAGGTCCACTTCAAGGGTCAGGACGACGACTTCCTCGTCTTCGTCGACGACCTCGAGACCTACAAGAAGTGGCAGGAGGACAAGTCCGTTCCCCTGGCTCACTTCGTCTCTGCATTCAAGATCTTCGTGACGCACAAGTAAGTTGAGTTCCCCTCGATGGCCCTGGAACCCCACTCTCAACATTACCGGAGCTCATGCTGACCAACGCCTCCTTCTCTCCGCAAACAGCCAAGGCGCACAAGGAGCATACGACAGCGCGCCCAAGGGCCAGCTCGAGAACGAGTTCGGCACCAGCAACGAGGATGATGTCATCAAGGCCATCCTGGAGAAGGGTTCCGTGCAGGAGGCATCGGTAAGCCACCACCGCTATCCTATCCCTCCCTTGACCGGCAGTCGCTTGGCCGTGTTCAACACTTCCCTCCGCAGACAGCAATGGGCTGACCGGATTTCCCCTCAAACAAGATGCCCGAGCGACAGGGACCCAAGAACGACTCCAAGGGCCCCATGGTTGCTCACTGAGCCTCTCTCGAGGCTGGAAAGATACCCATTGACGTCACGAACACTGCTGGTTTAGCATTTGGAGGTTTAAGATGGACCATGATATCGGCGTTTTGGTAGTCTCAATAATCAAAAGTGTCCTGCCTCGTTAGGCAGTCCCCAAACAATTGGCTTTCCATGCACGTGTTCGTACAAGCTTGTAACATGCCCTGAATTGGCTTGCAGTGGACAATTGATGGCCTTGAGCTTTCTGATGGACGGCCTACAGTAGTTGTAGTTGTTTGCCCTGTCGATCCTGTGATGTGAATGACTCGCGTCCGTATTCCGGTACTGGACTTTAGCCTCACCTGCCCGATGCTGCGTGCCTGAAGACTGAAGGCAAAACATTGAGCAACTTCTCTCTCAGACCCCGCCCGCGTCAGGCCGTGACCACGTCATGATGCCAGGGCACCACCTCACCTTTGGGCACGGACTTATTGCTGCCGGTTCACCTCGGCATGAGCTGCCGGTGATCCCCAGTCCCATTGAGCCTGAACCCATTCATATACAGCAAACACGTGTGAAGGGTGCTTGGCCCGATTTCTGTATGTGACAGAATGGTAGTCAGGTCCTGAGGCCTACTCACTAAAAATTGAAGAGCTGCCCAGTGGTAAGTCGGCGTTTTCTAATGCCAAGCGTCGTGCCGCCCAGCACCAGATTTCTATGCTGCGTTGGGAGCAAAGCCAACGGCCAGCTGTGGCTGTGTCTGCCAATTCGAATGAGCCGTCAGACTCTTAAAGTCCAGCAGCACAATTTTGATGACCAATTCTTGACCGGGGGCCCTCCCTCTCTTGTTCAAATCAATTCACCACACAAGACTTCTGTCAAGGCCCAAGCGAGAAGTAGTGTCAAGGGGTTCTGCAATAAGAGGGTTGTATTCGGTTTCTAGTTGTTGTTAGATCCAATTAACGGTAAATGTATCGTGGCTGGATGGTTACACGATGGAGTTATTATAAATTTACTATAAATTAGTGAATTCATCGTAAATTCATTATAAAGACAATAAATTCATTATAAAACCGTAAATTTATTATATATGCATGAATAACACAATGATAAATGCCTTAGGCATTAATATCCATAGATTAAAAAACTAACCCTTGCCATTAGCTAACTTTAAAGGAAGAAGAATTAAGACATTATTATATTAACCATTAAAATTAATTATATATATAAGGATTCCATTATAAAGGAAGTATAAAATTTAATAATTAAGAGTTTTATTGCCTTAAGCTATACAAAATGGCTAATAAAAATAACCATAAAACTTAAAATACCTTCTTAACTAAGTTAAAAGAGTGGCGTAATTAAGATTATAAATTTAATCTTTAAGTTAAGATCTATAAACTTAAACATTATATTTATAATTAACTTAAACTCCTTTTAAAGCTATAAAAACCCAATATATGCCTTTAAAAGTATATTAAAATTATTATAACCGCTTAAGATACAATTTCTTAAACGATTAGCGGATTTAATATTAAATTAAATAATTTTAAAATTATTTAAGAAAAACGATAAGATTAATGGCTGCTTTCCAACCTTATTAATATTGATTTTAAAATATATAATTTTAACCTTTAAGGGTATAAATTAAAAGAATTAAAGTATACTAAGGAATAAATCGCTATTTAAAAGCTGCGTAAATAAGTGCTTTAAATAGTTACCTTGGATTATAAGTTAAATTACTGCTTGCTTAAAATTTTGCTTTGGTAGTGATATTTAAATTTATAATAAAGGTATAAACTATTATAAATAGATAATTAGCTATAAATAAGAGCTTTATATAAGAATACTTTAAAACCATTAAGGAATTTAAAAAAAACCTTAGTTTGAATTAATAAATAAAAATTTACTATGTTTAAAGCTACTTAATAAGGGATTGCTAAGGCAAGATAGATTATTATATGGATCCCTAATTTATTATAAGCTATATAAGGTATAATGTTTATATAAATAACTACTTTTTAGTAAATAAGAGAATAAGAAGTAGTAAATAGGAACCTTAAATTTTAAGAAGTTAAGAACCTTCTTTATAAGGAATTACAAGCTTTGGGTATATAATATAAACCTACTAAGATCATTAAAAAAGCATAGGTAATTACCTATAATGAGAAAAATAATCATAATAATAAAAAGGATGCTTATATTATTAAGGAAATAAGCTTATATTAAAGAGGCTTAACTAAACCCAGTTTATTATATAAATTTAGTTAATATTGCAATAAACGCCATTAATTTTAGGTATAAAACCTTAAAGAAATATGTGCAGCTTGCAATAAGAACCATGCCCTTGCTAATTGCTTTTATATATTTCCAGAGAAAGCGCTTTTATAATTTAAAAAGAGCTAAAGAATGGAAGAAAAGGTGCATAATGCCCTTGAAAATAATGCTAATCTTTAAGCCTAAGTTTAAGCTATTTAAGGCTTAAAATTTAAATTAAAATTTAAAACTTTAAGACTTATAAAGGAGGAGTTGGTATAAGAAATTAAAGATTAATTATTAAAATATTATATTATTAATGTAAAGGCTAGGGGAGCTTTTATTATGAATATTATAAAAGAATATTCTTTAAAGCACTTAGTAATATTAAACCCTATTAATATGATATTAATTATGAATATTAATGAGTAATTAGTGAATTTATGGCTAGCGACTTATGATAATTATATATAGTTAGGAGATTAATAACTATTGGTTATAGCATATGGAATGATGCTTATGTGAGTTGGAACCTTGGTTCTATATTTTGAAAATGTTGCCCTATGTTTATGAATTTTAACTACCCTTATCTTACTAAGGTAATTATGGAAGAAGAGGATGTTTTGGGATAATGAGCATGATTTAACTACTTTAAAATAATGAGATAAGTTAATTCTTTATTTATTTATTAATATTTATGGTTAATATGTTATTAAATATTAATTTAAAACTACTTAAAGTTTCTTTAATATATGGAGAAAGAAATATATAATGTTTATTAAGAAAAGGCTACTTATAAGCGAAGCCATTATTTAGCATGGATGATTAGGTTATTCGGGACTAAAAGCCTTAGAATACTTGGTAAATTTATCTTAGGGGGTGCGAATTTATGGACCTATTATTATAGAGTGCAAAGTATGCGCTCTTGCCAAAATTATGCAGTAAATCTGTTGATCGCTAAGGGAGATTTGCGAATAAATAGGTAAGAGAATTGTAATAGATTTTTATAATTATAAAGAAGGAATCCACAGCTATATATTATAATTTTTGCTAATATATAAAGTTATTAAATTTATTTAGGATTACTACCTTATAAGTTAAGATAGCAATATATTATATAATATAATTAAATCTTTTTATAGCATAATGGAAATTTAACATAAAATAAAGATTAAAATAATTAAGTATAATAAAGAAATTTTTAGCTATAAATAAGCAGTAAAGGAATTCCTAAAGTTAAAATATATTAAAATTAAGCCCTTAGCATTAAATATATAAGCTTAAAATAATAATGCCAAGCGCTTAGGGGGTATAATTAAAAAAAAGATGCAAGCAATGCAAATAAGCTTAAAGCTCCCACACTTTTTATAGTTAGAAATTAAATATATAACAGTATATCTTAATAATCAAACACTAATATACAGCTTAAATTAGCAAACATTATACTTTAAATTCCATAAAACAATTGCTAAATAAATAAGTATCCCATAATTAGATTTAAAACTAAATTAAACTTACTTATATATCTTTAGCTATAAAGCATATGCCATGATATTAAATGCTTAACTAAAGAAAAGACAATATTAACAACTAAAGCCACGAGCATAAATTAAATATTTTATAAGCTATTATTTCTTAAATATTTATTAAATATAAATTCCCTTTATTAGGAAAATTATTAATATAAAAAACATAATCTTTAATGAATATAAAGTGTTTAATAATAAATAGGAAGGTTTTAAAGATAAACTCCTTATTATAAATATTAAGCATTTCACAAAATAGATAAAAGAATATGCCCTTTTAAAAAATAATAAAATATCAAATCTAAAAGAAAAAGATTTGTTTAAAAATAATTCCTTAAAAGAAACCTTAAAGAAAGGTTGGTTTACGATGAATCGCGAAAGTAATATTAATAAAGAAGGAGTTTTAAAAGGAAATGTAAAGGATGCCTAAAAAAGGCGGTTTGCGGCGGATTAAGAAAACGGCGCCTATATGGATATAAAATTTAAAGTGCTCCCTATATCGCCGCAAACTCTTTTATTAGCACTTTTGGCTTATGCCATTTAAATACGGTTGGATAAAGAGATTTTATTAAAATGGTGAATTTATTATAAATATATTATAGCAATTTGCATTTATAACCAGCATTAAAGCTGCCCTAATAGCTAAATTAAATAAGAAGATATTAAATAAGGCATAAATTAAGAAATGCCTTTATTAAGGGGTAAAATTACATAGGAATAATTTCCCCAAGCCATTAAGATAGCATAAAGATTTAAAGAATTATCCATTTAAATATTTATTTAAATAAGTAGAAGCTAATTATTTATAAAGCTATATTAAAATGAGATCATGGATTGAAATTTAGAAATAAAATCCTTATATAGCAGGAAAATAAGTCTTAAATTATATATAGGTATATATATATAAGTTTAATAAATATGGAATTTTTTAAAAATATAAGGCCTATTTAGTTATTTAAGGAAATTAGTAAATAAAAGGATAAATATAAGAAACCTATGCTGCAATCTTGGCAGGCCAATCCTTTTGCATATTAATAGCGGTGGCGGCGAAATTTGATTTTAAATTTATATAATATAATATTATAAATGCATTTATTTATGCTTTAATTAATTAAGATATTTTTATATGGATGCTATATGGATATTAACGAAGAGGAACTATCTTATTATTAAATAAGGCGCTATATAGCCTTTAGATTTTATTATTGCTATGGTAAAAAGAGTTTATAAAGACCTTGGCTTAATATGAATATT